TGTTATTCAAAGGTTATTTAAGAACTATACGTTAAGCCATTATATCTTCATTTTTTACAGATATCTTGAATTCATAAGAACCTCCTTGTTTAAGTTCACCAAAATTAATACTAATAGGATAAATTAATAAATCCTTTTTTAATCTATCATTTATATCACTAGTCACCATTAAATTCTTTTTATCTATAAGATCATCTATATTATTTTTTTTATCTAATGTTCTGATAATTGTTTAATGCATTCCTTCATTTCTTAATTAACTTATTGGAGCAGCTTATTAATAAACTCTTGTAGCCATAGAACTAATTTTTATTCTATTATCAGTTGAAGCATCTGTAAGAATATACTTCTAGTTCAACTCTGATTTTGGATTTGTTTTTAGAAGACAAGGAACTAATTTAGAATCTTTTCTTTCCTTTCCATAAACATCAAAATCTTTCTTTTTTACTTATCTATATCTGATAGAATCATCAAGTAATTTTCTTTATTTGACTTCATCATCAATCTCAGCTTATGTGAATACTGAAGGTTTTATAATAACTTTCGTAAGATTATTAGTATTATTATATTATGGAGAAGGCAATTATGGTTATTCTAAAGGTATAAGACCATCAACTACTGTTTATTATACTTCTTATTAATTCTAACAATTCTACACTTCTTCTGTTGATTAAACAATCCTTTCTCTTGGTTTCTTTATTGGAGGATCTTCAGGAGCATTTTTTAAATATTCATGTCCTTCTTTAGTGTCAAAGTAATTTTAAACAAATCCTTTAGCTTCAGAAAAATGTTTAATAGATTTTTGAACTTAAATAGTTTACACTTTTCTTTGTAAATCCACAAAGGCAGTTTAAACAACTTATTATACTTTTGCTGTTTTCACAAGAGTTTATTCTAGATGTTCTGTTGTATTGGAAACCACGTCAGCTAAAGTTATTTTGCTTTTTGCTTGATCATATGATTCATATGAATAATCAGTTCTTCTACTTTCTAATATTTTCATTTAAATAATAAATTCAGCATCTCTTTCATCTTCCGATTTTTATATTACACCAAATTCATTTTATGCTTTCTACATTGCCTTTTACCAGACCTCATACTTTTATAAGGATTATTCATGAATAGTTCTTTGATCTTTATCAAATGGCAAGTATTCTAATAAATTTCGATAAGTAAAGACCTTATGAGGAATTATAGTTGTTTTTTGAACAGTTTTAGGTACAATATCTAAAGTTTATGGTATTTTGACTTCTATAAATTTTTTGGATTGATTTTTTAATTCAGTAATGAATGAGATAGATTTAACATTATTTGGTAATTCATCAATTAATTTAGTAGAGAATGGATTTTCTGATTTAAGTCTAAAATAATCTTATAATTGGGTGTGATTAAATAATTCAATTCCTGTATTATCATTTTTAACTAAAAATAATCTTGGAGGAACCCATGATTTAGGTGGTGGAAGTACTTTATTTTCTTCATCTACAAATAATCCATCTGGAATTTAATCAGGAGTTGATGGTTCTTAATTTAAAGAGACAGAAATCTTAGATGTCACATTTCCATCTTCATCAATTTAAAAATAATTAGATTCTTCATCTTTTGTGAAAATACACTTTCTAGCTAAATCAATAGTATAGACTCCTGCTTTTCTTTCATCAGAAACAGAAAACAATTATAACCAATAGTCAATATCTTGTCCTAATTGTTTTTTCTCTCCTTTATTATTTAATCTAACTCTCTCTTCTGCTGTTACAATAACTATTTCACCATCATCTACAACTTTAGCAACACTACCATCTTAAGTATACATCAGATGAATTCGATTAGTCTTATATTATTTATATTCTGGTAATTCTTATTTCTCTATGTATGATATAATTTTGCATCCCTAATAATATGTTTCAACCACTCTACCATCATTGCTTCTTTCAAAGATATTCTCAAAGCCTACATTTGCATAAGCACTACCCATCCCTATTATTGTTCCTGTTCTCTACTTAACCTTATCTATTGTTACTATAACACTTGCAAAATTTGGATGCTCAACGATTACTTTATCTCCCTTTATTAACATTATTGTCCCATCATAATGTTATGTATATTGACTTCCATCCTTATAATTTATTATCAATGTTTAATCATCTCTTATATAAACTTTAGCTCCACTCTCAGGATCATTCTTTGTTGCACAAGGAATCTTTTCAACTCCTTTTTAAGATCTCCTGTATCCCTTATTATTTGTTGTTATCCACATTTCATTTTTGTACATAGATACATTACCATTTGCATATAATACTATTATTGAACCATCTTTCTTATACACTATCACTGTACCCTATCCTGTTATTATTCGCTTTATTTCTAATTCATGATTTATCTCAGCATTATCATACAAATTCAACAATGTCTAACTTTATTCTTAGGCTTTTTAATACAAATATTACTAAACTACTTCTCCCTTCTATGTAAATCTTAAACATAAACCATTCTTAAAGGTCAAATTCATTATTTGATCTTATACACTCATTCTCAAATCCTTAAATTAACCATAAAAACCTCCTTATATACCAAAAACTACATTCTCCTTTATCACTCTATATCTTAATCTTTCAACCTCTCCTACTGTAAATTTCGTTGCTATTATTAACGAATTATCTGTCGGATACATTATTTTCGATCTCTCACTTATTGAACCAATCTATTAATAATCAATATCATAAAAATATTCACTATTAAAATTTCTAACTTATATATAGTATTCCAAATTTGGTAATACTCTCCATTCTGCAGACCATTTCTTTCTTAATGTTCTTCCAGGTGGATTTTTATAATAACAACAAACCATAAGAGCATCATCATCTGGTAAATATTTTAAAACAACTTAAGGATCATGTAACAATGCTTCATAAAACTGTTACCTAAGAGTATTTTTATTATGTCTTTCCATGTAAATACGATCTCCTAAAAACCATTCTTATTCAGGTTCATTTTCTTTAAGTAATTCTTCAAAAGAGAGAAGTAACTATCTTCTTTCAAATTCACTGACATCTACTGTAATAAATGGATGCAACTTAGCTTTATTAGCTTTTCTAAGTTTGTCTGACTTTTCTGCAATTTCAGGCATTCCTTATCTATCAATACCAGGGAATTATAGATTGTCAAAGATTTTATGTTCTCTTTCAACAATTGATTATTAATCATGCAATAATCCAAAATGTGCTCTTACTTAAATATAATCACATTCATCAAGAATCAATTATTTAGCACTTTCTTATTGTTATGATTCTTTTTTTTAATTAGCCAAAAGTCTATTAACTTATTCAGCATCTTCTTAATCTTCTAGACATGGAGGTACTTTAGAACTTTAAATGTAAGCAGCTTCAGCAGATAATTGATCTAATAAACATTCTAATAATACACAAGGTCCTACTTTAGATAAATGTACATCAGATAATTATCGCTTATAATATTATAAATGTAATTTTGCTTTCATTTTAGATTATTATTCTAAAGCTTCTTCAATTTATTATTTTCTAAGTTCAATTTACTTATTTTTTTCAATTTCAGCTAATCTTTCAGCTTCTATTTCAGCATCAGTTTTTTTTGCTTCTTTTTTTGCTCCTTTTTTATTTTTTTCAGCTGCAGCAGCATCTTCAGCAGCTTTTTATTATTCTTCAGCTAAATGAGCTTCATGTTTAATTTTTTCAACTTCTAAATCAAATGGATCTTTAGGTGCTTCTTTAGTTATTAATGGAATAGGTTTTTTATTAATAATCCATTCATTAAATTATTATTGATCTATACTAAATTAACATATTTCTTCAATTAATTATTCATGAAATAATTTAAGTGTTTCTTCTTCAGATTCTAGATCCATTTCTAAAATTAATTCTTTAATAGTAAGTGATCTAAGTTAATCTGTTTTTTAAGAAGCATTTCTTTATTTTTTGATTTCTTCAATAACAGCTCTTTCAGCAGTAGTATAATGTAAAGATTCTTCTGAATATGATCTTTTAATAGTAACAGGTTATACAAATTCTTCCATTCTTTTTTCTAATTCTTCTTAGAAATCTTCAGGTTATTCTAAAAGATTCATATCAATTCCACCCCAATTAATAACTTTTTCTTTGATATGCATAATAAATTCAATAGATTCTTATGGTACTTAAGGGAATCCTTATACTATGAAAACAACATCAAAATTTTTAGAATACTCTTTTTCAGGTATAATTTTATCAGGTTCAATAATAGGTGCAACTGCCGTAGTTTCTTTTCCTCCCTTTTTTGCATCTTTCTTATCATCTTTCTTTGGTGGAGCAGCCTTTTCAGCAGCTTATGCTTGAGCAGCTTAGAATTTAGCTTTTCTAATTTATAAGACTTAATCTTAAATGAACATTTGAAATCCTTTATTCATAACTTCAGATGTAAGTTCAGTTGCTACTTCTGCCATAAATTTAGAATCCTAAAATCATTAGCAAAAATGTACCTTCTTTTATTTATCAGTTAAAGAGGTAGGATCTACATACAATTATTTCTCTTTGCAAAAATTAATAATTTCATCTCTAGTTACATTCTTTTGAAATGATTTGCATTCTTTAAGTAAGTTTAATAATTTTGTAGCTCGACTCTTTCCAGCTTCGATTCTAATACCAACACAAAGATGTTTAAGTGGTGGTAATGCATTGACATCTATTTCATCTTTTTTGGGTGGCATATTTAATATTTTAATTAATCCATTATAATATAAATCAAATCGTAAAAACATGTATTTTAAACATTATTATATATTTTAATGTTATATGTATATATATGTAAATAAATAAATACTATTTTTCACTTCTCATATTCTCTATAATAACATTGAATAGATATATGGCGGTATTTAAAGAATGAATTAATTCTATGAATAAGTATGATCTATCTTATATTTAATATTATCTTAGTTCATAGATATCATTGACAACCATTTTATAATATGATTATTTAACAAATTAAAACCAGGCAATTAAAAGACTCTTAAGTAAAATGATGTTTAATATCAGCACCATTAATTTAATTAAAGATGTCAGCATCACCGGTCTCTGTCTCTTCTTAAGAAGAATATATGGTTGAAGCTATTACTAATAAAAGAATCAAAAATGGAAGAACTGAATATGAAGTAAAATGGTAGGGATATTCTGATAATGAAAAAACTTGGGAACCTATTGAAAATCTATAATCTGTAATGACATATGTCCTTGATTTTGAATAATCTTTAAAATTAAAACAACCTCAAGAAGTTGGAGAGGGAAATTATGATGATGGTGATTCTGCAGATGAAATTTTATAAATTAGAAAAGACAATGATGGTTAAAACCTTCTTTTTTAAGTCTCTTGGAAACAAAAAAATAACCGCGCACCTAAATTATCATGGGTTAATCAAAACACACTCAAAATGCATAACCCAGAAATATTAATTGATTATCTCTTAAAGAAAATCAAATGGCCTAATAATAAATGAGATATTATTATTATTATTATAATATATATAATTTAAATCATTCTATCAGAATCCACAATACTATTTTTACAAAGAATACCTCTATCCTTAACACTATAAAACTCTCATCATTTATATAAATATAGGAATACGTTCCCAAAAAAAATTAAACTGCTATCTTAAACTCATTCAACTAGAAAAACATAAAAAAATATTGACATTATTTTTATTTTATTTATTACTGATATTCTCTACCTCTATCTAAGTATTTCCATTATAACTTTTTTATTTAAAGAAATTAATTATTTATATTTATAATCATTAGTTATATTCATATTTTTATTAAAATTTATATACCAATAGATTTTATTCATTATCTCAATTGATAATACTAATATTTATATTCATTATTGCTAAACAGCAACAAAACAAAATATTCATTCACAATGTATATTCTTTGCATTATTTTGCATCATTACCAGTTATTGAAATAATTTGTAAACGAATAACTCTTTTCTCCATCACTTCAGTATAACCACACATTCTAATCCCAGTTTTTCCCTTTTACTTTCGCTATTTTCTCTTATGAAACACTATTGTCTTTGCTGTTGGATACTTTATACCTAGTATTCTTGCTGCCTAAACATCATTAATTCTATATTCATTACTTCTTTTATTTTTTTTCCTTCTCTCTAAACCATTTAACAAAGCTATTATTTTTTCTATTATGACACCTTCATATATTTCCCATTCTATTTCTTTACTTCATCTACCAAATTTAACATTATTTTCTATTCCCTTTCATTTTCTCTCCCTATATTTTTAATCTTTAAAATCTCTTATTTTTCATTTTTATTAAGAAAAAACATCCTTCAAGTTTATCTAATAATTAAATTATTGATCAATCTATTCAATTTATTAATCCTATTTAAATTTGCGATAAAATTTAATAGCAAATCATCAAAAAATATTTTAATTAGGTTTATTCAACTTTTAGTAACTCTAATTAATATAGAGTAACCCTTAACTATTTACTATCTATCTTTATTATCTCCTCTTTATAAGTTTTACAACAATAAAAAAGGGATTATTTTATATATTTTTAACTGAACCTCTCTTTTAATTTTACCTAAAATATCATTTGTATTCCGAAATGCGTTTCTCACTTCTACTAATAAATAGAATTGATAAAAATCTCATATTTCAATAGAATTGAACTTTCCAATCTAAAATAATAGCGAATCGATTTATAAAAATATTCACTATTTTTTTTTAAATTATTTTTTCTTTATTTTAGAATGAATAGACCTAATATGAAACAAAAAATAGAGTTAAACAATTGTAAATTATATATTCAATTCTGTTTTNAACTCATTCAACTAGAAAAACATAAAAAAATATTGACATTATTTTTATTTTATTTATTACTGATATTCTCTACCTCTATCTAAGTATTTCCATTATAACTTTTTTATTTAAAGAAATTAATTATTTATATTTATAATCATTAGTTATATTCATATTTTTATTAAAATTTATATACCAATAGATTTTATTCATTATCTCAATTGATAATACTAATATTTATATTCATTATTGCTAAACAGCAACAAAACAAAATATTCATTCACAATGTATATTCTTTGCATTATTTTGCATCATTACCAGTTATTGAAATAATTTGTAAACGAATAACTCTTTTCTCCATCACTTCAGTATAACCACACATTCTAATCCCAGTTTTTCCCTTTTACTTTCGCTATTTTCTCTTATGAAACACTATTGTCTTTGCTGTTGGATACTTTATACCTAGTATTCTTGCTGCCTAAACATCATTAATTCTATATTCATTACTTCTTTTATTTTTTTTCCTTCTCTCTAAACCATTTAACAAAGCTATTATTTTTTCTATTATGACACCTTCATATATTTCCCATTCTATTTCTTTACTTCATCTACCAAATTTAACATTATTTTCTATTCCCTTTCATTTTCTCTCCCTATATTTTTAATCTTTAAAATCTCTTATTTTTCATTTTTATTAAGAAAAAACATCCTTCAAGTTTATCTAATAATTAAATTATTGATCAATCTATTCAATTTATTAATCCTATTTAAATTTGCGATAAAATTTAATAGCAAATCATCAAAAAATATTTTAATTAGGTTTATTCAACTTTTAGTAACTCTAATTAATATAGAGTAACCCTTAACTATTTACTATCTATCTTTATTATCTCCTCTTTATAAGTTTTACAACAATAAAAAAGGGATTATTTTATATATTTTTAACTGAACCTCTCTTTTAATTTTACCTAAAATATCATTTGTATTCCGAAATGCGTTTCTCACTTCTACTAATAAATAGAATTGATAAAAATCTCATATTTCAATAGAATTGAACTTTCCAATCTAAAATAATAGCGAATCGATTTATAAAAATATTCACTATTTTTTTTTAAATTATTTTTTCTTTATTTTAGAATGAATAGACCTAATATGAAACAAAAAATAGAGTTAAACAATTGTAAATTATATATTCAATTCTGTTTTAAAAATTACCAATACATCATTTAATAATTATATAAATTAGGAATGAGAATATTTCGATAAGCTTTTGAATAACTAGGAGGTAGCAGAACACGTACAAAATCAGATCCTCGTTAACAAGAAGACATGTTTATAGTACCACCTGAGGAATATTTCAAATAAGATCGTCCTCAACCACTAACAAGATAATTTTTTACGATGTTATCTACTCTAGAAACAAAAATTGTTAAAGAATGCACTGTTGAACGTGTTAATCAAGTAGTGCAAATGTATTAGCAATGCATAGAGTTTTATGACAGTCGTAAAGATGACATCAAGTACTACTTTGTCGATAAAATATAAAATGCACTATATGAAATGCAATAAATTAGCTGTCTCAAAACTAAGCTTGTTACTGAAGTACAATCACCTGTTAACTAAAAAATTAATAACCTATCACCAATTCCAATTGAAGAGGATGAACACTATATTCGAAATAAAAAAAAAGAGAAATCCATTAAGCTTGCAATTTAAGAATAAATGATTTAAGTTGTAAAATATTAACCAGAACAAGTATAAGGTATGGTAAATGAATATCATGAGAAGTTAGATCAGTAATTATCTAATCAAATATTAGACATACCTCTATGATAAAAAAAAGTGTAAATCAATAAGAGCATTAATTTAATGAACGTTTGCGAAAGAGAAGTATAAATAAAAAATCCCTTTCACGGTGCAATTCAAGTGGAATTTTGGAGTAAAATTAATGACTTTTTATTTATTTGTGTATTTAACAATAATCAGAAGATAGGGATTTTTTTTCTCTTTATTTATATAATATATTAAATTTCCGATTACTAAAAGGCATTGAAAAACCACATCAAAATGCATAAATTAAAAATTTCAAAAGGTTTCTAGAAAATAATCTAAATAGAAGTAATTTGTAAAGAAATTTTTGATTTTCATTATATTTTTTGATATTTTCATTCATTTAGCTAATAAACCATAAATACAATAATTGATTAATTTATTCAATAGTAATTTTAATAACCTTTGTTGACTTATTAATATTTAAATAATTCTATAATAATTTCATCTAAACAATTTAATAAATTGATGAAGAAAAGTTTTAATTAAATTAACAACTTGAATTATAATAGTATTTATTGGATTAAAAATGCAAAATACTTTATTTAAATTATAAATAATTTAAGACAATTATTTAGAATTGATTAAATCATTTTTCAAGTGCAGAACTAATCGAAATATCAATATAGATTCAAGAAAAAATAAATATCTTAAGCTTGAGAATATGAAAATCTTGTATTAGAAATAAATGTAATTTTAATAATGTAAAATATTTGATTAGTTGAAATTAATATGTTTGCTCATATATTTCGTCATTCTCGAATGGAATTTATGTAATATATATAGAAAATAATAAATGCATTTATTGAATTATTAAAATGAATAAATTGTTTCGTTTTGCTAAAGTGATTGCTAGATCAATTTATAAACCTGCATAAAAAACTCTCTATAGAATTCCATAGATAAAGCAGGTAATAAATGATGATCACAATTAGAAATATTAATTTAATACACAGGCATTTTAGTATTTTAATTTTAATATATTTAGGAACCACTTACAGTTGATATAAATATAAACTCAAGAATAAGCTAAATAAAAATTATAGGCAGGTCTCTCAGAATTAGGTAATTAAGTTTATTAATTTTTAGCTAAGATAAATGCATAATTATTGAAATAAACAAATTATGTTAGGTTTGCAGGGGACTATAGTCCTTGTGTAAATCCTGAGTAGTTTGTTCATGCATTATAATTTTATAGATAAGGAGCATTAGCTTAATTCTATAGTATTGACGATTTAGAAACTATAAACAGTGTTTATCATTCAGATTCAGAACTGGAATTTTAGGATAGTCAGATTTTATGAGTTGATGAATACATACTTATTAAATAATAAATTTATAAAGAAAGGATTTTATAATCATCTTTCATTATTATAGAATTTCAATAATTTAATATAAGTTAAAGTTTTTTTATATTTTCAATATAAAAATTGATATATACTATTAAGAATGAATATATTTAATTGATTAAAGGAATAGTTATAGTATTCTTAAATATATTATTAAAGCTTTTAAAACATAATATTAATGAAAAATACATTGTAATTATAAATGAATCTAATATATTGGATATGAATAAAGAGACTGTTCCAATTTTTAAGTTTATAGTTGTAGGCGATCAATGTAAGTGGGTATGTCAGACTTAGTTGTCAGTAAAAGTAGTTTTGTAAAATAATATTCCGAATCCATATTCATTGAAGCTCTTAAACCAACGATTGGTGTAGAATTTGAAAAAAAATGGTTATTGTGGATAAACGTAAAGTTGAATTATAACTTTGGGATACTGTAAGATTAGGTTTTATATAAAAGGCTGGATAAGAATAATTTCGTAGTATGATAAAAAGTTTTTATCGTGGTGCAGCTGCAGTTTGTGTCTTATATGATGTAAATTAAAGAGAGTCTTTTGAAAGATTAAATTAATGGCTTTAAGAATTATAAGAGAGTGCTCATGAAGAAATTGTTAAAATTCTAGTTGGAAATAAATCAGATTTAGATAGAGATATTTCAAAATAGGAGGCTGAATAATTTATGAATCAAAATAATTTTAGTTTATTTTTTGAAACATCAGCTAAAACAGGAGAAAATGTAGAGAAAGTACTATTCTACATACATTTTTTTAGGGCTTTTGTAGAAGCTGTCAAATTAGTGATTATGCGAATTGTTACAAGTGAATCCTATAAAAACTCTATTAAAATAACCAAAAAAACTCCTTCAAATTCAAGACAAAATACAAGTAGAAATGAAACAAATGAAGATTTTGTTTAATATAAAAGCCTATTTAATTATAAGTTTCTCATTAAATATAATAAACACCAGAAAAGTAGTGCTGTTGATATTCAACAAATTTATAATGTATTATAATATAATTCTGTATCAGTATTTTATTAAAAATTAATTTACTCAATTACCATTTATATTATAAATTCAAATTATTAATATTAATATGTATTTTGTAACTCTACTCAAAATTCATATATTTTATTTTAAAATTAAACTCTAATCAATTTTTTTATTGCAATTATTTTTTATTACTACATTTTATCTTGATTTCTTCTAATTGTAGAAAATATATACTCAATAATTACAAAATTAATTTACAATTTAAAGAAAAGGATTTCTTATCTTTTTAGGTTTTCAAAAAGCATATTTTAAATAGTAAAAATATAAACTAATTAGATGTTAATGTTTTTCAATTATCACTCTTTAATTAAATGGGCACAATAATATGTGACAATTTTACACTTCCAATATATTAATTAATATTTTAAGATTTTTTTTTGATGAGACTATATTATATATAAATTATTATAATGATATTCTAATCAAATTCTTACCTTAAGAATGGAACTTATAGCCATTTATAGAAAGATTGATTTATTAACAAAAATAGTATACCGATTTCAGAAATAATATATTAATCAAAAATAATATTAAGGGTTTAATTAAAAGGGAATCAATTTATTAAATTTATCAATTTTTCCTTTTAAATTAAAAAGTAAAATTTTAATAAAGTTCTTCTTAATATAGTTAGTTCTTTTCAAACTCATTTAAATAAATTTAGATTTGTAAAATGTATTGTAAAAATTTATTTAATTGAACAAAATATATAATAAATATATAATAAACTTTTTACAGAGATTAATAACATAATTATTCTTCTATATAATAATTTAAATTTCAATTTCTAATAGTTCATAATAGAAACAATTGAATATGTGTTAAGCTAGCCCTCCTAGCTCAGTTGGTCAGAGCGTTGGCCTTTTAAGCCAAATGTCAAGGGTTCGACCCCCTTGGAGGGCGGTTCTTTTTTTTTTTATTTATCATAAATTAATAAATAAAATTTTTAATTAAAACAATTATCACAATTAAATCTTTTAAAATTTTGCTATTCAGAGTATTTAAAATGAAATTTTAGGTTAATTTATCAATTTTAGTAATACATTCCATATAATCTGATCAATTCTTTATAGATTCTGGTACTAATAAATATTAAATGAAAGTGCTTATCAATTATAATATATGAAATACAACATATTTTAAATCATAAATCTAAGAATACTAACTACTAAAAAGATATATTGATTGTAATATAAAATAGTCATAATATAAAATCTTAAGAATATTAATTTGAATTTCTTTGGTTAAAATATTTTATTTTACACTGTTATATCTTAGATTATCTTAAAAGCTTCACGACAAAATTATAAATTAGGATAATTTTTTTTGATTATCTATACAATTAGAAACACAAAAGGTGTTAATTATCAATAACTATCAGAAAATAAGTATAATTTGATGAGTTCTTTGGATGAAATAATATAAAAGTTATTCTAATCAAATATATATTTGAGTATAAAAAAAAATAACAATTTAAAAAAATGTAAAGCTTATATCTTGATATTTTAATTAATATAAATACTTCTATCATCTATCAATCATTTTCCCTCTTACCAATTCTCTAATTTTAAGATTGATTAGAATCATACTATTCAAAGACAAGACTTATAAACATTCCATATGATAAGTATTATTAAAATTTTTGACTCTATTAATTTGATATACTAAAAATGATTATTGAAATAATTAGTTCCCATTAACATTCTTTTTTCAGAGTTCATCAAATCAAGTATTCCAAATAAAATACTTTATAATAAACTAGTATTAATTGATAATGAACTTTAAATAGTTAAGATTTATTAATTAATTCTTTTTTTGAAGATTCATATATTTTTAGTTTTATTGATTGAGAGAGTCTATTTTTGAGTATGAAAATAATTAAATCTTAATTATATAAAAGTTTAAACTAAATTCACTTAAATTTGAAATAAAATTATGAAATGCATAACAATCATTGTTTTGTAATCGATTGACATACTTTTATGATCAATTATTTAATAAATTAATTCATAGTTTTGTTTTAATAAATAAAATTTTAATGAACTAATACATAAATAGGATAAATCCCAAAGCAAATACAACATTGTAGTTAGTTTTTTTATCAGCTGCTGGTGTCTGGTTAATTATTTTATTATTTTCAAATTACAGAAATTATCAATTAGAGAAGAATGGGGATTATCTAGATTGCAAGTTAAAATATGATGGAAATCTGAAATGCAAGTTAAATAATAAATTATTGTTTAAATAAAAAATAAGCTCCTCTGAGATTTCTGATGCTTATGTATGCAATACAATTTTAGCTACCTACCCTATAACAATAATTGATATAGTACTAATAATAATTACATTAACAATGTGTGTACTAAAATAATCTAATTTGCCTGGTAATACATAAACATTCAATTATATATCGATTATTTTAATTACATTATCAGGAATAACTTTATTTGTAGTATCAATAATATTGATGACGGCTATAAATTAATATGATTTTTAAGCATGGGTGATTGTATCATAATTTTTGGTCTCACTAATACTGTTATTCAGTCTTATTTTCATTAAAAGAGAAGAACAACTATCTTCAGAGATAAGGAAACAAGAGTAATTGAATAATGTAGAAATTTAATAGTATGTAGTATATTGATTATATTTATTATTTAAATTTTTGTTCTTCTACATAAATATTTATTGATATATCCTTTTTTAGTTGAATAGAAATGTTTAGTTTATATTATTTACATCAAGTACAATCAGATCGACAATATATAAACAATGTTACAAAGCACCAAACAATCCTTATATACATATCATTTATAATAGAAACTTGTCTGTAATGTTTCGTTATTTTGATTCTATTAAAGATCTTTAGAAATCTCATTGTTCAGGGTAACAACTGAAAAATATATTAAAGTTAAAAATGATATAATAATAATAATAATTATTACTAGCTTAACCAAATTACATCTAAAACTTGATATGGTTATTATCTTAAAATAATAGTATTAGTAAGCATGATGGCAATTAAATTAAAAAGATACTCGAATAAAATAAATGAATCTTTTAATATTTAAAAAGATTTCTTTACCAGAATTCATGATTTCAAGTCTATTCATCTGAATTTTTATTTATTCATACTCCTTTATTTATTTCATCTAAAGAATAACTTCTTCTTATTATTTCTATTTCTCAAAAAATTATTCTCTTATCTTAAATTCCTTGCATAATTTTTCTATTTATTACTCAATTGCTTTATTCTTTTTATCTTAATTTCTAATGCTCAACATATTTATTGATGTCTAACTTATTTTTAGCTATGAATTTATATGTTTTTCAATTTTTATAAATCCTTTTTGATTTTATCTCTATTTTGCAGCCATCTGATCCAATTTAAAAGTTTCAAATATGATGGATTATTATTTTTTTATAAATTTGATAATATTATATTTTGTAATTTAAATATATTCAAAGTCCTAATTCACGCTTTAGTTTATCCAATCTTTCTCGAGCATTTTTAATTTTTTCAGTCTCTAAATGCTCATGAATATATTCATCTATTAATTGATTTTATTCTGCTTAACTGTGTTATAATTTTTCTTAATATTTATTTATATTATCATTAAGTAATTAAATCTCTTATGCTAATTTAGAAATATTATGTTCGTTCTATCTTACTTGATCTCTCAATTCTATTTATTTAATTCCTCTCTTTTTTAATTGTTCCTTATTCAATTCATCATCTGGATTATCATCTTCTTCTATTACATCTGTTGACCATAACATTTTATGATTATCAAATTCATATCTAATATTATCTACTACAAATTGTATTTTCTTGAGAGCATAATCTTGGAAAAAAGAAAACTGTTAATTTGCAGATGCCATTTTAATTTAAATTATTATTTTTAATATATTATATCTGTAGAATTTGTAAATTGTAACTAGTGTATTTTTAGTCGATCAAGTTTCTATAATTATTCAGGAGGTAAATTTGAAAGTATTAATTTAGAACTATGCAAATTAAATGTAGGATAAATGTAATTTTGATTTTATCTATTTAAATACCAATCATTTATTCCAATTTTAATTATTTATCAAATCTAATAAGATTTACGCAGCCTATCTAATTTATCAATAATCAATGATTTACATTTGAATTTTTGCATTTTTACAATTAAGATTTTGCTTCGTTTATTTATTTATCATTTGGTTTACCTTAAACTTAATTAGATATAAATAATTTTTATGCATCGATCTACATTTATAAATAATAATTATGTTCCAAATTTAATTGTTCTTGCATTTTCCAAAGTAAATTTTTTTATGAAAATTTAGAATACAAGTCAAGACTAGCCTATATTACTCTTCAAAATTACTTATAACAAATTTTGTGATTCTGTGACAATATTTAGATTCAAATAATTTATGATTAATTTAATGCTGTCTTATTGCAATTCTTTATTGCTTTCATTATTGATTTATTCATTATAACATTCTGCCATAATGAAATGTTAATAAGCTAATGATTTTCTAATTTGTTATAATTCTTCAATTTATTATTATTTTTATTCATCTACTTTTTTATCTAGTTTTTATTAAAAATTCTGTTTTTGAATCCATGTAGGTAATTTTTATATACTTTCTTCGCTAATGTCTTCAGAGGAGACAGACTTTTGAAATATAGAATCATTAGAAAGTTCAAAGATTTGATTCCATGAAGCTCTATTTTCTTCTTCAATAACAAGAGTCTAAGAAAAAATATAAAAAAATCATACTATAGTAAGAAATTTTTTAGAAAATGTGGAAAGGTCATTTTTAAATTGTAATGGTTAAGTTTTGATGTTGTGTAATAAATCTTCTTCATCTCTACCCTTCCATGGTACATCAAAATGTAACATTTCATAAAAAATAACACCAAGTGACCAAATATCACATTTAGTGCTATAATGATGTCTTTCTAAAACTTAAGGTGCCATATAGAGTGGACTTCCAACACAAGATTTAAGTAGTTATGATGAATAATTCTCAACGTATTTGGCAAATCCAAAATCTGCAATTTTGACAGTACCCATATCATTGAGAACATTAGCTGGTTTCATATCTCGATGAATTACTCCACTCTTTATTAATTCTTTAAAACCATCTAAAATTTAGAACATAATATCAATTGCCTATTTCATAGGATATTAAGCATACTTATTATTCACTAATATTCTTGCTTGAAATCAATGATTTAAGATCACCACTACGACACATTTCAGTCACAATGAACAAAGACTTTTTAGTAGCTAAAAGTTCAATGAATTTTACAATGTTCTTATGATTGAGTTTACTCATAATTTCAATCTCCTAGACTTTGATGATTATAAATGAATGATTTACCTATTTATTTACGCAAGTACTTATCTTTCTCAAAGAGTATCAAATCTAACTTCTTTATAGCAACTGTTTCATTATTTAGAGTGTTTAATCCTTCATAGACTTTCCCATAGGCACCTTATCCAAGGCAATTAATTTCATCATATGTATAATGACCAATTTACTTCATTAATAAAATTATGTTGTTTGAGAAACTCAAGATCTACAATACTCCAGCCAAATTATTGGAGAAACTACGTGAAGTTCGTAAGCAATAAGAACAGGAAGAATAGGAGGGATCCCCTAATCAGGTCACAGACACATAGAAAATCGGTACTACGACATAGCCCTTATCTAGTGCGGCAATTAAGTTTACGGACTACTTGGACGAACCTCAATCAAAAATCTCCCATTGTTAAATCGCAATTAGATATTATCAAAATGCGAATGCCATCTAACAAAATGAATTCATGTACTCTTATTACTGAGATACCTATACGATAGAAAATGCAACTGCACAGTGTTCGAACCGATGACAAACAAGATTTAAAGGAAATGTAATAGAACTTAAGGATGGAGACTATATAAGATCTCTTTTAAGAAGATTAGAAACTTATTGATCAACTAAACGAAGAAGCTTATGTCTTATCTTAAAGACTTACTACTAAAGAAGAAGCTAGCCCAGTTCGACCTTTTAATCGTAAACATCATTAACCAAACTAAACCCAGAGACCATAAAGAAGAGGAGCTACAGTCATTGCTGCAACAAAACTGGAAGATCTTAAGAAATAACAACCCTATCTATATGAGGATCGACAAGATCAACCTTATGATGATTTATCAGATCGTGGAAAATTTCTAAAAAAATATAGATTGGGAAAGTAAGTTACTTTTATCACATGAATAGTAAAAACCTATAGAAGGTTAATCAAAAGGACTTTAGAAGTGCTACCAAAAATTTTAAGAAACTTGAAGAATATGCTTAATTCTATAAACAATAACCGAATTTATATTTACAATTAAACAAAAGCTCTCAAGGTATAAATTTATTATAGAGCATCAGTCAACAATATTTTTCAATCTGGTCTTGGGTTAGTTAATTCGAATTATACCATATAAAGTGCTGAATCATAAGGAATGCTAAGGAATGCGTCTAAAATAAGAGTTTTTACAGAGGCTCTCTAATCTCCTTAATGTAAGTCTCTGACTCAACTGAAACTCAGTCATAACCAATTAACCTCGCCTAAAATTAAGAGTTTAGTTGACAATTTCCCTTTACAAATTTAGGATTTGGATCTCAATAATAATGGATTAGATTCAAAAGCTTGTGAGACATTGGCTAAGTACATGTAGAAATCAAGAGTAAAGAAACTGTCTTTAGAGAACAATAAAATTGGTGATTTAGGAGCCAATCATCTTTTTGTAGCTCTACAAGATAATGATTATTTGATATTACTAAACTTGAGTCGAAACAATATAACAGGTATTTTTGGAATTAATTTAATTTAGACAATTGTACTAATGATTTATCAAATTATTTGAAAAAATCAAATGTGCTTTTTGAATTATATTTACATTTTAATTCTATTAGTAGTAAAGGAGGTATTAATATATGGAAAGCACTTTATAAGAATTCAAGTGTCAAAGTTTTTGATATTTCTTACAATCGTACAGCTTCATTTGAATGTGCTTAATAGATGGCTAAAGTAATTGCTAAGCCCTATCCTGAATTGATGCATATAGATGTTTCTCATAATGGATTTGATGAACCATCATCTGTAGAAATTATGAAGGCTCTAAATATTAATCAAAATATTTATGGATTCCATTATGAAGGGAATTGTCCTAAATTTGCAGTTGATGCAACTGGACATCTTAGAGATAGAGAAGCAGAAGAATTAGCAAGATAGAAAAAAATAGAAGAATGCAGAAAAAATCCATAAACATCTCTTCGTTTATTAGATGATGACCTTCCAGTTTAACAAAAAAAGAGTGTTCATAAAAAAGAGGAAATTCAATAAGTTCATAGATTTAGAAGAATTTGGGGAATGAAACCAGTTAAACAAAATTAATAATTTGATAAGCAAAGAGATTCTTGTTGGATTTGTGAAGGATGGGAAGAAGTGAAATTTACTTGGAGTCCAGGTAAATCTGGTGGTATGAACAATGATCCTATTTTTTTACATGTAAATTTTGATGGCTATCGTCCTGTTCTAATGAATCCTCATTAAGGAGAATATCATTTATATAGAATGTGTCCACCTAATCAAAGAGTTTTGTATTTTTTCAGTAATCCAATCCTTGGAATTTAGACAACAGCTAAAAATTAAATGATTATGTAAACTCCTTAAAATGATCCAATAGCTTAAGGATTATAAGAATTCCTTTACAATGGAGACATTTTGATTGAAGGTAATAAAATGTCTTTCGTGAATGAAGTATTTACTGAAGGTAAACATTGTGTGGTTGATAAGTATATTCCTAAGATTTTCAGTAAACCAAGAGAGGAAGAAAGAACTTATGATTTAACTTAATACATGAATAAAAAACAGGCATTTTGGAGTTATGAAATTTCTATTTTCAAAAACTACTAACCTGATAATGATGAACTTGTAGATGAATGTTTTGAATACGATTTTCAGACCTCAAAAATCAACAGAATTGTCCGTGATCCATAAGAATTAATGGAAGTTAAAGAAATTTTAAGAGAATATTACCCATATATTTTTGCTAGTTATAAATTTTATGCATCCACTTTAATTGGAGCAAGTGTAAAATAGTTTTTTTATATGAATAGATTCCATGTATTTCTTCTAATGCATTTTTCGATTTTATTGGTTAGACTGCAGTTTTAACTGACAAATTTAGACCTGGAGACATTGATTTGAATTTCATTTCAACATCAAATGTTAAGGATATTTAATATCCTAATGTTTATGAAAAGGCATTAGTAAGATACCAATTTATGGAAGTACTCGTGAGAATTGCATTGGATAAATATACTCGAACTGGAATATGTAAATCAATGAAATTAAGTGTTCTGAAATTATTTGAGGATGATTTGGTTAAGGCTAGATTATAAGAGATTGATCGTGCTTAAGATTGGAGAGATTTAAGATTGTGGAATGAGCAATGTGATATATTAATAAGTAAAAAATAATATAATTAATATTTAGAGGATCGATTACCTATGCTTAAGTTATTATTTAAATACACATCAAAATTGAATGCTAAATAGAAATTTTATAAACACACTTGGATATAATTTAAGGATTTCAGAGATTTGATGTTAAGATGTGATTTGTATTGTGATATATTTGTTGAAAGAGATGCTTATTTGGCATATTTATTATCAATGCAAACATAAGTTGATGAGTTATTTAGTTTGAGACATTTTTAAATGGAATTCTATGAGTTTATTGAAGCTTTATGTAGATGTGCTGAAAAATTATCACTTATTAGAACTAAGGATATTTTGAGTATTGATGATAGGAGATAGGAACCACTTCATAAGAAAATTGATGCTTTCTTACTCTTAATCTATTTGAGGGCAGGGGAATCAATTAAATAACAATTGAAAGAATCTGAAGATTTTACTGATTTTGATAAGTGTATGACTAGAAAGCAAAAAACATTATAATAATAAATAGAAGAAATGGGTAGTGAAGAAGAAGATAAACCATATAATCCAGCAGTTGAAGCTGTATCATTGGAAGAATAATTGAAATAAGTGCCAGTGTAAACTGTTTAAACGGGTACTAAATTAAAGAAAGCTTTATCTTTCTTTACGGTTATCAAGTAAATGTAACAATAGAAGTAACTGAAATCGAATTTCTTATTGACAAATGTTGTTTAATACTTTAAATAAAGGGAAGAGGAGATGTTATAAAATGAAATGGAATAAGGATGACTTTTGATTATATATTAATTTATTTATATATAATTATATATATAATAACATGAAGGATGACTATTCTGAATTAACAACTTTGGGTACATCGAGTTCTTCTGCTTATCGTAGATTAGTTGTTTTACAAAAGAGTGATGTTTCAGAATTGTATACTAATTTAACAAATGAACGATATACTTAGTAGAAAAATAAGAAATAACTCTTTTAGAAGAGATTCGAAAGTGTATAGGAAAAGAATGAGAGTTTTGAAGCCTAAAACTAATTGTTAAAAATGGAAGTTAATGATTGGTAAGCATTCTTAGAAAAAGAACATGATGCCATTTATTAAATCAATAATGAAGATATAACGAAAACAGAAATCAAATCCCCTTTAACTTTAAAGATGAAGACTAATCCAACTATTGCAAGTCCAACTAATGATAGAACTAATTACTTTTACAAGATGAAATTAGGCAAGTATTTTTTCATTAATCATCTTAAGCAAGCAACTATCTGTTATCAGTACTTAAGATTTTTTGAAGACTGTTAGATACTCCTAGAAATTTGAAGATTATTCTAAACTCTATAAACAATAACCGCATAATCTATACTTAAGTCTTAATTTCTCTTAAGCTGCAAGAGTACCTAAAACATTTGGTTTAATTCAAAACACTAGATCTCTAGTTACTGCTAATGCTAGTAGATCAATAAAGAACAGTGATGATGGTCATGCATTCTCAAATGCGATGCTTACTTAATAAAGTAGATAAATCTAAGTCATGTAATTAAATCATAATTAATTTAATCCCAAATAATTAAGAGATATACTTCTTACATTTCCTATTACATTAAAAGACTTAGAATTATAAAATTGTAAATTAAATTATATGCATATGGAAATTTTGATGTCTTTTGTAGGCAAAAACCAAATTTATAAATTAAATCTTGAAAGCAATAATATTCGTGATCTTGGTTCACAGATTATTATGAAACATCTTCTCAATAATAATACACTTTAATCACTCAATCTAAATAATAATCAAATAACAGAATGTGCTAGCATATCTATTTCCAATCTTTTAAAATAGACCCAACGCCTTTTAGAACTATATCTTGGATACAATTTTCTAAATGCAAGTGCAGGTACTACTATTTGGAAAGCTATGTACAAAAATACTAGTATAAAAATATTAGATCTATCTCATAATAATATAGCATCTTTAGAATGTGCTTAATCAATCAATAAAGCTATTTCAAGACCTTATAATGAATTATTGCATGTTGATCTTTCTTTTAACAAGTTTACATATCCACAAGCATAGATAATAGCTGATGCTCTATAAAAAAATGAAACTATTTATGGTTTTCATTTTGAAGGAAACTAAGCTGAATTGTGTGTTAATGCTAATGGTTTTTTAATTAACAATCTGGTTTACCATGCATAATTGAAAGAGAAATTAACTCAACTTTATAAATAACCTTAATATTTTAAGTTATTAGAAGAAGCAAAGGTTGAATAAACTAATATAAAAAGAGAGTAATCTCTAGTAATGCCTTTTAGTAGATCTAGAAAAATTCGTTCAACAAAATTGAATGTTTAAAAAATGAACGAAATAAATAAATTAGATACATGTTGGATATGTGAAGGATGGTAAGAAATAAAATTTGAATGGATAGCTCATAAATCTGGAAGCTTATATAACGAACCAATCTTTATTCATTTTGATTTTGAAGATTATCGACCTTTATTAATGACATTTCTTAACAATGAATTCTTTTTCATAAAAATGTGTCCCCCAAATAAAGAAATACATTATTTCTTTACTAATCCAATTCTTGGAGTTTAACAACCAGCAATGGATTAGAATATAAAAAATATATAAATATAATCAATTCCATTTTTGTACAATGATGAAATTTTAGTGGATGGTAATGTAATGGATTAAGTAAATGTATATAAAACGAGTAATAAATAATAATTGTTTGACAAATATATGCCAATGGTATAATGTAAGCCTCGAGAACCAATGGCTAAATTTGATTTTTCACCATATTTGAATATAAAAACACATAAATGGTCAGTAGAGAATTCAATCTTTAAACATTTTTAACCAGATACACCATAATTAATAGATGAATGTTTTGAATTTGATTTTTAGAATTCAAAGGTTACGAGATTAGTGAAAGATACAGAGTTATAGGAGATTAAAGAGAATCTAAAGATTTTGTATCGTCAATTATTTCATATTTATAAATATCATGCATCTGGGTCATTAACAACACCAATACCATGCATAATGATATAAGACTATATCGACTTTTTAGTTTAAACTTCATTAATGGATGGATATAAGACAAATGATATTGATATAAGTTTTACATCTACAACAGCAGCAAAAGATGTTTAATTTCCATAAGCATTTGATAAAGGATTAGTTCGTTGTTAATTATTAGAAATAATGATAAGAATGTGTAATGATAAATATATTAGATAAGGAATTTGCACAACAATGACTGAGGCTATAGGTTTAGTAATAAAATAGGTTTAAGATTATTTTATTAAATTTGATTAATCATAGATGTGGAGAAAGAGTAGATTATGGAATTAAAAATGTGATATTATTTTGAATGATAGATTGGCTATGTTAAAATCTCTATTTAAATATGTAAATAGATTGAGTAAGAAGGATAAATAGGTTTGTAAATATGATTATATATCTGTATAAGACTTTAAAGATTGGATTATATAATGCAAATTAATTTGTGATGATTTAAGTGAAAGAGAATGTTATTTAATATATTTATAATCAATGATTACTTAGAAAGATGAATTATATTCTAGCAAACATTACTAGATGAATTTTCATGAATTTATAGAAAGTGTTGGTAGATTGGCTGAGAAGTTGTCTATTATAAGAGGAGACAAACCTATTGATATAGATGATAGAAGAGCAAAAGATCTAACATCAAAAATAGATGGATTTCTATTATATATTTATTTGGTTATTGGAAATGACATGAAATAAGCATTGCCTCCAAATGATTCAGATATAAGAGGAGTAGATAAATGTATGATTAATGATTTTAAATCATTGAAATAAAAATTAGAAGATTCCTTTACTGATGGAGATGAACCACCTTATGATCCAAGAGTTGAATTACCTCATTTATCGAGTCAAATTACAAATGTTTTAGGAAATACAATTGGTGGTAAAAAATAAACTTTAAGATAATAACTTAAATAAGTTAAAAGGGAAGAACAAAAATTCTCTCCAATTAATTTTGTTTAATACTTTAAAAGTATTTAATAAAATCATGTAGATCATGATGATTGATAAATTATTCAGATTTAGATCTTTTTTTACAATTCTTTTTATTAATCTTTTATCACATTTTTCAATTATCTCAAACATAAATATTCTTATTGAGCTACTTATCTTTCTTTAAAAGTTGATATCATTAGTTATTCAATAACATCTAATTGAACTCCAAGTTTCTATGGTAATTTCAATTTTAATTCATTCCTAATATATCAATAAATTTTATAACTTATTTAATGAAAGCACTTATGAAATATTTAAATTGATTTGTTGTTGTAATGCATCTATACAATCTCTCTTCTCTTTTATTTATTCCTCCTAATAATTGTAAATAATGTTTTTTACATTCTTTTGAATAGTCTATTACTGAACTTCTAATTTTCTAGATTATTAAATCATATGAACATGTTTTTTGTTTAAATCAATTTCTAAGAGATCTAATTTATTATTTAAGACCTTTAATTCATTATCTTTAGTTTAATATTCTTTTTTCATTTTTTGAAGATTTTCTTTTTCTCTATTCAAATCATCTGAATTATCATTTTGATTTTGTTATATCAATAATTCTAAATGTTCCTATATATTGAAAAAGTCTTACTTATAATTATTAATTTTCTTTTCTTAAATTATCAGCTTCATATTCTTTTGCATCATCAAAATCTAATTGATAAGGAGATGGAGAATTTGTTCCATTTTAAGTATTCATTTTAACACTACATTTTTTAGAATGATAACGAGAAGGTCTTCTCTTTCTTGCAGAATCTTAGATCATTAGATTCTTTTCAATTGCTTCTAATTTCTTTTGAACATCCTTTATTGATATGGTCTCATTTTTAGAATTTAATGGTTAAGTATTCTATTGTATCACTCTTACTTATCCTTATACTATCTTTTGTATATTCACATTAGAATTTTCAATTAATGTTTTTTAGAACAATTCATAAAGTTTCTCGTCCATGTTTAACGAATTTATATATAATTATTTATAAACATTTTAATAACGGGAAAATATATAAAAATTAATAAATTAATTATGGGAAATTCAGGAATACGAAAATTATGGTTTTTGGATTCTCCTGTTGAAACTCCTTATAAATCAATTTATGAAATTGATGTAATCAATATAAATAAAAGTGAAGAATCACTTTCTCAATATAAAGGTTAAAAAATAATAATAGTTAATGTTGCAATCGATTCTCCTGAATTGAATGATTAATTAAATTATTTAAAATCTTTACCTTATCAAGTATTACTCTTTCCAAAATATGATAATAAATACACCTATTAATAGATAGCAAATAAATTATAAGGATTTAAAGTATTTTAGAAAGTGGAATTGAATGGTTAATATACACATCCATTATATAAATTTTTAAAGAGACAAACACCTTAACTCTATGATGAGAAATTGGCCAATGGGAGATAAATCAAACAAGATTTTTGTAAATTCTTGATATCTGAAGAAGGTTAACCAATTAAGTACTTATTACAAAATGAGAAATTATGAATTATATATTATGTATAGACATTTATATCGAAATCCAACCATCTTATCAAAGATTCTTATTAAAGAGTACACTAACCTTAAAAGTGAAGAATTAGCTTTCAGATATGCAGCATTAGCTAAATTACGCACTTAAGAATTAGAATTCGAAGCTCTCCATCAATTAGATCCAGTCGAATAATGGGATATTAGTAAAATGTCTTTGTTACCTCAAATATTCACTTTACTTACTAATCTACATAGAGCCACTCGTTCTGATTCCTTGATTTCCTACCCTTAAGTTGAAGCAGTCAATCGTATTACAGCCTTATTAGATCCAAATATGTTCCCTATATAAGATCTGTCTCTAAAATTACATACTTCTGATAGTGTGACCATCTGGGATAAATCAAAGACATAAAGAGTGACTAAGAATTTAGGATTCAAACTTAATCTTAAAGAAAGCACTATAGATCATTCCGATGCAGGTCAAGGAGTTTTCTTAGAAACTCTTCCAGCAAACAAAAGGCTGTTACTTATTTTATTTTAAGTGTTCCTGCAGGTACCCTCTTAGGCTTTGTACCAGGTGTGATCTATGATAACTATTAATCATATGGTGAAAAGACCCCTCCAGACATGCATTTCTTTAGATTCGATGGACCCATCTTTGATTTCACATCTAAAATTTATTACCCTTATCTTCCAGGCTATGGGTATGATGAATATGAACAAAAAATACAAGAATTACAAGATGTTGCTGCTAGATCTAATAGACCTTATAGAAATAAATAAAAAGGAGGATTTGAATTAATCAATGGAGAAGACATTAATCCCTATGCATTAGGACATAAAATCAATCATACTCCAAGAAATAAATCTACTAATGTATGTTTAATTGATATTTTTGTTCCTTAAAGCTTCTTTCCATAAGAATTAATGAAATTTTGGCCAACTTAATATTTCTCCACAACTTAAGATTTTCTTTAAAATAAGTCTCTTCTTGATCATCATTACAAAAATCATATTAGAGGTCTAGGATTCATTAGTGTTACTGATATTTAAGATGGAGAAGAATTATTCTTAGATTACTTAGAATCCTGTCTTTTTAATATGGAAATTGAATCACCTGATTGGCTTATTAAACCACCTCCATTGCATCCATAAATTTGTAAATGCAATCTCAGATAAGAAAGTTTATTGATGATGCTTTTAGAGGATTATGCCTTTTCATAAACTAAAGATGGAAAAAACTTTGATAAATTTTATAAGAGTATTTTAAGAGAAAATCCACAATATCTATGAATTGAACATTAAATAAATTTTATCAAATTATATAACAATATAATCACTCATTATCATGTATTTTATGTTTACCTAACTTTTATTTGTAATTTACATAAACTATTTATTATTATTTAATAATTATTTATATATATATATATATAAATGATCTAATTTCTCAATTTTACATTTAAATAAATGAAAGTATCTAAATCATGTTTTTTTCTAATTATTTCTATTTAATGTATATAATGATCACCCATATTATTTTTCTTCATGTTGACCTTATTAAATGTTCTAGCTTAATTGTTATCAGATTCATCAAGTTACAAAACGAAAAACCCAGCATTTCTTTATTTAAGAAATTTAGAGTATATTATATATGATAATATAGTATTAGTACAAAATAATATAAAAATGAATTCAATCATTTATCTTTGAGGTAATCAATGATTTCTTTTTCGTTTGATTGTTTAAATGAATTTGAAATTTGGTGATTTTGGTACAATAATATGAGTTTCAATTTCTAATTGCAATAGATGATTATCTCCCATACATATTTCCTCTTATTGTTAAAGATGTTCTTTATTCTTAATAAATTTATTGTTTTTAATTCCTAAGAAGTCCATTTATTTTAATTAATAAATTAAATGATTCACTATGAATAAAAATAAATATATAAATTGTATAAATTAATCATTTTGTTAATTTCATTTTGATTAACTTCTACTTCTACTTCTACTCATCTATTTCTTATGATTTTTATCTAAAGAATTATTTTATTCTTTTTATTAAAGACCAATTCTAATTTTTAAAGTATATCCTTTTAATTCTAAATCAAGCATAGCAACACTTTGTGCTTCACTTAATGTACTAAATTCAATAAATGCCCTTCTTTTAGTAAATTAAGACCCTTCATTACGAGGTATTTCTATTGAAACTATTGTACCAAATTTAGAAAAGAAATCAGCAATCTCTTTATCACTTATTTTCAAAGGAAGTCCTTAGACAAAAATAGTTTTCTAATCATGATCAATATCAGAAGCATCATCTATTTATTCTTCTTCATCATCTATGTCATCAAGTCCTTCAATATCTGAATCTAACCATTCAATTTTTTTCGATTTTTAATTAGTTTGTTCATTTATCATTTCTTTTTCTTCTACTATTTCTATTTCATTTTCCTCTTATTAATTCTCTTATTATATTTCTACTTTTTATTTAATTGGTTATTCTTCATCTTCAGAAGGAGGCAATTAAATCTTTTCTAGTACTGATTGATCATCGATGTCTTAAAATTCTTATTGCCATTCTTTATTTTTCTTTTAGAATTGAAATTACTTTTTCATTTTAATAATAAAATATATCAGTGATTCATAAACTTAATCTAAACATAATACATAACTCCTCCAAACATACCTCCACCTAATCCTGACATCATTAATCCTTTCCATCCAACAGATTCAGCAGCTAGTACCATAGATGAAAACATGCAAGACAGAAATGAATTGGTAGCATCATCTCTAATTCTTAATTTTTCTAATTGGCATTCAAATATTGAATAAAAAGCACCAAAAATAGCAAATCCTTTTGCCATTCCAAACATTTTATTTATATCTCTCTATTGATTGATTAATAAATTACTCTTAAAACATATCTAGTTGATTATTTAGTTCTACCATAATCCATATCTCTCATTTCAACTGCATTCATAAATAAAGCCATCAAAAATCCCATTGCACCTCCAGCTACAGTAACCATACCTGCTTTCGCTGCACAATTAGTATCCATAAATGTTACATGCTCTTAATTATATATTTGTATAATTTACTAAATGGATTAGGTTCTTATTCCATTATTAAATAATTAAAAAATATGGCAGTACCATTATAAGTATATGAGTTAGGAAATGCATGCAAAAAGTTTTTATTTTCAGCAGAGTTAATAGGTATGCTTACACTTTTAACTTTTCAAAACAAGTTGACTTTAATTATTGGAATCAGATTATTGATTGAGACTTTTGCTGCAGGATATTTTTATCTTAAATGTAGTGATTCTGCTGGTGAGCCAATCTAAGAATAATAAGATTATGAAATGGGTGAAATATCATTTTCAAGTTAAAGAGGAGACAATGGATAATTTGAATCTTAAACACCTGATAGAAATGAATGTTAAGAATGCAAAATTGTTTAACCCTATAGAACAAAACATTGTTCAAAATGTTAGAAATGTATTCCTAAATATGATCATCATTGTTTCTGGATTGGAGGATGTGTAGGTGAATTGAATCATAGAATGTATTGGTTATTTCTTTTCTTTCAATGTTTACTCTGCTTTGATGCATTACTATAATTTCAGAATTAATTTACATTCTATTCAATTTATGATGAAGAATTTGGACATGATTAATACTAACCATACTATTTTTTTATTTTGATTATGGCAGCAACATCTTTTGGGTTTGGAATATTCACTGGGACTTTACTTATTTATCACACTATGTTGATCTTGACAGGTAAAACTACTTGGGAACATACAAAAAGAGATAAGATTTCATATCTCAATTTTTATCCAAAATATTATCACCCTTACAATTATGGTTTCATAGAGAATATCAAATTAACATTTTTTCATAAAAGTATTCTATCTCATTGGATACCACCACAAAAAGATTAAATTTAAGAATAATGTAATATATTTGATAACAAATATTACTCTTGTTGTTGATACATTTACTATTTAATTCTTTAGTACATAACTAATTATTTATTTGATTTTGGATAATGGATTTATAAAAGTATTAACTATTAGCTCTTTTTAATTTTAAGATTTAACCCTATCTTAATCTTTATATCATTTTTAATTTAAAAAAAAATATAAAGTTCTTTCATTAAATCTATAAAAAATTAATCTCAAAAGGATCCCATTTTTTATCATTTTCCTCTTCATTACTACATCTAAATTAAATAGGAAAATAAGACATTTGATTTTCTGTTTTCTCTTAAGGTTGACTAATTTTATTATTATTTTTTAATTTATTGCTCTTACCTGTGAGGAAAAGATCTTAATTCTCGGTTTCATTTGAGTATATTATGTCTAATTTAATATATCTAATTATCTGTAGTAGTAGCACTACTATCAATGATCAATTATTATTTAGGAATAAACAATAAGTTAATTACTTATTTACCTTAAAGTTAAAGATCTTTTTCTATTTTCAAATTCTTTTTTTACTTTCTAATAACATTAGTGTATTTATTAAAATCAAACAGTTTTTATTCTTGTAGTTATTTTAAGTATCCAATATGAAATATTTGAGACAGTTAGATTTAAAGTAATTAACTTTGTTTAAAATTGTTATAGATTAATTAGATAATAAGGTATTATGAAAAATAAATGAATAACTAAAAATATTTATAAAATAAATAATAAAATTAAAGAGAATTAATTGTAAATTGAAAATAATGAGATGAGATTATAGAAATAATAATCAATATTCATTAGTCAATAAGATTTGTAGTTCTAAGAGACTTGATAATCTTAGCATCTAAACTTATATTACATTTTTAATGGAGATATGATTAAATATTTAACTACTCTTATTATTGTAAAATGTGATTTTCTAATGGAAATTAACTATCTTATTTATCATAATTCGTTTTTTTAATTTTATCTTTGAAAAATGGGTGTTCTAGAGCTTATTGAGCATTAATTCTTTTAGTAGGATCAACTTCTAACATCTTTTTAAGTAGATCTGCTGCATCTTAATCAGGTACAAATTGTTATACATTCTACATTTTAGATTTTAATAGAGGTTGATTGGTTATTCTAAGAATAAATTAAGAATTCTATACAAATTAAATAAAACAACTCCAACACTAAACATATCTGAATTATAACTTGATTCTTTTGATCTCAATACTTCAGGAGCATAATATCCAGGAGTTCCACAAACACTACTAACTGTACCAAATTTTAGATTTGCTGCAAAACCAAAATCTATAACTTTAATAGAATTATCTTTTTATATGATAATATTCTCTGGCTTTATGTCTCTATGAACAATTTTTAAAGATTGTAAATACATTACTGTATTCAATAATCNTACATCTAAATTAAATAGGAAAATAAGACATTTGATTTTCTGTTTTCTCTTAAGGTTGACTAATTTTATTATTATTTTTTAATTTATTGCTCTTACCTGTGAGGAAAAGATCTTAATTCTCGGTTTCATTTGAGTATATTATGTCTAATTTAATATATCTAATTATCTGTAGTAGTAGCACTACTATCAATGATCAATTATTATTTAGGAATAAACAATAAGTTAATTACTTATTTACCTTAAAGTTAAAGATCTTTTTCTATTTTCAAATTCTTTTTTTACTTTCTAATAACATTAGTGTATTTATTAAAATCAAACAGTTTTTATTCTTGTAGTTATTTTAAGTATCCAATATGAAATATTTGAGACAGTTAGATTTAAAGTAATTAACTTTGTTTAAAATTGTTATAGATTAATTAGATAATAAGGTATTATGAAAAATAAATGAATAACTAAAAATATTTATAAAATAAATAATAAAATTAAAGAGAATTAATTGTAAATTGAAAATAATGAGATGAGATTATAGAAATAATAATCAATATTCATTAGTCAATAAGATTTGTAGTTCTAAGAGACTTGATAATCTTAGCATCTAAACTTATATTACATTTTTAATGGAGATATGATTAAATATTTAACTACTCTTATTATTGTAAAATGTGATTTTCTAATGGAAATTAACTATCTTATTTATCATAATTCGTTTTTTTAATTTTATCTTTGAAAAATGGGTGTTCTAGAGCTTATTGAGCATTAATTCTTTTAGTAGGATCAACTTCTAACATCTTTTTAAGTAGATCTGCTGCATCTTAATCAGGTACAAATTGTTATACATTCTACATTTTAGATTTTAATAGAGGTTGATTGGTTATTCTAAGAATAAATTAAGAATTCTATACAAATTAAATAAAACAACTCCAACACTAAACATATCTGAATTATAACTTGATTCTTTTGATCTCAATACTTCAGGAGCATAATATCCAGGAGTTCCACAAACACTACTAACTGTACCAAATTTTAGATTTGCTGCAAAACCAAAATCTATAACTTTAATAGAATTATCTTTTTATATGATAATATTCTCTGGCTTTATGTCTCTATGAACAATTTTTAAAGATTGTAAATACATTACTGTATTCAATAATCCCTATTACGATTTTATCCAATCATACAATCATTATTGATTTAATTTCATTGCTGGCAAGTTTTTACTTTAAAATATCACTTAATGGTATTCCTGCTACAAATTCTTAAACAATCCAAAATGTTTAGTCATTTTCATAAACTTCAATCACCTTTACAATATTCTAATGGTTAAGTGACTATAAAATAGATACTTCCGTTTAGACAATGTCCTTAAATAATAATCAAATTAATTTATATACCAAAACTTGTTCTTCTCTTCCAAATTCTTATTTTATCATTTTTACAGCCACTGCTTTTTTACTCTTCTTATCTATACTTTAAAATACCTATAATAACTAATTAATTTACTTTGGCTGATAATCCTTCTCCTATCAATTGAATAGGCTCATAAAATGATGCCATATTTCTATATATCACTCGACCACCTAAAGTATTCTTCAATTTTTCAAGATGTATTTATTATGCTTCAAAATATTTTATATTATTTTGATAAACTATTCCAAATGCTTTTAATGATTCTTTTCCCATTTTCCACAAAATCTATGTTGTTAATTTAAGTTCTATACGATATTTTGGCTTCTCGTAATTGTTATACTTAATATTTTAATCATAAGGTTACTGCTGATATCCAAATTTCATCTTACATCACTTTCAAATAATATGTTTTAGAAAAAAAAGTATGAGGCCTAATACAATTAAAACAGAGTAAATCCTTGTCCATTGTAATTTTATTCTTTTACTAAATTGATTTATATTATTTAATAATTTTATATTTCTTTTCTCAATTATGTAACTCTCATTATCATCATCAATACAATTATTCATTTCTCATAATATCATCTTTTTAACTACCTCTAATTATATCATTTTACTTTAAAAAAAACATAATATATCTATAGAAAATTATAATATTTAAAATAATCATTAATTTTACATATCAACTATTCCAATTAAATCTATGTTAATTAATTAAATAAAAAAAACTGTTCATTAACTACTTAATTAATATGCAAATTACAAAATTCAAAACCAAATTTCACTTTTTTTTCAAAATTAGAAATATTAACTTTTTTTATGATTTTTATAAATATATTTGCAACTTGTGAACATAAAATAATTGCACATTTACAATTTGTCCTTAGTAATCTTTAAGCATGAAATAGAATAATCTTTCTTGATATTTATGATGTTATGGTTAATATTTAGATGAATTAACTTTCAATATATATAATATATATGTATATGACAATAATAAGAGGAAATAAAATTAATTTTTTTAAATAATAACAAGAATTTAAAAATTTTTAACTTTTTATCTTGTTTCAATAATCAATTAATCTCAATACCAATTCTTATTACTTCAACACATATTCTCATTATTATAGTTTCTATTTATTTTGTAGCTTTTTACATAAGAAAACTATTTAATTTAATCTTTTTTTTTTTATCTTCTTTAAAAATTTGTTATACAAGCCTAACAAAACGATTAAGGCTTAAAATATTTAATAAATTAATTACAAATTTATGAATTCATTTTTAATATATGAGAAGTCTTTACACATTTTTATATAATTTACTCATATTTAATTAATTATGACGCATCAAAATCTCTCTTTATATCCAATATAATATTGATAGGATCAAAATTATTATTTATAATGAACATTTTTAATTATCATAATGAAAATGAGTGCTCTAATAACACGGGTTCTGAAATAGAGAAATCTTTGGAAAAAAAAGAGCTTAGGCCTCGAAATAATTTAGGTCCAGGAGTCTTTTAGGAATATAAACGAACCTACGTCAAAGTACCATCTAATTCAAAGGAATAACTTGCATAACTTGTATTCAAGGAAGGGTTTAAAATCAAAGATGTATACTACTGAATTAAGAATTTAATAGGCAGCTAAGAATTTGGGTATTAAATATGCAACCGCAAAGACTATAATATTCCATATGCGTAGAGAAAATATAAAACAAATGAAGATAAAGCAGTAAAAATGCAGATATACCAAAATATCAGAGAAATAAATTCTGAAATACAAAATAATTTCTAGTCTTTCAAATAGGATGGTATCCTAAAAGGAATTTATTATGTAATTTCAAAAAAATGGTTAAGGTTAAGAATTTTAAATGATATGAAATCCTTTGAAGATAATTGTGTGTGTAAAATTACTTAAAAAATTATTTTTTATTCGTTAAAAATTTATAAATATTTATATTCAAGTTACTCTCCAAAGTGTATTGTTTAATCAATCTTTACTTTCTAGATAATTCGGTTAATACAGTTTTGTTGATTCTAAAAGTTTGCATCATTTTTTTAATTTTGAATAGTTGCATATTTAAAACACTAAAATTTTGGATTTTATTCAATAAAAAAATGTTATTCAAAGAAAAGAATACAATTAGTAGCGATATTTAAAAGAAATGAATGAAAATAGTGAAACACACAATTAGATTATTTATGAATTAATTATATATAGTATAAGGTGTATAGTAAGAAAATACATGTAAAGATTACTAATATAGATGAATTTATGGAATTTGAGGGCTAATTTTTGAATGAATCACTTCATAATAAAAATAATTTAAAAAAAAAATAAAAAAAAAAAACACGACATAAAAATTTAATTTGTTTAATTCAAAGTCATGTTTAAATTTCGATAAAATTAATATATAAAATTAAATGAATTTGTATTTAGAATAAGCCGCCGAAGAGTTTGAATAGGCAATTTCAGATGCTGATCAATTGATGGCATTAACTAAAGCCACACTTCAAAAATTTTCAAATTATTTAAAAAGAAAATAATAAGAGAAATTGGAGCGAAGATTTCATTTAAACAACATTACAGAAGATTCTAATAGTATGAAACATATCGATAAATAATCATATAGTTAATTGAAAATATTGGAATATTTTAATAAGTTTCATAAAGAGATGGATAAATAATTGAGAGATTTGAAAGAATTGATTCCCTCCAATCCTTAAACTTTTGTTATAGAAGAGTTAAATGAATAGGAATAATCAAATAAATAAACAGAATAAAAGGTAATATAAAAGGTAGTTAATTAAGAACAAAAAATTTTCCCTATTTTCAAATAATTAAGGAATTCAGGTTAAACAGTATAAAATTCTAATTCTTAAAGTTAATCTATTTAAGGATAAAATTAAACATAAGTTTAATTGTAATTCTAAAATTCTTAAAACTAAATATAATTTTAGGCATTATAAATTTAAAACACATAAAAAGAAAATAATTATTAAAAGGTTTCAACATAAATTTAAAATAATTAATTGGAATAATAAACAGAAACAATAAAACCAATTTTGAAATAAAGATAAGAAATAAAGGAATCAATAATAACATTTGGAAGATTATATAAATTTTAATACTAGAAATTAATATATCCAAAATAAAATGAAGGATATTGTGTATTTTGTGGTTTAGAAGCAAATGAATAAAATTTAGGACCTCTTTTATTAATACCATCAAATAGTAATTAAAATGAGAAATATTAATTACATGAAATGTGTGGATTATGGAGCTAAAATTTAGTATTTTTTTGTAATATAGGATAATGTGATCCTAAAAATATAGATGAAGAGGTTGAGAAATCTAAAAAAACAGTAAAGATATAATAATTTATTTTAGAAATGTTTTTTATGTAGTAGGATAGGAGCTACTATTTGTTGTGCATTATGTCCATAATCATTTCATTTTACATGTCTAATGAAAAGTTCTTAAACAGGTAAAGTAAAATATACTTATATTAAGGTAAATTAATAGAGAATTAATTTAAATTTTTTTGTGATAAACATAAATATAAAGCAAGATTTGAAGTAACAAGTGATGAAGAATAATAGCCAAAGAAAAAAAAGAAAGTTTAATCTAAATTAAATACATCTAAATCAATAATTAAGAATAGTCCTAAAAGAGCTAAATCACCTGTATCATAATAAATTTTGATTCATTAATGTTTAAAGAGTAATGATGAAAATTTTAAACGTTAATGGATTGCACCAGAAGTTATTTATTTAAATTTACCTTAATGGGATACTATTGAGTAAAAAATTAATGATTTAGATCAATTATTAATATAGAATAAAAAGTGTGAAACATAACATAACTATTAATCAGAAATTAAATAAGAATAAATGAATTGACTTTTTGATAATTTATATATAATTAAATAATTAACCCTTTTAAAAAGATGTAACCTAAATCACTATTCATTGGAAATTCATTAGGTGATGATTTTGATGATGGAATGATAGATAAAATAAGTAGAGTGAAAATTCAATACAATAAATAAAATATTGTTGCTATTGGATTATTTTATGAATCAAGATAAATCTATAAATATCATAATTTTTGTGGTAATGCTGTTAGTAAATTTTATTTCTATGTATGGGAAGAAGAATTCTTGATAGAAAAAGATGATTGTAAGAATATTATATATTTAGATCTTTAGTAAATAAGTGGCACTTTTGACGGAACTTATATCACCTCATTATAACTTATAACATATAATGCTTCAACTGCTAACTATAAAGCATCTTGTGAAGGAATAAAATTTGTAATAGAAAATTATGGTATTTTATAAAATAAACAAAGGTGATACATTTTCTAGTTGTAATGGTTCATTTAATTAAAATGGTTTAACATCTTTAGGCTTTAAGCTCATTCCATTAAATTATAATGATTTTGAAAGAATCAATAATAAAATTCATTATTTGTCTTATGGTCATCATTATCCTTAAATATACATTCCTCAATATTCATAATATCTAAACTATCCTTCAAATTGAGATTATTCATTTTTTATTTTTTACTATAATAAATTTTCAAATTTTTAAACTAAGTATTAAGTAATTAATATAATGTCATAAAATCCATAATAACAAAATTCTATATTCCCTACAACTACTGCATTATCATAACCAACTACTCTTTTTGGTAATTCACAACCAACACAACAAAATAGTTTGTTATTTGGATAAACAAATACTTAAGGTATTTCTTTATAATATTCAATTAGCTGGATTTGGATAAAACACTTTACTAAGTTAGCCTACTTAAAATTAGGGAATTTTTACTTAACCGTAAGCACAAGGTCCCAATTTATTTGGAAATCCCTAACCTGCATTTGGATAATAGACAAATTTATTTACCACTCCTTAATAACAACAATAAGCAGGTTTAATGTAAAATGGACTCTAATACCAATAATAAAACTAAATTCAACCTTTGATTAATGATTCAAATGCCTTTAAAGATAAATATAACATAGTGACTTAAAAAATTATTGAAATTGAAAAAAGCTTTATTAATCAACCTACACAAATCTAATAGTGGTAATAAATGATCTAACCTATTTCTTAAATTATCTTTTAAATGGATACCAAATCTGTATTTGAAACTTCTGAATAAATTTTAGCTGGCCAAAAAGAATAGTCTAAAAATCTAAATGAATATATATCTACTGTTGGATTAGTTTAAAAAATAACAGAAGATGGATTAGAAGTCTTAAAAAAAGAAGAAGCTTAATGTAATGATTATTAAAAAGCATAATAAACTATGAAAGAATCATATGATTAATTATCAGGAAGCGTTAGAATTAATTAATAGTTTTCTGTTCCCTAAAAATATTAAGAACAATTAATTCTTTAATAACATGAATAACTAGATTTATTAACCAATGCTGTTGATAAAATGATTAAATATTATGAAAAATAACCAAATATGGATGTAGATGAAGCTTTATAATATAAATTAATGCACCTACAAACACTATCCAATTATTAATGTATGCTTTCATCAAGAATCAGAAATATCTAAGAAAAAAGTATATATTTATTATTAATTAGTATCCACATTTTAAAATAAAACCTATTCTTAGATCATGCCAGATAAAAAAATTGATGAATTTTATACCATTGATACACATAAAGATATGTTAGATCAAATTATTGCTGAAAAAATCTGATATGATTATTTTTGCTATTTTTAAAAAAAGAAATCAAAAATTATTATTTAAGAACTATCCAACAAAAAGATCAATTCTATTTTTGATCCTTAATTAAAAATTTCTTATAATTTTCAAAACCTTTTTAAATAAAAAGTTATAATATTAGAAATATTCATATTTTTAAAATAAATTTAAAAAAAGTTATATTCAAAACAATTTGATTATATCTCAAAAAGTTTTTTAAACAGAAAAAAACTCTTAAAAAAAATGAATTCAATGAATTCTACTCATAATTCTAATTATTATTAATTTATTTCTCTTCCTTATATCATCCGATGTTTAGAATTAAATTTTGTTTAAGTCTTTTTGACTAAACGATAAATTCATCAAATTTAATAAGTTATTAGACTATCATAAAATAAAATTTACTCTGATAGATGGATTTAGGTAATTCAATATCATACTTTTACTTATTTTCTTCATTATTTTATAATTGATTACTCAATTTTTTTGATTATTATTCTTTAATAAAGTATTTAGCCAAGTTAGATTATTCGATGCAGCTTATGAAGAAGTTTAAAATTAGAAAACTTTTTCCATCCATTTTTAAAATTTCTCAGTTATTTGAAACTTCATAAGAAATATCTATTGAATGTTTTGGAAATAATTTTTTAATGCAGTTATTTATGTTTTTTTTTCCTGAATCAATCATTTATTAGGAAATTAGTTTATTAGTAAATAACTTATAAATTACAAAAGATTCTAATTTTAGATTAAGCTTGTAAATCAATATAAAAAAAGAAAAGTAAAAATGCAACATTTTCAGAGCGATAATCATCAAAACCTTTAGAGGAAGTTTTTAAAATAAAAAAATTATGATACCATAAAGACAAAAATTAATCTCTTTAAATATTAAAATAAAATCTAAGATAGATGTAATATAAATTAAGCAAATACTAATAGTAATCAATTTATTTTAATCCCCTAAAAATAACCTTAAATTATAATATATCCAATTTAATGATTTCTAAGGTAAACAGTTTACGATAGTAGAAATTTTTACTAAATGAAAAAAAGAAAGAATTAAACGAATGATGGTTAGTTTAATTGTATATTTACAATAATTCTAATTTGATGACTTATATTAGCTAAATGATATATAAAATTTTTATTAAATTAAAAAATTAAACAATTAGAAATAAAAAAATTGGTCATTTGGAATCGAACCAAAACCCTCTGACATGCAATCAGTTGCACTTCCTATGTGCGACGACCAATTATTAAAAGTTATCTTATTAGATGAGAATATAAGTTTAAATCAAAAAAAACTTAAATAACAGCTCTTCCGATTTAATAACAATATTTTAAATGTTTAACATTATATATAGATATGTTACTAATCAAAATAAAAAGATACAATATAACTTTTCAAGTTTTGGTATAAGATAATATTTTTTTTTAAACCTTTTTAGTTAATGAAATATTAGATTTTTATTTGATTGGAGCAAGGAGATTTAATTAAAGTTATCGAAAACTTAAATACGGAGATAATTTAGGTAAATCTTTTTATTTAGGAGATGTGATTGTATTATCTTAGTCAAAAGTCCCCATTGTTCTAATTCTAACACTTGGACTATCTATTAATAAAATTTAGTATAATTACTTATACAATAAGGAAGATGTATAGATTATTGACTTTTGACATTCATCAAATCAAATAATTTATTGTTTGATTATTAAGAGTTCTTAGAGAATGAATTATCTACAAATTTTTGAACATTAATCCTAGATTTTCTTTTTACAAATTGACGCACATACCAATCAGAATTTTTTGATTCTCCTATATCATGGATAGGCGATTTAACAAAGTCTGTTCTTTCATCTTTTTTTTAAGTATTTCTTCTATAAAAAATACTTCTATCTTGTTTTAGTATAAATATTTACTTATACTTTATAGATTTATAGTCTTACTTCTATCATTATGATCATGTAATTTTTTAACCAAAGTTGATTTGTTGATTAATTAAAGATCCATATATTTTTATTATTTTTTACTATTCAAACCACAATAATTGCAATAACAACTTTTTCTTCTTGATGGACCTATTTTTTATGTGACTATTTATTAATTAGAATAGTTTGGCTCTAAGCTTTTTGGTCTCAATTTTCTATATTTTACCAAAGATCTAAGAAAATAATTTGTTTTTTATTTAGTTTTAGGTTGAAAGGATAGTTTTGTTTCACCATCTAAGGAAAAAGATTGGACTGTCCTTAACATCTTTTATTAATAATTATTAAATATGTATTATACATTATCATCAATTTTTTTATAAGGCATTAATCAAATCTTATGTTATTTTGCGTCTTTAAAAATATTAATCAAATAAGATTTGTAAATTTTAATCAATTTACTTAAATCCTTCTTTTTTAACATATAATTCTGACATTTCTAATTCATGATTTAAAGGATGATCAAGCAATTATTTCCAAAAATATGGCATAGATACAGATAATATTGCAAGACATTCATTTGTGTAATTCATTCCTTAAAAAGATTCAACTAAAGAATTATATTCATGAAGCAACTTTTAAGACATAAATTTAAATGATTGTCCATCATATTTAATTTATTCAAATTCTAATTTGACAAAATCAATAAATGAAGTCATAGTATTCAAAGCCTAAAAATTATTAAATGTATATATATACCTTTTCAATATATGTCTATCCTTTTTCTTAAACATAAACATCATTTGCAAGATTTGTTATTTATTCTTTTAAGAGTAATATAAACTACATTTGATGTAAAGGTTTTAAAACATTTAAAGATGACATCAATTGTTCCAAGAGCTCATTTTAATTGAGACTTAATAAAATAGATGATGGAAATATAAGCTAATTTTTATTGGTATAATTTTACAATCTATTCGCTGAACATTATTAATTAATCATAATATATATCTTTAATTATTGGGTAAAAGTGAACTAAATTATTATAAGTAGACTCATATTTCTACTTGTTATCTATAATGATTTAAATTGATTGCTAGAGTACATCAGTATATTTTTTCCAAACCATCAAAAATAAGTGTGGAAATTGATCTTTTAATTCTTCTTAATAAGTTATTAAATGATATTAATCAGCTAAGATAAATATATTAATTTACTTTAATTCATAGCTTAATAGATTAGCCAAATTAGAATCATTTAATTTAATTCATTTTTTATTTGATTTCTATAGTCAGGTAAAAAAGATTTAGAATTTGAAAACAATATCTTATATTGTTCACTTATTTATTTTAATACTTAATTACATTTCAGTTCAAGTATTTCAGGTAATCTACCAAGACTATAAAATATTCCTAAACATTATGTTAAATCTGGAACACTCTTTGCTGAGAGTGAATCCTCAAACTTTCTAGTTACTTTTATCTATAATGTTTCTTCTACTTATTTAATGTATGTTTGATTATTTTTATAGTATTAAAATTGTTTAATTTGTAGTCTATCTATTTCAAATAATGCATTTGCTACTCTTTGAGCATCTGTTATATTTATGCTATTATTTTACTATTAAGCTAAAGATCTCAACAATTTTAATTGCACACTAAATTGTTGGAGTTACTTACACATTTATAAAGCTATTTCGCTGTTTTATTTTATTGGCATTAATTTTATAATTTTATTGTATTTAGTAACATAATTGTCTTATATTCTTTATTAAATAAATTTTATTTTCTTTAAAGCTTCAATAATAACTTCATTATCACATAATTAAGATTTCTTATAATTTTAATATATATTACATCTTTAAGATCTTCAATCAATAATTCATAATTATTTTTTATGTAATGATCTAATTACATTGATATGGATTAATTAATCGAAGTCAATTTTTAAAATATATCACCCAATTAAACCATATTATCTAATTGAATGTAAAATTATACAATTCTTAAGAATCAATAAAACAAACTCTTCTAAAGTTAAATCTTAATCAAATAGTTTGTTTAATGCTTAATCTTGGAACAACTCTGTTTTCCACTTTTCCATTAATTGAGGATCAATCATCTATTAATTAAATTTAATATTTCACATTTTATACACAATATAATATTATTCATCATTTTTATTATGTTTATTAAACTATTTCTTATTCCCACAATTAAGCCATTTAAATTCTCATGTTTTTCAATAAATGGTTTAATTAGTCCTCTGACTTTATTTACGGATTTAAAATAATATTTCCATTTAATTTTGCCATCATTTAAAAAAATATCTCAACAGGCTATTAATAATTATCTTTCCAATTATTTCCCAATAAAGATTTTGTTCTGCCAATTAAATCAAAATATTAAGGTTGAACTCCAGCATTTGCTAATGTCCAAATTGATAATAAATTATCATACATTAAACTAGATGGTTACATGATTCTAATTTTTATTTATTAATTTGAGATTTAGAATTTACTCAATACTTCATGATTAAGTTCAATTATATTTACAATAAATGATTTGGCTACTTGACAGTTTTTGTAAGTTTTTTAAATGAATTAATTCACATATATGTATGCATTCTCAATTAAATCAAGAGGTAAAGAATCTTCTGTAAGTTTAGATATTTATTTCCAACTTGGCTATTAATATTATTGTTGTTATTCAATTCTTTATGTCTAAACTTATTCTTCCTTTCTAAAATAATTGATAATTCTTTCACTAACAACCACTAGTGGCTTTAAAATATTAGACATTGGTTTTATTTCCTCTTAATTTATTTGATCTAAAGATTTGAAGGATTCTTATGAAGGTGGTCTACTTAATCTCATCTTTTGCCATAATTACTAAGCAGAGTAAAAGAAGCCATCAAATACAGGCCTAAAATAAACAACATCTAATTTAAATTTTATTTATAGATACCAATATTGTATGGGCTTATGCGTTATATTGATTTATCATAAAATTCTAAATATTATGAGTCTTCATTTTCTAACCATGCAAAAAGTAAATTTTCAAAACAAAATTGCCATGCCATTTAATTTATTTATCCATCCAATTATATAGTAATTGCTTATCCTGCATATATACGCCATTCCTCTCCTAAGGTTTTTAATAATGACTTAACAAACTTATCTTTCTTTAATAATTGAGATGTGCTTTCAAATAAATTAAAATTGCTATAATAGCAATATTGCATTTCTAATTATTGCATATGAGTTAAATTTAATATTATTAATAAGCTTTTTTTTTTAATATTTTTATCAATTCAGATACATATTATTAATCCATTTTTATTCAGAAAAAAATTCAAACAGATAAAATTTAATATATAAATTGTAGTTTTATATCATATAATTTAATCTTTCACTTATAAAACTTGCTTCTTCTCATTCAATACATCTTATTTAAATTTTTGTAAATATAATTATTCTGATTCTAAAGCTTACTTTTCTTTTATAATATATTTAATCAGAAATTGTATTGCTTCAAATTAAATTGTTAATTAATTTTGAACTTTATTTTTTGAGTTTGCCAAATTTAATAACTGACTAACAGATTCATTCAATTTTATTTACAATTCTTCCATATTTTCTCTTCTTTTATTTAAAAATTCATCCTTGGAATAATAATAATAATAATTTACATGTTTTAATTATTCTTATTCATTCTCTTTCAGGCATAATATTTAATATTAAATTTATTTTTCTTATTATTCTAAATTAAATTATTTTAATTATAGAGCTTATTATCTTTAATTGAGTTTCTATTATTGTTCATTTAAGTTTTAATTTTTCTCTATTAATGACTCCTTATCTTATTATATTTATTTAATTCGATTTTAATTTTATAAATAATTTTCTCGTTGTTTAAACTCAATAGATGTAATTTAAGTTTGCAATTCTTTTTTTTATTTTTTTAGAATTGATTGATCAGTCATATTAGGATTGGTAAAAATTAATCTTTATTAAATTTCATTTTCATTTAATGAATTCATATTGGTATGTAAACGATTTTTGGATCTTCTACTACTTAAAATAACATCTTATTTTAGAATATTTTTTTCTAAAACATCTAATTTTTTTTATATAGATAATTTCTAAAGAACAAGTTTTGGAGTAAGATTTTCTTTTTTGAATTGAATACTCTAAGTTTAAGTGTTTAAAATAGTTTATAAGTGATCATTGGATTCAGACTTTAAATTGTTATCAGACAGTTGAAGAAGAGTTTCTTCAAAATTCATAGATTAATTTAACGTATATATAATAAGTTGAATTATGATGAAAATGTTCATTTTATATTAATAAAAGAATAATTAATATAGAGGTTGATAAAACATAATAATTGAAGATTATTGTAAGGAAATATTAAACTTTTTGTAAGCTTTTGTTTAGAATAATGAGAGTATCTAGTGATTAAGAAAATAAGAATTTAAGATTGATAAATTAAATAATTTATAATTAAAAAGCTTTTGAGTAGGGTTGAGATTTGAGTATAATAAAAAGTTGAATATATCTTAAGATATCCTCAACAATAAAGTAAAATAGTTTAAAAAATATTGTTTATATTTAAATTTAAGAATGAATAAAAAAGATAGCTTAAATGGTATGTATGTTAAATCGTCTAATGATTTGGGAAAAGAGGAGGACTTATTTTTACCAAAAGACAATGAAGAAAGGGAAGTAATTAAATAGGAATTCATACGTGGATAAACTCATAGTTAATTATCATCAGCCGAATTAATAGAAGAAATTCCTTTACCAAGACTAACACTATTTGTGTATTGATTAGAATGATTTGAGTAGGTCCCAAATGTCAATTGATGATGGCCAAAATTATTACAAAAAACAGATGTCTTTAGAAGCATTAAGTCCTACTAAATTTTCGCCTTTAAAGAAATAAGGAAAGTAAGTTGAATAAGGTCAATAAGAAATATCATAATTTGATGTACAATAAGTTTAAACAAGAAGAAAGGTAAATAAAACAAATTATAATGTTGATAACTCTCCAGAAGAATAAGATGAAGTGAAACCTTGTCATTGTGCTAAAACTCATTGTTTATAATTATATTGTTCTTGTTTTCATAATAGACGTAAATGTATGAGTGAATGTAAATGTAATGATTGTTATAATGATGGAAAACATGAAGATGATGTATTAAAAGCAGTTGAATAAATTAAGTTAAAAGAATAGAGAGCCTCTCATCATGATTTAGATTCTTTTGATACAAAGTAAGTTTGGGGTTGTAAATGCAAAAAAACTAAATGTATTAAAGGCTATTGTGAATGTTTTATTCGTGGAAAAAAATGCACATCACATTGTTAATGCACTGAATGTGAAAATAGAAGGCAACCTTAAAAGAAATAAAAAAAGACTTAAAATAATTAGATAAATAAGAAGATAAAGAAAAAAACATAGATTTGATTAATTTTGGCATTTTTCAATTTAATAAAAATTGAAAAGTTTTCACTGCTCAAATATATTAAAAAAAACATAAAAACAAAGGCATTCTTACTATATTAAATAATACAAAATCTAATTTTACTTTAAACAAGTAATTTTTAGACTTTTATTTCTGCTTTAATTATTTTTTCTTGATTTCTGGGGAATTAGTTTTCTGAACTTTATTTATGTTTTTTTGTTAATAATTAGTGTTTTTAGTATTATTTTCTAAGTATATTTTTTACTTTAAAATTACATCTTGTTATTTTTTATAAAATTAAATAAATCATTGAATAGAGTATATAATTAAATATTCATTTTAAAAAGATATAAATTAATTTGAAAGAAGACTATAAATTAGATTGTTGAATTAGGATTAAAAATGAGGAATAAATTAAGAAGTAATGAAATTAATAGTATATCAATTGTTTTTACATATTTATATAATTTAATTATAATTATAATGAAAGAACATTAAGGGTTAATGACAAATGAATTTCAACCAATCAAATAAAAGTACTTTTTACATGAGAAAGAGCAAGAAAAATAACATCCTTTTGTAGAGAGTTTGTAAGAGTACTTCTAGATATTTCGAAGACGAATAATTTTGCAAATATTTTTGTGTATATTGAAAATAATATAGCTCATAGCATTCTTCTTTTTAGCCCTTATAATTCCATCCATAATACTATAGGCAGATTATATTGAATTAGATGTATCTAAGAATGGAGCAACATTTTAGATGGAATAAACTTGGGATCCTCCAATTAGTATATAAGTGTTTTCTAAAACTGATATTCTCTTATTGGATGTTTAATTGTCATTAGATGGAAAAGAGATAACAGAATTTACAATTTATGAACGATTGGATATCAATACTGAATACAACTTGGCTAGTAATACAACTTACAGTTTTAGTAAACTAAAATATTTTAATGAGGCAGCAGTTAGATTGATGGCATAATTCAACTTTGTACCCACCTCTTATTTGATTATCGTAGTTGTAATGCTTGTTATCTCCCTTTTGTACTCTATCCTTACATACATTCGCTATAAATAACTTTGATCTTTTATTGTGTTTAGTTTCTTCTTTTGTTTCAAGTGAATCATACCTCATTTTATTCTATTTATTCAATTTATACATAATATTACAAATTTTACACAAAATTACTACTATCTTAATATAAATCTTGTATTTTTATGTTATCATAACTTATTTAGAATTTCTGATTTAAACTAATTATCAAAATCTATGTTGTTAATGAGCTTCATAATATTAAGGTATAAAATTGATAGTTCATACTATAATGTAATTAATGTAATATTATTTATTAATAATCATAGGTAATCCAAGAATAAAATAAGATTGACTAAGATAAATAATAAATATATATATATATATATGTAATAACAAGCAGAAGAATTAGATTAATTTAAACAAAGCTTAAATAATTAATCAACTATTCCCTTCCTTCAACAAGCACTAACTTAAGATTAATTATTAGCATAAAATGCACGTCTTCTATAACAATTACAAGAATAGTAAAGAATGTTCAATTTGCAAAGTCTTTTAGCATAAAGTGTTCTGCAAAATCCGTTTATAAATTAATAAATCACTTAGGAAAGTAAAAAGATCAAGAAAACTAAATCAACACTTTAGCGAATTTAATCTAATGCTAGTCTAAAAGAATAAGCCTCACAATTATAGGAAATTAAAGGTAACGTCAAGAACGCATATATAAAAAAAATTACCTCTTTGCTTAGTGTTGAAGGTGAGAGATTATTAGATGAAGAATTATAAGAAGATTTACAAGAAGACAGTTCATCAGAAGAAGTATAGAAGGAATAGAAATTTAGTTTAGCTGGATTATTAGGATCTGCTAATGATTTATTAAGTGTTGAATCAAAGAATAAACGATTAAGATAAAGTGCTAAGAATTCACGTTTAAGAAAAAAAGTATATTTGAAGTTGCTAGAAAAAAAAGTAACATTAAATTAAAATAAATAGGTCTCTGACTTAGATTAATAAATTTAGGAATATAAAAAAACAACTAAACAATCTTTTGAGTATTTAACCTAAATACTATCATCCCATCCAATTTTAAACAGTATGATTGTTGGAAATTCCAATGCAATTGATCAAATTACATAATGCAATCAATCAGATCAAGCTTAACTTATTTTAGATTCATATTTAGTATTTTTCATTTCTATAAATTATTAGATGAGATTTGGTACATGTGGAATCAAAAGAAGAGACTACCTTAAATATGCAGTTAAAAATATTCAGAGAAATTTCTTAAAAGGAAACTATGGGTTATAATTGATTAGTTTCAAACATGAAGTTAAAAATTGTATTATAATTTATATAAATTAAGATGATGATGAATTTAATAACTACGTAGAAATTGTTAAAAAACAATGTAAACTAGATGATGAAAATTTAATTTATAAAGTATTGCCAATTATAGATAAATTATTAAACCATAGAAAGATATCCTAATAGTATTGTCATTTATTATTATTAGATTATTATTAAAGCTAAATACAGAAATGAAAAAATTGAAATTAATACAATTTGAAGTGGAAGAGAATGTTAATCAATTTACTCAATTATTAACACCCATTTAATAAATTGAATTAATCAAAAATGTAGAGAAACTAGCAACTTTCAATAGATAACTTAAATGAATAATCTATGTCTATTATTATATGTTTATTAAATTATTATTTTATTTTAATTATATAAATTTTTTAATTAAATAACAATCAAAAAAAAATGGAATTATTAAACAATTAAGAGAAAGAATTGTTAAACAAATACAACAAATATATATCAAATACAAAGACATAAGAACCAATAAAATATTCTGATATTTTTGTTGGAAAACATGATGTTGATGTAGGGTAATTATAAAATGAGATGAAATTTCAAAATGCAAAAATGGGTTATAAAACTTCTTAATAGTCTAAAAGAGATGAATTTAAAAATATAATATAAGAACTAAGAAATTCGTAGATTTAAAAAAGAGAGAATGAAAATAGAAATACAATTAAGAATGGATAATTAATGATAGATGAAAATTAAAAGTAGAAATAATTTGAGTAGATTTAGAAGGTTTTATAAAAGGAATGTTTAGATAAGCCAGAAAAATAAGTAAGATAGAAATCATCTTTGTCATAAGATTATCCAGAATAAAGAAACAGATAAGAGAGATTGGATAGTAAATAATCAACAATAATGATTTAAAAATAATTTAATGAGTAATAATAACAAATAAACAGCTAGAAAATTATTGTAATAACTTGAAAGATTGATATAAATGAAAAAGATAGATAGTAAGTTTTTTTATCGTATGATAAAAAAACACATAGAAGAGTGTCCATAATTTGGAAAGAGAGTTAAGGAAGAAATAAAGGAACTATTAAATTAGTTATTATGATATACTTATGTATAATTAACTTATATTGAGAATTCTTTATAAATTAAATATCACATATTAATTTTTTAATGTGGAAATTACTATTAATCACATTATGCATAGTCCAGTTTAGAGCTTAAGAAGATGAATTAAATGAGGAAGACTAAGAATCTTTAGAGTCTTAATAAAATTGTAAAAATATAGGATTAACTAATAGCATAGTAAAATTATTATTAATAATAACAATATGGATGCATAATCTTAACAAAATATCATCTTTAAGAAAGAAGTCAAGAATTGCTATAATTGTTCAAATAGATTTCAAATGAATAAGATAAAAGAAATTCATATGAGAAATTGCAAGCTTAATTAGTAATGTAATGTATGCAAAAAATCTAATATTAACAATTGGCTGATCTTTTTAATTAGTTGAGACAATAAACTTTTAAGTATTAAGACTTTTAGGATGTTTTTATGATGACTGATTTGAGTTTAGATGATGATTACACATTAACAGATTAAGAAAAGATAATCTCAAAAGAGATAGAGGTATAAATTATATTAAATATAGTAATTTGATAAAAACATGTAAGAATAACAAAAAAAATATAAATAAGAATAAGGTTATGATGATGATGATGATGAAGAAGTAGATCCAAGAAGAAGACAATAACCATAAGGATATAAGTTATTTGGAGTAGATTTATCTAAATTATCAAATTCAACTTAGATGATTATCTTTGTTAGTTTGATTTCGTTGTTTAGTGTGATATTATTTTTAGGTCTACTAATAAATTAATATATTAGGACTCAAATTTGTTTAATAACATACATAAGGTCCAGTGAAGAGGGCTAAAAAAGATAAGAAGGTGAAATAAAAATGAGAATATAATTATCAAAATTTATAATTGTCAATCTTTTTTTAAGTTTTTTTATTTTGATACAATAAAATTTTTTTATAAATAATAAATTTTATTGTGGTTATATTTATATACTATTTGGAATTTACATTAATTCATGAGAGATAATACAATCTGGCTTTTATTGGAACAAACGGAAGGAAAATGATTGTCTTTAAAAATTCTATAATACTACTCTTTTATTTTTTAAATGATTTATAAAAATAAACTTAGATTTTAGGATAGCTCTTTTCATAAAAAATTAGTGATTAATCTGTGATTTCAATATATATTATATTAAATAAGGAATCAAATATTTTATATATCATTAACTATCATTATCATTTTTGAATTAAATCAAGCTATATCACTTTGTATAATTACAATCCTTTCATAAATTGTAGATGTTACCTCTCAAGTCTTTTAAAGTTTATTTTAGTAGTGTCAGCATACACTTATTTAACTTTAAGACTTTAAAGCTAAAATGAAAAATGAACATATTATTTAAATATTAAATCTTTTCATTAACTCTTTAACAGAATCTTATTCATCCATATTAGATATTAATTTATTTTATTATTACTTTAAAATATCTCTCATCTATTTTCTACTTAATTATTTTGTTAAAATTAATATATTTATCAATTAATTATTCTTTTCCATTTGAAAAATAATTCTGTTGTAAAAGTATTAGTATAAGTATGAATATTAATATTAATTAAAATCGTAATTTATAGGATAATAGTAGACCCTTAGCTTAAGTATTTTATCTTTTATTTACAAATTAATTAATAATCTAATTTTATAGATGGAAGAAAAAAGATAATATTTTATACCCATAAAGGAGGTAAGTAAAAATTTATGTTGCAACATATGTACATATGTTGCCTTAAATGCAGTTGAATGTTAAATTTGTGAATAACTATACTGTGACGATTGCGCAAAATTTTGGTAGAGAAAAAAGAATGAGTATTTATAAAATTAATATATTTAGATGTCCTGATTGTAAATAAGAATTCAAAATAAAACAACCTCATAGACTGATTAGAGAAGAACTTTCAAAATTGAAATTTTCATGTGTAAATCAAGGATGTAAAGCAGAAATACTAATGAATGATGTACTTCAACATATAAATGAATGTTAATTAAAGAATGTTAAATGTATCTGTGGATGGATTGGACCTGTATCAAAATAAAAATATCATGTAATATATTAATTTATATTTTTAAGGAACAAACTTGTTAATAATTTGTAACAAAACAGTGTAATATTTGCAAAGAAGAAATAAAGTTATCGAAGTATTAAAATCATAATTGTTTTGTTGAACTTTAATAGAAATTAGAAAAAATAACAGAAAAATTCTATGAATATAAAGAAACTTCAGAATATTCTATTAAAGACTTAAAGAATCAAGCAAACAAAGAATTTAATGAATTAGAGAGTATTAAACAATAGATAAAAGGATTAACATAGGAAAATAATGATTTAAGGAGATAGATGACAGAATTGACTTAATATCTAAGATCTTAAGAATAATAATTTAAATAAATAGTAGAAGGATAAAATTTAAAAGGACCTTTTATAGCATAAGGTAAGTTAGTAGAATCAAAATCATTGTAATGTAGTAAGGAACATTCGATATTGTATTGGATAAATCCTTAAGGAGAGGAGAAAACAAAGAAATGTTTAAAATGTTAGAAAACTTAAGTAAATTGTAGATATTGTTGTCCAATATGTGTCTTTTTTGTATGTTTAAAATGTTAAGAACCTGAATTAACAAAGAATCCTCATGAGAATTCTGTTTTATGTCCTGCAAGACACAAATTAACAAAAAAGATTTAAGGACTTACATGTACTATATGTGAGAAGAATTCTTCATAAATGAGAAATCCTGGAGGTGCAGATTGTACAGAATGTGATTTTGCTATTTGTTTTGAATGTTTAGAGAATGAAAGATATAAAGGAAGAGTTTAATAATGTCCAGTTTAATGAGAACTAAATTAATAATATTCAAATTAATTAACTAAATAAACGTTTAATTCAATGAAGGAATTTTTAAATATGTTCTTCAATATTAATATCTAAATTCTATTTTGGTTATTGTTCTATAATTAATTCTAAATCTAATGCTTTTTATATTGGTAACCAACTGATATCATTTTATAAGAATTTGCTATAGACATATGATTCTGTGCCTGTATGTTCAGTTTTCTACTTTACTTTTAGATATAATAAATAAGCTAAATAATTCCAAGGATTATGATATTTTTGAACATGATTATCAAATGATATACCTTCTTTTTCAAATACAGTTCTACTTAAACCACACATATAACATATATTTTAAGAATCAAAATCTTTTAATAATAATATATTTTAATTACCTTTTTAATTTTTCTAATCTCTCAATTCAGCAAATGTATCAATAATAATACCAAATATAATATTCAACCAAATGATATTGATCAGAATAAAAAATGTCACATCATAAAGTACTCTTTATGAATAATAATCTAAATTTGAATGTGTAGGTGGAGCTTCTAAAACATCTCCAATTCCTCCACCTGCTCTCAATCCTTAATGAATTACAAATACAAGACATTAAAAAGCAGAATAACAAACTGTTTAATCTAGAGGATCGAATACTTCAGATGAACCATCACCTTCTTTTAATTATTCTTTAAAATCAGTACTTTGATATGCTACCAAAGAATATAAATACCTAGATATTTTACTATTTGTTTTACATTATTAATACTCCCAATAAAGCTGTCATCAATAATTACTTGTAATTCAGTGAAATACTTTTAATTACATTTCTTAAAACTTATGAATGATCTATAATATCTAATAATAAAAATCCATAAAATAATTTATTATATAAAAGACCCAACAAATTTATTACAAGCAATAAAAACCAATAAAAAGTATAACTGCTGAATAACATTCTTTTTATTATTAAAATTGCCTATAGTAAAGTAATTTAGAATGGATAAATATATGTTTTAGGATTAATGGACTAAGCTTAACTTTGATTAGATTTTTTCAAATAATTTAACTATATAAAATCAGATACCTATTTATATATTCTATCATATTCTAATTACATTCTTATAAAGATCCAAGTTAACATGATCACTCCATACAAAATACAATTTACTATTGCTATAGCTTTAGCTAGATTTGCTAATTACTCTTCAGTATCATTTATTGTAATTAAGATATTCAATAATAGAGCTAAAATTATACATACATTTCTTAAATAAACTATAAAATTATTATTAAATCTGATTCCTATCTTTCTCAGTTTCATAAAATGTACCATTTCCATATAAAAATTATCCATATTATCCAATAATCCATTAATCTTATCATTAATAGAATCTCTTTCTACTTCCTCCATAAATTAATGTTTTGTCTCTTCTGTTAAATATTTCATTAGAGTAGGAACTTAAAAATATATTTTTTCTAATTTTCCATTCATATTCACTATTTCAATTGAAGCTGTTTCATTTTTATAATAGTTCAGAGCTCTTCTTAATTTAGGATTACTTTCACTATCTGTAAAATTTTTAATCTATGGAATATAATTACTTAATTTCTTCAGTAATAAATACATCATAAAAGTTTCTCCAACCATCTCTTCCATCTCTTCTTCTTATATCGAATTAACTTAAGTTTGTTATTGAATTTTTAAATGCTATTAAGATCTAGAATTATGAATGTTCTCAGAAAAAAATTCCATAAATAAATTTTAATTAGGCAAAGTCTCTTTTGTATCCTTTGTCTAAATTACTCCATGTGAATTTATTGCTTCTTCTGCTTCAGTTTTAACTCTATCTAATACTTTTACTTCTAAATTTATTTAAATCTAGGTATTTCTTATCTTTTTTATTATTTTCCAATAAACTAATTATATTCTTTCAAAAATTATTTAAGGGTTAAAATATTATGAAATCTTTTTGGCTATTTCTTAATCACTATTTCCCTCCATTAATGATAATTAAAGTAAAAAGACTTTGCTTCTTAAACTTGAAAATACTATATCTCTTCTTTAAAATTTATCTTTTTCAACTCTATGTTAAAGAATAATTTATTCAAGAACCTCTAAAATTTTAGTAGATTGGCATAATTCTGTTTAATTCTCTAAACAAGGACCTTAAACACATTCAATCAAAAAATCAAGCAATTTTTAGCCAAGAGCTGCATTATGTTCATTCATTATTTCAACATATTTCTCAAATAATTCAGCTGTAAACATTATAAAATTTATTGGCTATTTACTATTAGGTTGGATTCTCAAAAAATTCTACATTTGACTAAAATGATCCTCACAACCTAGACGAAACATTTCAAAAATCAAAATACATCCATTTATCTTATTATTTAAAATCTTATTAATATTTCTATTTTTTCTTTCAATTTTTGATATCTCTGCCATTTTTACATCTTAAAACATATCTGTTATAAAATTTTATAAATTTATTATAAACTTATTTGAAAGATCTCTTTATAAATACAATAAAAAGGAGTTCTAAATTTCCCTAGATGAATCATCAATATAATCTACAAAAGCCTTTATATATTCAAGCTTTTATTCAGAATCCACTTCTTATTTAATCAAGTCGCAAAGAAAATCTGTGAAACCAAGTTCTCCTAAATCTTTTAGTATAGATTTTGTGATTTGAAAATCTTCTTTATAATTAGATAGTTTCCTTACTATATTAATAGATTTTAATTTAATTGATGGAGAAACGGAATTTTCAGATAACATTTAAATTAGGGCAGTTACCATTCTTTTAAATTTAGTAGTATCATCACGTTTTAAAGTAATAATTAAATTTACTAATTATTGAATTTCATTTTCTCTTTCTGAAGCAACAAGATGTTCATCAATTAATTTAGTTCTCTAAGATTTTATTGAATTTATCCATTTATCCAATATTATTTATTCTCCTTACTGTAAATCATTTCTTAGTAACTAAAATGCAATATCTGATTGTTTAAAGAAGTTTATGGTCTCTACTATTCTAATAATATTTTCCTTATCAATTTCATCATCTTCCTAAGCCAAAAAACTTAATTCTTAATTCTATTCATCTTAATTATTAGATAATAATTTATGGGTTAAGTTCAATAATTTAGTTGTTTTTTACCCACTTCTCCTCTTATGACTCAAATTTTTTATTTTACCACTTGAACCTCCATTTGGATTACCTGTATTGAATTCTTTTACTGTTTAAATAGTTTCACAGATTATTAGTTATATAGAAATAATTTCATTTTATACGACGTCTTCAAAATACTCCTGTTCATTACTATCAAAATATTTTGGAAAAACTTTTTTTATAAAGACCTTATTTACTTCCAAAACTCCAAAAATCATATAAATAAAACTAGCTTTCTCAAGAGAAATTGACATAATATATTCTTGATTTGTATATTAATTTCTTAATCCAAAAATATTGAATACAATACTATTAACTAATTTTGCATTTCCCATTTTTTTTAGATTCTGATTCTCTAAAAAACTAACTGTCATTTATTTAAAAATTACTTCAGTCATAGTTTTAACTACTATTTATTTTTCTTCAAAAGTTAAGAATTATAAATTTTCTAAAAATACACTTTAAAAGTATAATATAATTTCTGATTTCAATGGATACCATTCATCTAATTGATTTAACATTTCCGCCACTCTATTGATAGGAAATAGTTTTTGAATGAATTCATTAATAATTATAGATCTTTTTGAGCAAATGATTCTAAGTAATCTAAGTAATTCTGTCATAAAGAGAATTTCTATTGGCATTTCAATAATTCCATTAAATTATATATATTTTTATTAATTATTTGGTGTTTATGGAATGGGTGGATGATTACCAGTAAAAAAAGATTCTAATCTAAAAAGATAAATAGTATTAATTAGACTTTAAATGTCTTTAGCAAATGTTGTTAAATATTTGGTAGTTTAAAATAATTACACAATAACATAATTATTTTATACAACATCACTTTCTTTAACTTTTAAAAGTATTTGTAAGAATTATAGAAAATAGATCGCTGCTTCATAATTTTTATTAGCAAAATTTATACCAAAAATAGAAAATAATTTTGCTAGAATTGAATTTTCATCATTCTATTTATCAAGCGAAAATAAAATATTGTAATTGTCTCGAAATAGCTCAGCAAACAAAATATATATCAATGTTTATAATTGTTTTCTTTTTACATTACACATTTCATGTAAAAAGGATTCCTTATGTTTACCCAAAGAATCCTTCTGTTGACTCAAATTAAGTATCATTTCTTAATTTTCCTCATTTCTTATTATAAAATAGATCAAGAATAATATGCTTTTTTCTAAGATGTCACTTTTAATTTCCCATCCTTTTTTATTTTTATTACTTACAAAAGCATCTTTATCTCTAAATAAAGGGCTGGCTTCTTATATTAAATTTTCAATTATTTTTTATATTAAATCATGAAATCCCAAATACCTTAATAATTTTTACCTATAAAATATTGTCAAAACATCTATTGATAATGAATTATTTATTTTCCAGACAAACTTTTATTGTTAATCCATAGTAACTGATTTTAAAGACTAGAATTATTCATCTTATTTATCTCTAATTGGATTTTATGCTGAAACATCAATTAAATCAAGTTCTGCTCTTGATACAAATTATTCTATAACAGCCATTTCTTATCTAACTTTACTCTTAACCATTTTTTCTTCTTATGCTTAATAATGTTTTTCTTCATTCTCTAATTAATTAATTTCCATAAACATTTACATATCTGATTTAGCTGCATAATCAGGATAAAATATCACTAACATATCTGATAAAGCATCATTAATCGTTTCATAGTGTTTACTAGAATCTTTTTCTAATGATTATTTTAAATCGATTATTGCAAAATGTAATTTCCAATATATGTTAGAAAAATCTGTAAATATATTTTAATTAATTTAAAACTATAATTCTCCTTAATCTAATGCTTCAATTAAAATTGTTTAGTTTAATGTTTACATAAAGTTGCTTCTTGAAGAATAGATAAGCCATAATAATTCTGTAACCTTAGCTGATAATCTTATTTAATTTAAAGTAAGTAATTCAATTAAAAAATAAACCAATGATATATCAGTTTATTTTATTCCTCCCATATATTCTAAGATTACTGTTTTGCGAGCATAAGAGCACTCCCTTAAAATTGTAGTCAATTCCTATGTGGTGAACATATCTTTATGATCAAGTTAACTTTAGAATGGTTATCCTCTTGTATGATAACTGGCTCTTTTAGCTTATCTTAATCTTTAAACAACTTCAGCATATTTTTTATCTCTTGCAAATTTTTATAAATATTATAAATCATCAAATAATGTTTAGTTATCATCTGTTACAATAAATTGGTCTGCCATTCTAGATTATTAAAATTATTCTAATAAAATAAGAATTTCAATTAATTCATCTAACCATATCATACTTTTAGCATAAGTTGTTCTAGAAACTGCTCTTTAAGTTACTGTACTTTCAAATAAATAATCCTTTACTTCTAAAGGTTTTTATTCTTTGGATTTTTAATTTCCTTAAAGTTAATGTTTTATATATTTCTCTTCAAGTGTTGCTGAAACAACAGAATTTTTTAGAAATTCAATGAATTTATGATACATATTGTAAAAGTTATGAGCATTACTTAGATATTCAATAAATAATCCTTTTTTTAAGAATTCTGTAAATGTTAAAATCAATTATTTTATATAAAGATGATCATTAGATTTAATTTCATAAATAGATTTAGATTTCCAAAAATGTGTAATGAATTCTGACAAAAATAGCCAAAAGTCTATAGTAGTATCACTTTCTACTAAATACTTTTTCGATACTTTTTAATAAATATCTGATATCTTTTTTTATGCAAAAGCATAGAGAATAATTTCATATTATTCCTTTTTAAAAAGTTATAAAAATCCTTTTCCTTTATTTTATTTAACTACCATTTTTAAATATTATGGAAATTAAGCTCTTGGTAAAGGTGTTAGATGTTTAGCCATATAAGAATTTTGGAATAATTCTAAAAAATATGATTTATTCAAAGATGAAATACTAGGATCTTGTATTATTTAAGTCACTGTATAAAAAGGGAATAAGCTTTTAATTTATTTTAATGTTAAAGCAGGAGAAGATTTAGAAATTTCTGATGCTAACCTTACACAAGAGATAATATAATCATGTAATTATTTTCTATTTGGAAAGTTCAATCCATCAATCATAATTGGACTTTAAAGAGGTAAATTAGAATCTATGGATTATCTTATTGTTTTTTAAATATCTAAAGCCCTCTCTCTTAGGATAACTTGAATATTACCATCAAATATCAGTTAAGAGAAAATAGAATCTTTATTTTCTTTAAAAATAAGCTCAATTATTCCTTCAATTCCTTCTTTTTTTCTAAATTCAGTTTAAAGACAAAAAGCAATTAATAAATTAAAAGCATGATTGTTATAATTTGTAAATTTTATTTCTTTAGACAGGAGAACAACTTCTTATTCAAATGAAACCATTACATCAGATTATTTAAGTGATTAAGTAATTAAAATATCTAATCTCATTAAATTATTTACTTATCCTTTTAATAATATATATTTATAGAGCCAATACCATTATACTACATATATAGAATTCTCATTAGAACCCTTACATACTAATTATAAAAATGATGAAAGTGCATGGATTAATTGATTTATATTTTATTAAAACATTTCTTCATCTTACATAATCAAATCCTAATTCTCATATAATAAATCATTGATACTCAACTCATAAATTATTTTATTTACATAATCAATGCAACCAATTTCTCTTGCAATACATTATCTTCTTTCTTCAGGATCAGAATTTAAATTATCTTAAACCCAGCCGTCTTAATTAGCTGTCAACCATAACATTATTTTTATGAGTGATTTTGCTGCATGATTTACATTTTAAATAGTTTAAGCTTGACATTTTTAAAATTGTTATGCAAGATTTTTAGATTCTTTAGAATCTTTAAATTTATAATTGCTCAATTTGAATTTCAAAGTTGATAATTAAATAGAATTTTTAGCTAAAACAATAATAGGAAACATTAAATCTAAGATTTCACTTAATTCTTCAATTTCACTTTAATCTACAACTTCAAATTTAAAATTTGATCCTGAAAATTACTCACTTGCAATGACATCTTAATATTTAGTATTAAGAGGATTTAATTAAATAAAAATAGGTTTAAAAACAACATTATCATCATTTGATTTATAATGTCGCATATCAACTTTAATTTTAGCTTATCTTTTCATTTCATTTTCTATAAACTCAAGAACTTCTTATTCTTATTATGATAATTGTTATTTATTCTTTTTTATAAAAGAATCTAAATCTGGAATCATAGTTACCCACTCATCATGTACTTATCTTTATATTTATTCTATCTGTTATTATCTATATGAAGTTTATTCTACATTTTCTTCGCCCTGTTGATTAAACATCGCTAACTTTGTTATTATTTTAACTTAATAACCAGCCTCTTCTTAATTATCAACTTCAATAGGACTTTTTCCATCTTTTGTTGCAATACTAAAGGTAGTATCATTTGTAAAGGGTAGCTAATCTTTATAAAAGATAGGATTAGTGCCTAATTTAGTCACAAATAATAATTAATGCTCTAATAAACAAGCATCTTATTCACTTTCTTCTTAATTTCCTTATGTCTATTAATACTAAGTTGCAATACGTTCATCCTATTAGGTTAGAATATTATTTTAATTATTGTTATTTTATTACATCAATAGATTTCTATATAATTTTATTCCTGGTAAATTTTTTGTGACAGTTGATTTTTGTTCAACTTGTTTAGTAGCATCCAATTTTTTTTAGGATGTAGTATTTAATTTTCTATACTTATTGATTATTTCTTTTGATAATTATAACTTATTATCTAAAGGATTGACTCTTAAAAATTCTCCAGTTAACATATGTCTAAGTAAGAAAGTTGTATAACCAACTAAATTCGGTTTATTACCTACAGTAAATTAAATTTCATCAGAATATTTTTAATCATTTTCTGGTAAAATCTAGAAAATAGATGCAGCCTTTTCAATTAAATCTTAATTCTATATATCATTAATTTATAAATAAACTGAAGGATAACATCCTACTGCATTTATTGATGATGTTAGGTAACCTTTATTTATTTAACTTTCTTAATGCTCATCTACTTTTATTGATCTTCTTCTTGATTCCGATCTTTCTTTTTTTATTTTTTATTACATATGTACTATTCTTACATATTAACCATAGAATAGATGATTTTTCTCTTTTTCTTATTTTAAAACTATAGCTTATAATGTGTTATGACTTATAATTTCTTTTGAATCTGTTGTAAATTATTTGTATTAGGCTTTGTAAAATTTGAATTAGTATTGATTTTCAATCATTGCTGGAATAGTTAAAAACTCATTATTATGATCAAGATTGTTGGATTTTAATATCTCTGGTAAACTGTAGATTTGTTATAATGTATCAAATTTTAAGATTGTATCACTTTATACCAATAGAAATTGATCAAATGAATGTACTGGACATCCTTATTTTATGTCTAATGCTAAAGGATCAGGTTATACTGTAAAATACATTGATGAACTCAAAATTGTTCCAATATTTGAATTTGAATTATTATTTTCTGCTCTTAATAAAAATACCTAACTCAATGGTTAGTATAACATTATTATATCACCATACAGTATTTTTTATCCTTTAGTTTATTTCAATAGATTTTGATTATATTTTTTTTCTGTTTCCATTCTTGTATAAAGAAGTTACTTCTACACATCAAAAGAAGCTCCAAAAGATTTGTCTGAATTATATTTTTTTTAAGCTTCATATAAAAGTTTAGGAAACACTGTGAATACCATTTGTTAAGGAAAATTATACATATTAAATGTACAAGAATTGCCCAATTAAAACTTTGTTTCCATTAAATATTATTCGTTCCTAGCGAGTAAATAATAGATCTTATTATCTACCATACATCTAAGAATAATATTATCTCCATATTTCAAGATTTATTATTCTTCTTCCATAAAAAATTAATAAATTATTTATTATTATCTTCAAATTAGTGATATTGATATTAACGCCTAAAACTATTTTAAACAAATATTATATTAACATAATTATCAATTATTCATGATTCCTATTCATAAAAAAATAAATATATATCTCTTGGTTTCTGCTGTCTCTTTTTATATAAGCTAACCCATCTTTATTTCCTTAATAATTTTAATCAAATTTTTAACTGAAATATATTCATAATCAATCCATTTTAATTTTTATGTATTTTTGCTCTTATCATAAAGCAAATAAATTCAATTACCATAACAATCTTATATGAAGTCTTTAATTTTTATGATATCAATTAGATAACAATTAATTGATAATAATTCTCCTTTAGTAAAAAATTAAAAAAATTGATCTGAATTATCAAGAGTGTTTATATTAAATGGTTTCAATTCACTTTCTAAAAAATAATCCAAGGAATGGTTTAATATTTTATAAGCAATTTATAAATCTAAATCATAACATGAGCAAGCAGAGATTCTTGTTATAGTTTGCCATAAGAGAAGCAAAAACCTAAGAAGATAGGAGAATTGAGATAGAGGCCATGAATAATGTAGAAAAAGAGATTTAAGAGTTCGAAAACAGTGAGTAAATTTATAACATAAGTAGTGTATGGAAATTGAAGCCTTTAAAGATTATTTAGAAGATAGCGATATTTATAACAAAGATGAAGCATTTTTCACCAATTTATAGATTTAAAATTTTGAACAAGAATATTTTTTATTTGATAAGAGATCGAACGAGCTCATTTTAATATTACCTATATAGTCGATTGTTAGATAAAAAGCCTACAAGAGTATAAGTCTATTTGATATAAAATAGTTTGGTTAAATAAAGTATGAAGGCAAATTAACAAATGCTATTTGGTGGAGAGTCTGGTCATTTCTAAAAAGCAATCAAACTGTTTTATTACCAGCTGACAAATTTTTATTTGTATGGGATGTTATCTTAATGTTTGTGACAATTATGAATATACTTTATGTTCCCTTATAGTTGTCGTTTGATTTGAACAAAGAAGAAATAGGAAGTGCCTACCTATTATTTAGTACTCTTCCAAGTTGCATATTTTTGGTTGAATTAGTCTTGAATTTTTTTAAAGGTTATTATGTTAGAGGAATATTACATACATCAAAACGAGATATTTTTTGGCATTATGTAAAGGGAGAATTTATTATTGATCTGACAGTTGTATTGCCCTTTATACTCTCATGGTTTGGATACACTTTTTCCAATTATTTAATGCTGATACGAATGACTAAAGTAAGAAGAACGATGGTAGTCATTGAGGAGATCTCTAATTTCAAAGAAAAAACAGCAGTTATATATTCTCTATTTTGTTTGATTTATTCTCTTTTACTAATTTCTCATTTTTGTGCATGCTTATTTCATTACTTTGCAATTCTTGAAGTTGATAATGGATATACACACACATGGCTTCATTAATAAGGTATATATGAATCAGATGCATATGTAAAATACTTTACTTCATTATATTGGGTAACAATCACTTCAATGACTGTGGGATATGGAGACATAGTACCCGTAACAACTCCTGAAAAAATTTTAGTAACTTTTCTAACATTTCTGGTAGTAGGAACATTTGGATATGCTTTAGGAATGATTCAAAGTATATTCTATAAATTAGCTGAATAATAAAATTTAAACAATGCAAAACTCAGATTAGTAAGTAACCATATAAAACAAAGAGGATTAAACACCCAATTATAATTTAGAGTGCGAAAATATATTGAATATTATTTGTAATTTAAATAAGAGGAAGAATTAGATTTGGATGAGTTAATGGGATAGCTAAATCCAAAGTTAAAATAAGAAGTTTAGATAGCAATGTATTACAGTTATTTAAAGCGTTCTAAATTATTGGGTTCAAATTTATCAGATGAAATAATAAAAAAACTATGTTTTTGTGTTCATGAAAGAACATATGCTCCTGAAGAATTTATTATTAAGAAAGATGATCATCCAGATAAATTGTACATTGTGTTATCAGGAAGAATAAAATCAGTATTATTAGATAGGACAATTAAAAGATATATAAGTGGTAAATTGGTTTGTGAAAGAGAATTCTTTTTTTAGGATTATATGTAATTTGATATGGTTGCTTAAACATTTGTTCAAGTAGCTTACATAAATAAAACTGATTTCTTGAACATTTTAGAGAAAGATAATAGATAATATGAAAAGTATAGACTTATATTAGATCGAACCTAATTTGGAGATAATAATAATTAGATAATTTGTGAGGCTTGTTCTAGTCATCATCAATTCAAACATTGTCCTTTAGTCTTCTTTAGAAAAAACAAAAACAAAGTGATCTCAATTTATAATAGTAGTGTTGATCATTAAAGGAGAATGTATATTAGATAGAAAAAGAAAAGCCGATTTAATTTCTAAGTAATCAAGGAGAAAGCCTTAGATTAAATTCTGGATTTGAATAAATCCCTTGCTGTTGTTGATAGCAAACTTCTCATAAAATTAGGAATACAAAGAAATGATGAGGATGAATCTTCTTATCCTGATTAGTCAATGGTTCCATAACCTTCTATAAATTAACAAGAATAAAGGTTTATTTTGAAAAATAGAATGATGAGGTAAGTCAGTCATCGAAATTTACTTGTACATAATTCTTAAGGTAATAATGCTTAAGAAAACTAAGATGATAATCAATCTTAAGTATTCAGTGTAGAGGCAAATATAGACAAAGTTGAGGAATATGACTGTTATTACCCTCATCATAATATCACTAAGGTTGCTAAATTAATTAATAATTATAATATTTATTCTAGAGTCTTAGAAAAAATAAGAGGCCATAAGAATAGATTTGCTTAATATATAGCAAGGTAGATCATGTATAAAATTATATGAATCTAATTTTTCATTTGTATGATTGAATGAGTTAATCTATTAATAGAATTACAATTTTATTTATTGAAAATTAATATAGATTCGATATGGCAGAAGACCCTGAAGTTATTCTTTTGAAAAATAGATATTAAATCTAACTCAAAAAAGAGATTGGAAAAGGAAGTTTTGGAATAGTTTATGAATGTTTAGATTTATAAAATGTCAATTCTGATAAATAAATATGTGCGAAAGTAATTAATACAAATTTATCATCAAGATTACAGATAGACAAGAAGATCCTAATTCAAGAAGGGAAATTGAAATGTTATTAACATTACAAACAGTGGCTAGTGGAAATCAAAATATAGTAGGTGTTATTGATGTTTTGGTTCATGATTAACAAATAGTTTTAATCTTAGAAAGATGCTAAGGTGATTTGCTTAATTAGATAAATGATAATAAAAAACTTTAAAAGAACTTTTTACCTTCAGAAGCATTAGAAATCATTAAATAAATTATCAATGGATATAAGGTTCTTCTTGCTCACAATATTATTCATAGGGATTTAAAACCATAAAATATCCTTTATCTAAATAAAACTTATAAGGTATAATAAATTTTATAAAAAATTATTATTAGATTGCCGATTTTGGATTTGCAAGAACAGCTGATCCATATGGGATTCATACTAAATTAGGTACTCCAAGATATTCAGCTCCTTAATTATTTTTTGATGTAGTTTATTCTAATTCAGCCGATATTTATTCTGTAATAATATTATTTTATCACAAATAGTTGGGAATTATATTTTATTTATTAATTTTTGGCGATTTCCCTTTTCCAGGTGAAGACTTAAAGGAGCTTAAATAAAATTTAATGAATACTAAAACAAACCCAATTAAAATTAATAAAAATTTGCCACAAGTTTTAAATTAGTTATAATTATTAGTTTCAAGGAGATGATTCAATTCCTATTTTGATTGAAAATATGTTAAAGTATAGTGAAGAAGATAGAATTAATTGGAGAGGGCTCATACAAAATATTTAGGACAAAATTGCTCCTAAAGAAATCAAGATTACTCCTCCAATTAAATTTATACCAAACATGCCTATAATGCTTGGATCATAAAATCAAGGATTAACTTAATTAACTAATTTACTTAAATTAGTTTAGATTGATGTTTAATATCCTGTTTTACAGTACCCACCAAATTTTTTTGACTAAAATTAGAAAAGTGCAATCTTTATTGCAATTATTGAATAAGAGCTCTCAAAATATATGTAATATTAATATCCTAAATTTTAAGGAGTTCTTTATAATTCTTTCCTAAAGAAATCTTATTTATAAGAAATAAATTAACTAATATTTCTTATTACTTTTTTAATCTTATATTAGATTTACAATAAAAATTAAAATATTAAAACTGCTTCCAATCTATTATAGAAGTAATTTTAATTTTAATCAAAAGAACTTAAAGAAAGAATTTTAAGCATATAATTTGCAAAAATGTTACTAAAACTATTAACCAAATTTAGAAAATATGCTTCTTCAAATTAAGGATATCCATTAATTGATGTAAATGGGCGTGTTTAAATATTAAAAAGGTAAAAATTACAGTCTTTATTATTTGAAGTAAAATTGACTTTTAAATCTTAGATTAATATTTAAATTATTATTTTTCGCATAAAAGGCCCAAACTAACATACAATTAGTAATTTAAGAAATAGAAAAAAATCATAATGATGAAAGATTTATTGTAAATTATTTAGATCAAAATTGGAGATGAAAAGATATTATTAATATTTCTAACTCAAAAAAATCACTATACTATTCTTTTATAAACCCAAGTTATAATTAAATTAATTCCAATTAATACTACTACTGTTTTCCCAATAAATGGTAAATTTGAACTCTCTTTATTATAAATGATGCTTCTAGCTTTTTTAAGTTATTTCTGATCAACATTTTTATAATTTTCATCATGAATTTCTATTATTAATTTAAGTAATAAATTAAGAAGATTGTCATAATTCTTCAAATTGATTTTATCAATTAATTCAAAAATTTAACTTATTTTTGCTAAACTAAAGCTTTCTCTTAATTGTTCTCTTTCCTTATATTTTTTTAGAATCTAATAATATTTTTTTTATATTTATTTAACATCTTATATAAAATCTTTTTCTAGAGTATGTTGTGTCATGCTCTCTTATAATTCTAAAGTAAATTTATTCAATATAAATTATGCATTTTTTTCTTTCCTAAAGGCTCTAATGAAACAACCAGTTCGATTTCTCACAACTCTATAAAATTTGTTTTAAAATTCTTTAATCATTTTAAAATAAGTAGGTAGATATTAATGTAATTCTTGTCTATTAATTCTTATGGATACTTAGAGAGAATGATTTTCATTTGTATGAAGTTGTTTTCTCAATTCATTTGATAACTTCAATTAGGAATTAATAATATTTTATCGTTCATTTTCAATAATAATCGTAGTGAAAGCTATGAATTTATTCTACTCTTCTATTATCTACAACTTATGTCTAAATAATGATAAGTCTGCTTGATGCTGTCCTGACAGTATCAAGCAAATAGTGAAATTATTAGCACTTTATTATTCTTATTCTATGATACTTAGTATTTATAAAATCGCTTGTGATAAAGGCATTTGTTGAGATTCAATATTTCTATTAAAGTTTTGCTTAAGAATATCTGCCCACCAAAAAGTCATAATGTTTTCTTATTTATAATTATTAAAAATATCTTTTATTTTATTCATTATTTCTTCATTTACTGATTCTGATATCCCAACCTAATCAATCAAAAAGATTAATTTAGAATTTAGTTTAATTTCACAATTAATTTTATTAGCTCTTTTTATTCTTTATTTTATTTATTGTTATTATTAATATTGAGGGACTTCAATAATTTCAATAGGTTTATATATATTTTTATTAACTTATTAGATCATTTTCATGCATTAATTTCCATCTTATTCGAAATGGGCTTAAAATTATGCATATTCATGCGGTTTATTTTAGAGTGAAGCTAAGTAGTTTGTTTTTGCTAATTGGTAAATTAAATTATTCATTAAATTGATTTTTGGGTAAACTCTAATTTATTGTTGTTAATGTAGAGAGTTATTGTTTTCTTCATCTTATTCAACTATTTTAATTAATAGTCGTTAACTTCTAATTGAAATATCATATAGTTTTTAAAATTACTACTTTCCATCTTCAAGATTATTATTGGCTTATAAATGGATTAGTAATTGTTAAATGCTTCCTTTTTAAATTTAATCAAAATCTTCTATATCTTTAGAGCATTAAATTATTTCATCTTAAGTTGTTGCAACTTAAGGATTTGGAGATAAAAATAACTAATTTCTTTGAACAACCTTTGTTGCTTGATTTTGATCCTCTTCTAAAAATGATTTATATACTATTTCATTCAATTCAATTTATCCTGTACATACAACCAATTATTGTTTTAAACTTTAAAATGCACTTGTAAATTGTTCAGTCATTTTATCTTGATATTGTTTTTTCATTATAACATTTCCATGATTATCCTAATCCCATTCTGCTATTTCATCCAGATCCATAATACCAAAAATAAATGGAAAATCTAGATTTCCTTAATTATGTAATAATTCCCTAAATTAATTACTTATTTATGTTGGAAACTGTTTTCCAACAGCTACACTAGCAAATTAGATCTAAAAAACTGATGTAATTTATTTAACAATTGGTAGAAATTCTTCAAAAATAAAAGCTTCTATTCCATCTGACACAAAACAAATAGTAAGATACTTCTTATCAATATGTTATGTAAGCAAAATATCAAATAATTGTTTAAAAACTTGATTAAAATTGCTTGCACTATGATCTAAGAAATTCTAGATATTATATAAAACACTGCCAGATCCTTTTTGTGGGCTTCCAAATTAAAAAGCCAATTTATGTCTGACAGTATTGAATACATCATTAAAACATTTCAAAAATGTTGGGTAGTGTGCATTCATGGATCCTGTTCCATCCACTAGCATAATCAAAAATGACTCTTAAGAATGTTATTTATTTGCTCTGAATGAATACATATAATAAATATAATAATCAAATCATTAGTGTCCTTATTTTGATCTAGATTTTATATTTCTATTAAGATTAATAAAATTCTATAATTTGTTATTGATAAAGAAATTGAATTTATCGGTAAGAATAGTTTGAACATAATATAAAATTAAATACCATTAAGAAAGAGTTTAGAGAATTGACTCACTACTAGTTATCTAAATATATATTATTAATTTAATTCAATATTATTCTAAGCGAAATGGCAAATAAATCAAAAGAACTCTTGTTGGATAATAACAATATGCTTTACAATTAAAATTAATAAATAGAGAATATAGTATCAACATTAGCTCAAACAAATTAAACTGCTGCGGTAGTTTAAGAAAAACTAAATGATTAAGGAGAAAAAATATAGAATATAGCCAATACAGTAAAAAATAATTAAAAGATTAGAATAAAGACATATAAAGAGAGACAAGGAGAGTCGATAAGCAAACAAATTAGATTATTAGAAGGGAATTCTATATGAAGCTAATTCTTTATTTAATTGCACTACTTTTATTTGCAGCAAATATTATAGTGCTCGCAATCAAATTGAGTAATTGATAATTCAAGATTATTTTAAATTAAATCAATAGATATATATAATTCTGATAATAGTTATGATATTTATGTTTCATATAGAATATGATTTTTTTGGTTCCAAATATTAAATTATTTTTTGGAGCAAATAAGATAAAAGAGTGATAGGAGAATTATTAGTGAATATGACCATCTGTTGTGTTGTAATTTAATAATAATGATTGAATATTATATATTTCTAATTAATTAATTTTATTTTGAGAAATTCCTTTTAATAAAGTCATAAAAAATTGTAGTATGGTAAAGATATAGGATGTTTAATGTTTAATAAAAATGGAAATAGAGAGAATAATTAGTATAGGTATGAATAAAGTATATATAAATGGTTTTTTTTAATTAATTTCTAGAAAATATGATAACACGTGTTTTTGGATATTATATTATTTAAGGAATGGTGAATGAAATCATAAATATTTTTAATGAATAGTAAATAAAAGGCCTTTGCCTTATTGTTACTGTTTATGCTTTCAGGAGTGTAAGTGATGACATAGGATTTGACAGAAGAACAAAGAAAGTTATTAGAACAATCTTAGGAAACTCATGAATTCTAAGCTGAAACAGGTAGATTAATGGATATTTTGATAAATTCTCTTTATACATAAAAGGAAATCTTTCTTAGAGAATTAATATCAAATGCAGCAGATGCTCTTGATAAAATTCGTTTTTTAAGTGTTAAGAATCCTGAGATATTAGGAGAGAAGACAGAATTAGCTATAAGAATAGAAATAAATACAGAAGAGAAATCAGTTTCAGTGACAGATAGTGGTATAGGTATGACAAAGAATGATTTGATATCAAATTTGGGTACAATAGCAAAATCAGGAACAACTTAATTTATAGAGGCAATAAAAGGTGGTAATGTAAATTTAATTGGTTAATTTGGTGTTGGTTTTTATTCATGTTTTTTGGCAGGATAAAAGGTGACAGTAGCATCAAAAAATGGTGATGATGATGATTAATATATTTGGGAGTCATAAGCAGCACATTCATTTGCAGTATCAAAAGATCCAAGAGGAAATACATTAGGTAGAGGTACATAAGTGACTATTCATTTGAAATAAGATGCAGTTGAATTTGCAGAGGAAAGTACAATTAGAGAATTAATAAAGAAATATTCTGAATTTATAAATTTCCCAATCTACTTAAAGGTAACAAGAGAAGTATCAAAATAAGTAGAAGAGGAAGGTGAATAATAAGATTAATAAGATACTAATGATGATGATGAAGTAAAAGTAAAAGATGATGATGATGATGCAGATACAAAAAAGAAGGCAACAAAAACAATAAAAGAAAAGGTTTCTGAATGGGTTTAAGTAAATGAGAATAAAGCTATTTGGTTAAGACCAAAAGAAGAAATCTCGGATGATGATTATAAGAAATTCTATAAAGTATTATCTAAGAATTCTGGTGAAGATCCTTTTAATTGGGTACATTTTAAAGCTGAAGGAGAAGTTGAATTTACATCACTTATTTATATTCCAAAAAGAGCTCCTAGTGATATGTTTGATAATTATTATGGTAAATAGACAACAAACTTAAAATTATATGTTAGAAGAGTTTTGATTAGTGAAGAATTTGAAGATATTCTTCCAAGATATTTAAGTTTTGTTAAAGGTGTTATTGATTCAGATGAATTACCTTTGAATGTGAATAGAGAAACACTTTAATAACTTAAAATGTTAAAAGTTATTTCAAGAAAGATTGTAAAGAAGATTTTAGAATTGTTTTAAGATTCTGCTTCTTATGATGATGAAGATGAAGAAGAAACAGAGGAAGGAGAAGAAGATGATAATATGGCAGAAACTACTCCTGAGGAATAATAGAGATTAAAAGATGAGAAAAGAAAAAAGAAGATTGATGAATATAATGAATTTTGGAAAGAATATGGAAAGAATATTAAATTAGGAGTTATTGAAGATTCTTCTAATAGATAAAAATTAGCTGAATTAACAAGGTATTATTATATATACTATATTACGAAATATGTTTATAATGATGACAACATTAATATGGATAATAAATAGATTCATTTCTATTTATTAAATGATCTATATAAACAGTCGTCTGATTTAGCATATTTCTAAATTATTATTATCCATATATTAAATATCATTATACCTAATATTTTATTTTAGATGGTATTCAAGTAAGAATTCAACTGAATTGACCTCATTTGATGATTATATTGAAAGAGCTAAACCAGGATAAGATTCGATTTATTATTTGGCTGGTGAAAATAAAGAACAATTATTGGCATCCCCAATTATTTAAGGATTAATTAAAAAAGGATATGAAGTTTTATTATTAGATGATCCTGTTGATGAATTCACATTCTAACATCTAAATGAATATAAACAAAAGAAATTAGTTAATGTTGGTAAAGGAGACTTCAAGTAACCTGAAGATAATGATGAATAAAGAAAAAAATAAAAAGCTTTAAAGAAAGTATTTTAACCTTTGACTGATTGGTGGAGAAAATTATTATCAGAAAATGTTGATTCAGTAGTTATTTCCCAGAGATTAATTGAAGATCCAATTATAGTTGTTTCTTCAGAATCTGGATATTCTGCAAATATGGAAAGAATATCTAAAGCCTAAGCTTATTCTAGTAAGGGGGGCAATTCCTAACAATTTGGTAAGAAGATTGTTGAGATTAATCCAAATCATCAAGCAATTTAAGAGTTATTATAAAGAGTCAAAGATGATCCTGATTAAGAAACTGAAGAAATGGCTAGAGTTCTTTATGAAGCTGCTTTAGTCAATTCAGGTATGAATTATTATTATTATTTATTTAGGTTATTCTATTCCAAATCCTGAAAAGTTTGCTAGTAGATTTTATAAATTGTTTAATTCAGCCTTAGGTATCGATAGAGATGCAGCAATAAAAGAGTTTGAAGTTGAAATTGAAGATGAACCTGAAGCATCATCTGAACCACCTGTTGATTAAGATGGAACCAAATGGGAAAAAGTTAATACAGATGATGCCTAATGGGAAACTGTAAGTGATGATAAAAGAGATGATTTATGATTCAGTTATACATTTGTATTGTAAATTTTTATCTTTAGTAAATTTATGTATTTTCCGTATACATATATTTCCATCCATAATAAATTTCAACAATCTTTGCAATTCTATACAATATTTTATAAGTCTAATTTATTTAATTATTAACAGTAATAAATTAATTTTTGAAATGAACTCCAACTCTGATTAGTAAATATTTATTCTCTAAATACTTAGTCATTTCCTTTTCAAAGTATTATTAATTGGAAATTCTGGCGTCGGCAAATCCTGTATGCTTATGAGATATTCTGTATTTCATTCATCAATTATTCTTTTAAGGAAAATCAATTCACCAACAATTTCTATAATACTATTGGAGTCGATTTTAAAACAAAAACTATTGCTATTGGGGAACACAATGTTAAATTGCAAATTGTTATATGCATAATCTTATTATTTAGTGGGACACTGCGGGCTAAGATAGATTTAGAACTATAACATGCAGTTATTATAGAGGTGCATAAGGCATTATTATTGTTTATGATATTACAGATAGAGAGTCTTTTGAAAATGTCAAAACCTGGATGGCTGAAATTGATAAGTACTCTTTATAAAAATTACAAGGTATGCATCTGAATCAGTAAACAGAATGTTAGTTGGAAATAAGGCTGATATCACAGAAAGAAGGGAAGTTTCATATGAGGAAGGTTTAGAACTATGTAATCTCACTTTCTATTCGTAGCAAGATAATATCAATTCCCTTTCTATGAAACAAGTGCCAAATCATCTATCAATATTGAAGCAGCATTTACTCATATTACTAAAAATATCTTGAATCGTGAAATTCATAACTCTTAAGCTGTAGTTAGAAAAATTTCAAATGTGAGGTTATAAACCAGATAATAATAATAAAAATAAGAGAAAAAGAAGCAAGAAGATTTATGTTGTTGATTTTAGAATGAACTATTAAATTTAATAAGTAATACTTACAATTGTTTGAATAAAATTTATTTATTTTTTAGTTTTATTACCTTAATCCATTTATATATTTATAAGATTGGTTAAAATGGTTTACAAATATTATAAATAATCATATAAAATAACTTACTTAAGAGTGCATTCACAATTCAGAAATTTTTGTTTTAATAGAAATAAAAATAATATCGGTTATGAAAATTAGTATTTAATCATTTTTTAAGATCATCATAAATTCTAAAAAAGAGATCATCTTATTCTTCCTATTCTTTAATTTGATCACTTTAATGTTCATCAATTAAATGTTCCTCCTCCTCTTTTTCTTCTTCTGTTTATAATTTATGATTTTATCTTTCGAGTTTAGTAGTGCTTTCTTAAATGCTATCATAATCATCAATATAATGGGATTGTTTTTAATTAATTTGATTAGATGAAGGCATGAGACATAATAGAATATTCAAAGCTGTTACAGTAAGTATAAAAACATGGTTATGTGCTAGAAAAGCATTCATAAAAATAATTAATTATAAATTATGATTATGTAAATATAATTATGTATAATTGATTATTATATACACTAAAATTTTATTCACATATAAAAAGTGGGAATTAGTAAATTATATATTGACTAATCCCTAAATTAAGAGTTGAAGATATGTATGAGCAGAAAAATAAATATATTTATGGAATTTAAAATTGTTGATGATAATAATGATAAAAGAACCTAAAAATAAAACGAAACAATAAGTTGTTTATTAATTGATAATTATAGTAAGAAGGCTGATTTGAAGTATTGATGATAGTATGATGAAATGAATTGGAAGTAAAAAAGTTTAGATTTATATGAATAAATTTCTTGAAATTATATAAGTATTTTTGGTAATCATAACCCCGTTGTTGAATTTGCTTTAGATTCTAAAGTTGTTAACATAGTTTGTAATTCCTCACTATTATATCGAATATAGAGGGAAATTTTAGGGTTTGAACAGGCACAAACACTTTGATGAGCAATGCATCCTTTTTTTAAGCATCTTGTTTGTTAATATAAATAAGATATACTTTCCACAGAAAATATAACTATAGAACATATAATTAGAACAGATTTTACAGACATTTCTATCATATTTTTCTAATTAGTTTGTAAATTCTACAGTTTTAACTTATTCATAGAGAGCTAGAATGGTGTTTCTATTAGCAATTTCAGAATGAATAATGATTTTAAATTTTTCAAGTAACTAAAAAGAGATAATAAGAAAAAAAGAATACTTTAATCCATGATGATTAAGTAAATTAAACTTGATCTGCCATAAGAACAACTTTGGTGAGAAGCCATTCTAAAGGGAAACTAATCTTAATAGATATATAAAAAATTTAGTATACTTTTTTAAGATTTCCATCCATACGATATTCAGTAGAAGCACGATCAAATTCATCAAGCCATTAAGTAGGAGCAACATTGACAGCTTCACTACAATTGAATCCTTAGATTATATATATATTAAAATAAACCATGTGAGAATCCTGCATGATAGGTTGCACCTAAAGTGATAATAAGTTCACCAGGATGCTGTTCTGTTCTGAGGATTTAAATTTATTATTGATTTAATTCTACAGGTGATATCTGACATACTAAGTCATATAAAAGACGAGGATTCTGAATTCTTTAATTTTCATACTTCTTATTGAAGTATTATAAAAACTTTTCACTATGATTGGGTGGTATAGCATACCTCAAATTGAATTTAAAATTAATACCATGTTTTTGGTGCTCCTGCATGCATATAGTTTAAAGAATTTAGATTTAAATCTTCTTTATGCCAACAAAAATTAGCATACTTCATTCCTAAATATAGCCAAGGTACTGATATCCCACTCATCTCATTTTTTTATTAGAGAACTTAAAAAATAGAATTGCAATTCTTGTTTATTGAACTTAAATTTCCCAATTAACCTTCTTAAAAACCTGTAGCATATTTAGTAGCCAATAAATCAGCTGCATATTCTACTTCTACTTCATCATACCTATGAGGGAAATCTACTATTGACCAGAATTCTATCTCATTCTATCTGATTTGATTTGAAACTTCTCTTTATCCTTATAACTTATGACTACATTCAAACTTATTTGCATATCTAATATACTCTTATAAGGTAAATCCTGTTGTATTTGAACCAAATATCTAATCTATTAAATTGAAATACCTCCCCTGCTTATTGAGAATTTAAAGTTTATACTCTAGTCTCCACTCTTTTACCTTTCAATTTCATCTCTAATTCATTAAAGAACTTCTTCTCTGGAACTTTTAATTCATTTGGTAAAAGTAATTTCACTATACCAAATTTCTCATAACCTTTTCTATATAAATCATCTATTGTCTTAAAAGGATCCTTAAAGAACTCTTAAGTAACATGCAATGTTGGAACTTCTTTAAAATTAAAATCTTTTATTGAATATGGAAAACGTTCCAGTAATGCTTTTGCATGATGCTCAGTAATATCATCAGAATTCTTAGACTTTCTTATTTCTTTTTTTTATTTCATTTATCGTATCATATACTTATCAAAGTTATTTTATATATTAAATTAATCAAACCTTTGACATCTTCTGCCTTTATAATGATTTATTTAAAAGATACTTCTGTTTTAAATTCCCAAAAATTATATAATAATAATTAAAACATACCCGTGCCATAATTACAATCTGATGAATTCTATTAAGAAATACATAAAATATATTATTCATTCAGAAGCCTACTTTTAGTCTTCCTTTTTTATTTCTAAATATGCCTTATAATTAGATCGAGGAGGGAATGGCCTTTCTCCTAAAACTTCTATAATTTTCTATAAATCTAGAGTTTCCTTCTCCAATAAACTCGTTGCCAATCTAAATTTATTAATTAAAATTACTTATCAACAAATTCTTTCTTTTCTCTTAACAATTAACGAGTTCTCACAGTTTATTCATCTATGATGTTCTTTATCTCATCATCTATCTATTTATTTGTATTATCACTATATGGTTTCTAGAATTCACCTTCTTAGAATCCAATATAACCAATATTTTCACTCATACCAAATTTAGTTACTATACTATGTGCTACTTAATAGGCTTTCTTTAAATCATCATAGGCTCCAGTTGTAATTTATCCAAAAATAATCTCTTCGGATATTCTACCTCCTAAAATACAACAAATTCTATCTAATAATTCTTATTTTGATTCCAAACTTGATTCATTAGGTAAATATTATGCATATCCTAAAGAACCTTTACTTCTTGGAATAATAGTAATTTTAAGTAAAGGATGACCTCCTTATAAAAACCAACTAACAACAGCATGTCCAGATTCATGATATGCAACAGTCTTTCTCTCTTCTTCGCTTATAATTCTTTTCTTTTCTAAACCAGCCATCACTCTTTCTGATGCCATTTCAAAATCATTAGAATCTACATAAATTTTATTTGCTCTAGCAGCCATAATAGCAGCTTCATTACATAGATTAGCAATTTCAGCACCACTGAAACCTGGTGTTAAAGTTGCTAATCGTTTTGCATATTCTTCCATAGTTTTAGATGGATCTAATTTTAATGGTGCCAAATGAACCATAAATATTTATTTTCTACCTTCTATATCTGGTAATGTAATATCTACTGATCTATCAAATCTTCCAGGTCTTGTAAGTGCTGGATCTAACAATTCTTTTCTATTTGTAGCTGCCAATACTATTACATTTGTATCAGTTCCAAATCCATCCATTTCTACTAATAATTAATTTAATGTATTATCTCTTTCATCATTACCTCCAATCTTAGCATCTCTTTTTCTACCAACAGCATCAATTTCATCAATAAATATTATACTAGGAGATTTAGCTTTTGCTTATTTAAATAAATCTCTAACTCTACTAGCACCTACTCCTACAAACATTTCTACAAAATCTGAACCACTTACAAAAAAGAATGGAACACCTGCTTCTCCTGCACATGCCTTTGCTACCATTGTCTTACCTGTTCCTGGTGGTCCTGCTAATAATGCTCCTCTTGGTAATTTTGCTCCCATTTCTTTATATTTACGAGGTTTCTTTAAAAAATCTACAAATTCTTTTATTTCCAATTTTGCTTCATCTAAACCTGCTACATCTTTAAACTTTACTTTCACATTTTATTCAAATCCAAATTATTTTACATTTGATTTACCAAAACCAAATACATCATTTCCACCACCACCACCACCTCCACTTCCTTTTATATTACCCATACTACCTTTTAGTGACTTAAACAATACTAGTACAAATGTCACTGTTACACCAAAATACAATACATTTAATACTCTATCCATTAATTTACCTTTATCTAATTATGTCTCAAAATTCACTGGAATAAATTATTCTGGACTTAGTCCTCTATCATTCTAAAATCTTTCTAAATTTTCCAAAAAATTATCCACATTCAATATTGTTAATCTTTTTGATGTTCCCCTTTATGTCATTATAGATGCTTAATTCACTCTACTTGTTTCATTCTTATATATTGTTATTGAATTCACTTAATTAGGTTCTAAATAGTTTTTCAAAAAATCTGTATAATTTATTTCCTCTTCCTAATTTTAATACTAATATAGAGCAGCTAAACCACTAACTCCAAAAAACATATAAAAATAATTTCGATTCTTTGGATTATTCAAATATTCAAACACCTTATCAAAATTTATATCTTAAAATGAAAATTTCTTCTATTATTACTGTTATTTCTCTGTCTCTTCTTATTATTATTCAACTTTCTCTTCCTGCTATTCTTATTATTACTCTTATTTTTCTTATTTTTACTCTTCTTTATTATTATCCTTCTTACTTTCATCTTACAAATTAAAAGACTTTGGATCGTATGTGAACTAATATTTCTTTTTCTAAGGTTTTTCGTCTAAATTTTATTTACTTAATACTTTTCAAATCCTAATTGTCCTTATCTTATTCTTCTTTTATTTCCTCTTCATTTTACTCCTTTTTCTATTCTTATTCCACTTTCTAATCCACTTTTTCCTCTTTTGATTACTCTTATTATATTTTCGATTTCCTTTAAAATTTTTAAAACCCTAAAAGCTCTTTTAGGTAAAATTACCTTTTGGAGGCTCTTTATCTGATGAGAAACACATAAATGGCATTGGATATCGAAATACATTTCTTCGCATTAAGTTTAAACTTAATCGCAGCATCACAAATAAAAAAAATTAAGAAAATAGAAATATTTACAATGTAAATAGTTTTTTTATAAATTATTCCAAATATAATTTAATATAACTTAAAAATATTTCATTTTTTATTTCATTTCTAAATGTTTTATACAATTTATAAAGAACTATGATTTTTATATAATAATTACACATTGATATTAAATAAATAACTCAAATGTTATCAAATATAGAAAACAAAAATACAGAAATAATTATAATCTAAATTGAATATTTTAATAAATAATTAATTAATTTTTATATAAAAATAAAGATACAATAAAAGAATTAAAATTATATGAAATAGTAAATATTATAAATCACTACAACTATCTAATAAGATTACTTCCAACTTTATGAACTTATTCATACTTCTTATCAAGTTCTCCATTATGATTATGATGAACGGTATGAGAAGAAATATAATTATTAGAACCTACAGTGATGTTATCATTTAAATAAGTATAATTATTGCAAGTAGTAAAAATGATATTCTTATGCTATAAATGTTATTTGCTAAAATCTCCTAAGTGAGCAGTTGATTAAGATTATAAAAGCGGAACCTTGGGTTTTTGCATTGCCAAATCTCCAAACGATTGCCTTTTTTATTCAAACTAAAATTATCTATTTATAAGGTGATTAGAGTTAACAGTTGTGAGAGTATTAGAAGGAACAATGATTTATTAATAATAAAGTTCTTAAGGATTAGCCTATAATTTAGTTATAGTTTTGAAACTCTTACTTTTGGCAGTAAGAGTCATAATTTAAGAAACTGATGATGATATTTGCTATGCACCAACTCCAGTCAAACTTTACAATTATTACGACCAAATATTTAATAAGCCTGCCTTCTTTCTTAAATAAGCAACACAAGATAAGGCTAATATAGTCTAATCAGTTTAGAAATACAATTGATCATCTAATATTTAGAATTTAATATCATACCTCTAATAATTTATAGTGCTAATTCAACATATTTACTTTCTACTTCTTTAACATAATATAAGATCTAATTTTCTTATAAATCTCTAAGTTTAATATGCTATTAATGAATTGAATCTTTATTTTCTTTTTATTATTACTATCCTAAACTATCATCATCATCAATCACTCCAAATGATAATAAAGCTTCTATTCTATCTAATAATGTATTTCTTTATAATTTCCATTCCATCTATTGTATAAGAGATCTCTCTGCAGATTTAAAATCCTAAGTACTAAAATGACTAATTTCAGGATGATTAGTCATAGAGGCATATCTCTTAAGTTTACTAATGAAAGGAACTCTTTCATCAAGTTCTTATGCTTTAGCAGCTAACATAACTGCTGTTGAAACAAATAAATATGTTTAATTTTCATTTACAGCAACCTTATTGAAATATTCATCAATATAATTCATAGCCAAAAAACATGTGTTAATTGATAGATTAAGTTTTTCTGAAACTTATAAAATGAATTCTATGAACTCTTATCTTTATTTAATTGGGCCATTAGGCAAACCTTCAATCATCATCCCTTTTAATATTTTAATTGGATTGAAAAATGCATTGTATTTCATTTTCAATGTCTTATAGACTTTTGTGTTTGGCTATGGTTTATTTATAAAATTTACATTATTTAAGAAAATGCCACAATCTATACAAATCATTTTTTCAGAATATAAATGACGATTTGTATGAGAACATCCAAATACTTCTAAGTATTAATTACTATAATGATGTTCAAATGGTTCTTATTAACTCATATATACGTTAAATTTTATTTATTATTTATTATTAAAAATCTTGAATAAAATTAGAAATAAAAAATTATAATTTAATGAAACTCTTCTTACAAAATTTATTATAATAAAGATAAGTGCGATATAAAATAAATCTATATATATATTTGATTTCAAACAAATTATTTCATCATTGTAGTTCTTCTTTATTTCAATCTTTCTTTTGTTTATTTTTTATATATCTTTATCACTTTTTCAGGATTTTCCTCTTAAAAGAAAGCATCAAAATTAAACATTTAATCAATAGTAAATTGACTATCAACATCAGAATGAGTTTCAATTTATTATTAAATATTATTATCACCTTTATCATGCTTAATTGCAGAATTGATCTCTTTTGTTCCTTATAAATTTTAACTATTTTGAATGTAATTTCTATTTTAAAAATATATTTATTACTTTAGCTCATCAATTATGGATTATATTTCTTGATTTTTAGGTTAAGCTATTTAAAGAAATTTCATTTTTCTAAGTAGCTCAGACTTTTTAGATTCATTATAAACTAATAGATCTGGTGATTATACTTTATCTTATTTATCATTATTTTAATGAATTTGTTATGATTTATCACAATTTTGAATTTCATTTTATAATAGCATTTTACTCTTTTTCCTTTGAGCTAAGAAATTATTTGGTAGCATAGCACTCATTCCTTTATCTTTTTTTATTACTGTAGGTTTCTTAATTTATTCTTATATTGGTGTAAGACTAGACATAGAAGATGTTCTAACATTTCTAAGTTTTTATAATTTAACAAAACTTTGAAATTTCTACTTTTTATTTCCATTAGATTTTTTTTTGATCTCTTCATCAGAATGCTTTATTAATTATTAAGATTTTTTAAAACCATCTGATAATTCAACACTATGATTATCTCTACTTTCATCAACCTTCATCTCATAATCATCATCAGCTATCCATTGTCCTCTCCTTTTTTATTTTGCTTTTTCTTTTTCTTATTCTACTATTTTTTTAATATCTTCCATTTCCTCTTCATAATCATCAACATCTGAACTATATTCTATATCTTCATCACTAGAATTTTATGTAAATGTTATGTTCTAAAAGTACTTCTTAATTGCAATTGCATTAAATTACACTTCTCTAATGTGAGATAATGCTTTAAATTATTATTTTACCACTCTTCTTTAATATGTTTAATTTCTTGCATTTTTTAAATTTTAAGTTTCTAAAATTATAGCCATTTTTTCTGGTATATAGAGAGTCTTTTTGCAATTTATTGCTAAATGTTTCTGACTTTCGCAAATATAGCATTTTAATTACCATTTTGCATAATTATTGTTAAAAAGTACTTAATGTCTAATCTCAAAAAACTTTTCTTTTTCTATTGAATTTTTTTCTAATCTTTTTAAAAATTAAGTTCTAGAGAGTTTATATATAACTGAATATGTTAAACAACGAGCAGAAGCTGTTCTTTTATAACCAGTAATAAAAGCCACTATTCCAAAAATACCTTATTTCATAATATGTAATTTTATTCTTTTATCACTATCTAAATATATTTCTACAGAACCCTTAGTTAAATAATATACTGGAAAATCATCTATTTCTTCTTTCTCTTAAAATATTACTTCTTCTTAAGAATAGTATTGTTATTAAATATCTTATGCTAATTCAATCAAAAAGTCTTATTAAAAAAAACTGAAGAATCTACTGTGATTAAGCATCTTGCCTAAAGTTTAATAAATTAATTCCTCCTTCAGAGCTGGAGCTAATTTTAATATCATGGCTTATTCTAATTCATGATCTCTTGCTTTTTCTGATTCCCATAAATGATATAAATAGGCTTCGATTCTGGCTTTTAATTTTCTATCCACATTATGTTCTCGCATAAATCTTTCTATTGCATTAACGTATTTTCTAGGCTAAATAATTATATAAAATTTACTGAAATCTCTGTTTATTTTCATTCTATTAATTGATCATCTCCCAAATAGCGTTAACAGAATATGCAAAAACAATACAAGAAATAAATTATGTTACTACAGTTACCAGAACTTCCCAAGCATTTTTTGGAGTTACATCTCCATATCCTACTGAAATCATAGTTGTGACTGCCCAATAAAATGAGTATAAATGCAATTCAAAAATGTTTTTCTTTAAAGCATTATATCCACCATGCATTGAAATCAAATCACTTTCACTCAACCAAGATTTATTATCTTCTCCTTTACTAAGTTCTCTTCTTCCAACAAAAAAGAAAACACAAGCAAATACATGACACAACCATGTGATAGTCAGCATGACAATTAATAATCTATACTTTGCTAATTTAGAAGGTTCTAACTATAAATATTCTTGTATCATATTGCTAGTTTTAAAAACTTCGTAAATTTTAAGTAGAAATAAAAATATTTCAATTCCAAATTACCTATCCTTGTAGAGAAAAACTCTATATTCAATTAAACAACACAATGGGATTAAATCTAGGATGAGATAGGTTTTGAGATAATTCAAAGCAATTTATTTTCTGCCACTAACTAAATATCCTTATTTATAAAAAGCAATATTGAAAGTGAGAGTAATATCAATTGTGAATATAAAAATGGCTATCGATAGTGCAAATATTTCAAAAACTTAATAATGGTCTGATTAATTTTCTTGAATAAGAGGTTAATAGGCAAAAATGAAAGGTATCTGAAAGAAAAAGAGAATAACCAAAACGCTATTTAGAACCTACCAAAAGATGTAAAATTAAGAGTCTGGTTCAATGACTTTGACTTTATGAATGTACTTTTAGACATCTTTTAAGAATCCATCCTTTTCAGTTTCATAAGCATAATCATTAAATAACTCTTTTTGCCTTAGATCTATGATTTAGGCCACAGTAACCTTGTTTGAAGATTATTTACTACCGAAGCATCTTGAAAATAGATTAGATTATTATCTTTTGATTTCTAAGGTATTTCTGTAGATGATAGTTTCATTAGCCATAGTGGGAATGATTTTGGCTCTTGAATATTGATCATCATCGATCATTGATTAATATATGAAGTCATCATCATTAACAATCTACTACATATGGATTTCACTATAGGTTCTATTGGCTATTTCTATTTGATTTTGTTGTTGAAGTGGCTATGGAAAGTACGAACCAGAATCCTAGTCACTCATTAATAAATTTATAAAAATATAAGGAATGGGTCCAACCTAAGGAAAGGAAGTATTTAATAATAAATGATTATGTCTAGTTATCTCCATAAATGAGAGAGAGAGTATTAAAGTTATTTGCAAGATTTGATGTAGATGGGTCAAAGTCGATTGAGAAGTCAGAAACAATAAAATATTGGTATTTATATAAATGTTAATGTTAATGAAGGAAGAGTAATTTTGCAAAATTGAATACAGAAGAATTGTTTAAATCAGTAGATACTGATAATAGTGGTACAATATCTGAGGAAGAGTGGTTAAATTTTTGGACATCAGTATTACGTAGTGGACATACAGAGGAAGAAATAGCAGATGAAGTACAATATGTTTGAATATCTGCATTCTAGTTAGAAAGTATTGAATCTGGATCCTCATGGGTAAAGTTTGAGAATTTGGAAAACAAAAAAGGTTGAGATAGATTCATCAATATACATATATTAAAATATTATATAATTAAATGTTATAATTTAGGAGAACTATTTTCGATTAAAATGAAGAACCAGTTATGTGGAAATCAGATAATCAACCTCCTCCACTTCCCTTTTAATTACAAGGTACAATTCAATAGTGCTTTATCCAGGGAATGTAATGATGAAATAATTTGACAAATTTATTCCAGTTTACTTGGAGATATGTCCTGAAAGGTTATATAAAAGAGTTTCATCTAATTAAGTTGTTTTTTGTTCTTTGGCTAAGTGCAGATTGAAGAAATTTACTTTTTATGAATAATCATTGCCTCATTATAATTATGGCATAACTATACAACAAAGAGATTAGTAGGAGATATTTCTTATAGACTCTGCTGATGAGTTTAAAAAATGGTTCTTGTTATTTAAAAGATATTGCGTTTTGGATAAATTTAAATAAAAATTTAAAGTTCTCAACAAATCAAAAATGGAGGATCCTATATTTGGTTAATGTTATTATAATTGCATACATAGTAATAATTATAAGTTAGTAAAAATAATTGATAAGTCTATAATAAATAATTATTAGTTGTAATGTTTAAATAAGGAGATAAGTAGTCTTCGTAAATTGAGGTAATATTTGAATAATGTAGTTCTGCATTGATAATGTTCTTTAATGAACTTTATGAGGATGATACGAATATTTATATAGTTTACAATCATTATTAAGGTTTGGATATGAGGAGTTGGATAAAGGAGAATTCTTAGAATTTGGAAGAGAGATTGGTAGCTTAAATAATGTTTAATCTATTGACAGCAATATCTCATATGCATTCTAGAGGAGTGTTTCATAGAGACATTAAACTTGATAGCATTTTAATTTAAAGTTAATTACCTTCAATTTTACTGATTAATTTTTGTTATTCTGAAACTTATATAGAATAGACAAATTATAAGAAATGTGGGACTCCTGGGTTTATTGCTCCTGAGATTTTTAAAACAAAATTATATACTCCAAAAGTAGATATGTTTAGTTTAGGTTGTTTATTTTATGTATTGTATTATGGGAAGATTCCTTTCAGTGGATAAAGTTAGGAAGAGATACTATAAAAGAATGAAGTGGGAGTAGTTGATTATTAAATTTAGTATTACTTATAATTAAAGAAGGAAGCAACTTTGTAGGAAGGTATCTTCATCAGGAATAAATTTACTAAAAGCTCTTTTAAATATTGATCCAGAATAAAGATTATCTGCATAATAGGCTTTATAGCATCATTGGTTTATTAAGATGGGTACTAAATAAGAGGCGAGGTTTCACAAGAATATTATAAAGGGGAAATCTTTATCAACAATAATTGAAAATTCTGTTGATATTACTCACAGGTCTGTTGATTTATCATATAATAGTATTTAATGTTAGATTCCATCAAATACATTTATTGAAGATAAAGTAGATAAAGAATTTACAGCTGATAATTTGAAAGATAGATTGTAGAAATTTAATTCAATTTAATTAAAACCGTCAAAACATAGACACTAGTATTATTAATGAATAAAGATATATATATATATATAAATTATGTTTAACAAAGTAGAATTATGAATTGGTTTATTTATACTTATGCTTGTCATGCTACTTTATTAAACACAATAAAATCTCTGTGTTTTTCAACATAATCAAGTAATTCCTCTAAATCAGCTACGCCTACTTCCATATCCGAAGCAATGCTTTTGAGATGATGTTTAAATTTATCAAATTGCTAATTTGTTATATTCAAACCTTTATGAACTTCAACCAGATCTCTAAATGTTTTTTAGATAACAGATACCTGCCAGTATATTGAGTATTTTTATCACCCATCATTTAAGAGAAGAATCTCTTCTATTAGTATCTGACACGACTCATATCAGCTTTAAGAAACTTATCTCTTAATAATTTATCAAACAAGACTTTATAATAGAATTAATCAATTAATTCAGACACTTGTTGATCACCTCCAAATCTCTCGTATAACGATTTTTTGTTATCCATTTCTTTAAAATCTTTTTTATTTATTTTATATATCAATATATATATATATTTATTAAATACTATTGAATATTAAAAATTATATAATTTAAAAAATGTCTTTAGGTGTTCCTCTCAAAATTATGCATGAAGCAGTTCATCATATAGTTACAGTTGAACTTAAAACAGGTGAGATGTTTACAGGATATATGGCAGAAGCAGAAGTATTTGTTAAAATAATCATAGGATACAATGAATGTTAGATTAGATGAAGTATAGATGGTTACAAGAGATGGAAGACCTATGTCTTTAGAATAAGTTTATTTAAGAGGTAGTCAAATTAGATTTGTTGTTATTCCTGATGTATTCAAATATGCACCAATGTTCAAGAAAATTAGAGCTAATGCTAAAAGCAAAAACATGTAACAAATCAGAGAAAAAGCTAGATAAGTCAGAGGTATCTTATTCTCATCAATTCATTTATAGAGGAGTTAGTACCACGTATTAAATAAGGTTTAGAGTAGTAGAAGAAATGATTAATAAATATCTAATTCTTATATTAAATAATCAATCTATAATGCCTAATTCATTTCATTACTTTATTAATTATCTCTAATAATGATGAATTTATTGCTTCTTACTTTATTGAATCTATAAATGAAGAATTATTAAACAAAATCTATTACTTACTTTCTTTTTAATTTTCAAACAAATTTATTAAGCATGCATAAAAACTTGATTCTTCAAATAGTAGTCACTTTTCTAAAATTGATCATAAAGAACTATCCTATCTTATTCTTGGAAGTATCTCAATTTATCATTTTCTTAATCTCAACCTATCCATTCACTTATTTAAGTAATTTATAAATGAATTCTCTATATCAAGACTCAAATAAAGATGATACCAGACTTAAATAACATATAAAAAACAACTCAAATTTTATGTATGAAGTATAATCATTTGGTTTTTCTTTACAAAAATGCATAGAGCACATTAACTATTTGATCTTATTCTATAATTCCAATAGATCGTACTAAAATAGGGATGGGATACAATATTAAATATTAAGAGTTGAAGATCTAAATAATAATACATTGTCTATTGTTGGAAATGTAAATTAAATAATAATATTCTCATATATATAGCTTAGGTCTAATTTATGTATTTTAGAAATATGAAATTAAAGATCATTATTATTGGATTAATCATTTAGTTTGGATTATTGTACATTACATTATATTGTAATAAAAGTAAGTGCTTCTGATTGAATTATTGTAAATTTTGTAATTCGTTTTTAATATTATATATAAAAATGCGTGCATCTCATATTTTATTGCTTATTGTTGCTATCAAAGCAGTTAAGTTTTTAGATGAACCAGCTGTATTATTAGAGGAGGAAGAAAAACCATACATGCAATTCACAATCTTTGCTTAATAATCTCCACTGTTTACAGAAGAGGAATTAGCTAGAAATTCAGAACCTGCTAAAGAATATCCATCTGGATTCAATTATGAAGATGAGAATTAATCATCATTAAATAGTGCTGATTAATCTTAAGTCTTTTTGGCTGCTTAATATGAAAAAGATTTACCAGCTACTGGTGATTGTGTTGTTCTTTATTCTTCATGCGATTTCAAAGGCACATCAGGAAAAGTATGCAAAGCTGAAGATGCTATGAATTTCTAAATACCTGTCTTTTCTATTTATGTTCCAATTGGGTAATATCATTTTACTATAATTTAGATAATAATTCACCACTTTAGATTCTACTAATAATGAATAAGTTGCATTCTTAACTAGTGAAAAATGTTTAACTGAACCACTTGTTATGGCTGATACTTAAAAAGATGTTTTTATTGCTAAACCATCAACCTCATTAGCTGGATCTGATAATGAATCAAGTATTATTCTCATTATTCAATTATTCAGGTAATGATACAATTGAACCACAACCAAAATTGATATAAGAAACATAACAATAATTAGATGCACCATAAACTTAAGTAGATTAATAAGAATAAGTTTAATAAACTGAATAATTATAAGAATAAGTTTAAGAATAATAATAATAAGAATAAGTTTAAGAATAATAATAATAGGTAGAAGTTGAAGCTTAATAATAAGAATAATAATAAGATTAATAATCTGAAACTCCATAAATATAATAAAGTGAAACCTAAGGTTAAGAATAGGAACAATAATAATCAGTAGAGGAAGTACCTTAAACTGCAGAAGCACTTGTTGGTCAAACTTAATGAGACGTATAAAAGCAAATATAAATTTAATATATAATAATAATAATAGTGTCTAACTTTAATATTAATATTAATGAGTAGCGACATAAAGAAATAAATGAATGATTTTCGCATGGCTCATTTTTCAGTTGGTTTTGATAAATGTATTATGAATAAGATTAGATATTAGCTTCTGGTAGTACAAATTATCTAGATGATTACACAGCAAAGAAACCTGATAAAGAATTGCCAGCAACTGAAGAAGCAAAACATTTTGAAGCATATATTGCAAATCCTCGAAAGGCACATTTTGAATTGGGAGAAGACAATGTTAATTATTAATCAATTGCAAAATTATCATTTAATCCAAAAGAATCATAAAAAGCACAACTGTCTGAAGAAACTTAGAAAGATTTACGTAATCATCATTTTAAGTTGGGATTTCATAGTGTACCTAGTGAGACTGAATATTAATAATATAAGAATTAGCCTTTGGATATTCAAAAAAAGTAATAAGTAAATATTCGTAAACATCATCATGATTTCGGAGATTTGAAAACTTACTTTACAACAACATATTAAGATACAAATAAAGAATATAAAGTAGAAAAGGAAGAATATCATGCAACAGATATTCGTAAGACAAATATCAATATAGGCAATGTATGATTATTAGTTCATCATAGAATCCAATAGATTATACAACACATTATAGTAGATATCATGATGGTTAATAGAATCCAAAGGCAAATGACAAAGGAAATTTGGAAAAGTTTCTAAAAGAGTCTCACTTAGTATTAGGTGAGGATCCTACTGTTAAAAGTTCATAAAATAAAGATGCTTTCTAAGGATAATAGAATAAGGAGGTTATAAGAGTTAATAAAGATGTGTTATTAGATCTAAGAACAGCACATTTTGATTTTGCATATTAAAAAGCAGATATGCCATAAACAACAAAATAATCGATGTTTTAAAAAACAGCTATTGCTGTATCATAACCAAGTTTACCAACTTGTTCTTTGACAATAGGAACTCATGGATTCTTGAATGATAGATATTATCAAACAAGTTATAATACTAATTATGCTAATCCAAATACTTAAAAACCCGAATTTGCCAAAGATCCAAGAATTACAGCAGTTAAGTTTGGAGATGAATAAGTAGATTATAATACTGAAAATAATAGAAAGTAATATATTATATTATTTAAGTTATTAAATTCCAGAAAAAACTGATTAGTTTAAATTAGATAAAAATTAAATAAGAGATTTAAGATAACATCATTTTGAATTTGGGACTGATCCTGTGGAATATCCATAAAAAACAAATTAAATAACATCTCATCCTAATACATTAAGTGAAGAATAACTTAAAGATTTAAGAAGATAACATTTTGTATATGGAAGTTAATTAGGAACATATAATACTCATAATTCATAATATGGTACTAAATAAGGTCCTCCAAATAAATTGGATCCATAATTATAGAAAGACTTAAGGATGCATCATTTTGAAGAAGATGGAGAAAGAGTATTTTAAACTTCTTATAGAGCCATGCAGCCAATATAATGATTAATTATATTCATTTTTAATAAATGAAAAAAAATTAAATAAAAAGTGGCATATAAATCTTATACTTAAATCTAAGTAAAGAAAAGATATCTAATTATCTTTATCATTTTTAATAAATTACATAGTAAAGTAATCTTTTTAACATTAAATATTTTTATTAAATTTTGTATGAATGAATGAATGAGAATAGTTGTTTGCAAAGATTTTGAAAAAGAATTTTCTATTTATGAAAATTTAAGAATATTTATTGTTTTTCTTTATTATTAAAGAATTAATAGATAGTTCTGATTTTTTATAAACAAATTAGTATTATGAATATATATATATGAAATAGTATAATGAATTTGTATTGAAAATAAAAGAAATAGGATATAAAGATGATGAAATAAGAATTTTTGAAAATATGAGTTGTAATTTTTGATAAATATATAGATTAATTTTAGGTAAGAAAATAATGAGTAATAGAGTTAGGAAGTAATGATATAAATAATATTGTTTAGATAAGATAAGAGATTAATGATAGAAAAGATGTGATATGTATATTAGTATTTTATCATATATTAATTAATGGCAAGAATTTAAAAACCCAAATTTTTTATTTAAAAAAATATCTTAGGAAATGACATCTGTTCCTTTAGTGTCAGTATTTTCAGCAGATGACTCAACAAAAGTCACAGCAAAACATATCCCACTTCCAGCTGTATTCTAAACACCAATAAGACCAGATATAGTGTCATTTGTTCATACTAATATTGCTAAGAATAGAAGATAAGGTATTTGAATAATGTTATATGTTTATTATAGCTCATGCTGTAAATCCATAAGCTGGTATGTAACATAGTGCTGAGTCTTGGGGTACAGGTAGAGCAGTAGCTCGTATTCCAAGAGTATCTGGATCAGGAACACATAGATCTGGTTAAGCAGCATTTGGTAATTAATGTAGAAAGGGAAGAATGAGTTTACCAATTAAAGTATGGAGAAGATGGCATAGAAGAGTCAATATCAAATAAAAGAGACATGCAGCTGCTTCAGCTGTTGCTGCTACAGGAATTGTTCCATTAGTGTTAGCTAGAGGACATAGAATCAGTTAAGTCCCATAAATTCCACTTGTTGTTGAAGATAAAATTGAATCATATGAAAAGACAACTGATGCTCTTAATTTCTTAAAAAGATTTGGTGCCTTTGAAGATGTCTAAAAAGTTGTTTCAACAAAAGTTGTTAGAGCTGGAATTAGTAAATAAAGAGGAAAGAAATATAGAGTTAGAAAGGGACCACTTGTTGTTTACTTCAATGAAAATGCTAAATTATTAAAAGCATTCAGAAGTAATTTATTATATTTATATATTAACTAGATGTTCCAGGAGTTGAAGTAGTCAATGTTACAAGATTAAATCTTCTTTAACTTGCCCCAGGAGGTTAATTAGGAAGATTTGTTATTTGGACTTAAAGTGCTTTTGCTCATCTTGATAAATTATTCGGAACATATAGATATGCTTCAGTTCTTAAAGATGGATATTAATTATTAAGACCACTTCTTACTAATCCAGATTTAGCTAGAATCATCAATTCTAATTAAGTCTAAGAAAAGGTATAACCAGCTAAAACAACCACTGTTCTTCATGAAGTTTAAAAGAAGAATCCATTAAGAAATACTAAAGCTATGGATAGATTGAATCCATATGCTAGAAAATAAAGAGCTGCTGCTATTGCTGCTATCAAAGCCAATACCAAAGGAACAAAGAAGATTAAGAAGGTATTCTTTTTATTTATATCTCTTCCTTAGAATAAAGCACTTAAGAAAGCTTCTAGAGCTGCCTTCAATAAAGTTTCTGCTGCCTTAAACGATGCTACTAATGCTGCTGTTCAAGAAGAATAAGACATCAAAGTTAAATATTTCTCCGTTTAAAAGGGAGCTGCCTAAGCAGAATGATGAGCTTAACATATCAATTGTATAATAATAACATACAATATTCACCCCTTTCTTATAATTATTAATATATTCATTATTTTAACGGTTAACAAAATGATTAACCATCAATCTCTAATAAAATATTTTTTCAAAACTAGTTAAAATATAATATACATCTTCTAAAATAATAAATCTAATCATAATCAAATTAATAAGAATAATTAATTCTTAATCTATTCAAAATAATAAGTAATAATTAATCTATTCAAAATAATCAATAATAATTAATCTATTCAAAATAATCAATAATAATTAATCTATTCAAATAAATTATAAATATTCTAACTTATAGTTGCTTTTGATATTGTGTATAATTTTATTAAAGAAGATCTATTATTTTCCTAAAATTATTTCTAGAATTTTATTTATTTATTTTATTAAATAATTCTTAAAAATAAAGGCCATTTTTTATTTATTTACTTTAAGAAAAGTTATAGAATTATTCTTTTTCAAAAAGCTATTCTATATAATAAATTAATAAAACGTAAATAGTAAACTAACAGATTGCTTTGAAGACAAAAACGACATTCACTTGATTATCACTAATAAAAATGAAGTTTGTAATTTGTTTAGCTTTGATTGCATTCACATAAGCAGTTGTTATTAAACATGCTTCAAATCCTCATGCTGCAGTATTTGCATAGCTTGAGAACCTTGAAGATAATCCTTTAGGAAAAAAAATACTTGATACAATTGCTATCTAAATGAGAAATCAATCACCATTATCTGATATTGCTAAAATGCTTCAAGATTTAAGAGAAAACTTAGTTCTTTAATAATAAGATGCTGAATTAGTTCATGTTGCTTAAGAAGCTGATTGTGAAGCTGAAATCTATGGTTATAATAGAAGAATAGAATTTGCTTCAAATGAGATTACTGAAGCTACTATGGATATTAATAAACATACTTCAGAAATTGAATTATTATAATAAGAAATTGATAACCAAATAATTTAATTAAATATTCTTAACTAATAAGAAGAATAATTAAGAGATTAAAGAGCTGAAGATCATGCTGCTTATTAAGAAAGAGAAATTTAAACACCAAAAGTAGTTGAAGCACTTGATGTGATTGCTGCCAAATTAAGTGCCATCTAACCAGAAGCTGATGCTGAAGTAGTACTTGCTGAATTAGAAAGAGTTGGTGGAGAAAATCCTATTCTTGCTCTTGTTTAATTGGCTTCAACATTTTCTGCAGAAAAATTATAAAGTGTTTAAGCTAAAATTGGAGAATTGAGAGCTTCTTTAGAATAAGCTTTAATTGATGACAGAGAATAAGAAATTCAATCATAACTCAATTTTGAAGCTTAAATTTACTCAATTTAAGAATAAAGAGAAGCCCTTTAATCTGCAAAGGCTGAAGCTGAAACAAAGATTGTTTAAGTTGAACATTTATTGGCTGCCGCTAAAAAGAGAAAGTATGATGCAGGAAGAGAATTAGAATCTGCCACTAATGGAAAAAAGATGAAGGAAGCTTAATGTGACAACTGGAGATCTTTATATGCCAGAGATACTGAATAAAGAACTACTGAAATTAGCATCATTAGATAAGTTGAATAAATTCTTGCTACAAAATTAGAAGGTGCCTCTAATTATATTAAAGGAAGAATCAACTGAGTATAAATTTTAATTTTAAACTCTTTTTCTAAATATTTTACAATATACAACAATTTAACATTCTCTTATTCATTCTAAATTAATATATACTATAATTATTAACAAACGAAAAAAAGGCATCTATTGAAAAGAAATATAAATTGAAAATTTTTTTAATTATTTTTTATACCCAATGTTTCTGTAAATGGATAAATGCTGTCATCTGATTGAATATTATAATAAATTTAATGGAAAATAATAAATATTTTTTAAATTCTTAAATAAATCCATAAAACATTATAATTTATTAACAATCATCAAATCTAAATTAGAAAATTTATATGGTTTCGAAAAAAAGATTACCATTAAATAATTAGTATATTATACTTTTAACTTTTCAATGGAACAAAATATTGAACATTTTCCTTATTAGTCGATTTAATCAACTTTTGAAGCAAGTAAACCTAAAAGACCTTATTAAAAAATTTCTTAAGAGACTAGATCTTAAATTCTGCATGCTTTGACAGTTGAGAAACTCCCTTTATGCAATGTAAGTTGATTTTTACATTTTAAAAGGTAGCTGAAATGTTTAAAACGAAGGCCTGTACATGTAAGGCAATTTTACAAACATATGAGTTGGAGGGTAGAAGAGAGAAGAAAACAAGTAGAAGAGAACGAGTGGAAATAGATTCACACCTTAAAATTATTGTTATAGACCCTTTGGGTCGTTCGAACTATGAATACATTAATATTAAACATTCTAAAGTATATTATATAAACTTATTAAAATATTTTAGATGTATACAGAAGAAAAAGAACTGAGTCGAAAGGAACAAAAATAACTCAGAAGAAGATTGTAATAAGAAATAATAACTTAATTGGAGGAACTCTAAACCGGATGTTATAATGTTTAATAGACAATCTCATAGGATAATCATACAGATGAAAAAGCTCCAGGCAATATTGTTCGAGGGGTCAATATGAGTTTATAATTAATTTAGTAAAAATTAAAATTGGATGGAATCAGTCTAGGTAAGTAGGAAAAAAAAAAGTCTAAGGAATTAAAAAAAGTTTAGTAACAAACTACATTAGAGGATATGATAAAAGTTGAAGAAGGAAAGAGTAATTAGAATTCTGTTATATAATAAGAATAAAAATTTGAAATCACAAAACCAAATATGGTATATGAATTAGGATAGAATTATGTTAAAATTAAACAATTCATAGAAAATGTTAATTAAAAATCCTAACTAAATCCATAAATTATTGATAAATTAAACTACTTAACAAATGAAACAATATTTTAAATGAGTCTGAATTAAAGATTGTAAGATAAAGATTTTTAGGTATCAATTTTAAAACGTAATGTGTCTAGATACTTAAAATAATTTTTTTTAAGTAATTGATTATTAAAATTTTTACTTCCTAAATGTTATTTATCTTACATCAAAAATAATTTATAAAATATAAATGTAATATTATTCTAGCTTTTCTTTCATATTTAATAAATATGATATCTCGAATTTTAATTTATACTTTATTACAGAATTCTCAGAAAAATTTTTTTATAATAAAATGATTTTTATAATCAAAAAAAGGATGAGAATATTTAGTAAATGAATTCACCATAATTAATTTAAAGTTCTTTGGAGTAAGAATTCTAAATATAAAAAGCTAAATAAGTAAAAACTAAATTAGTTGTAGAGAGTATTTAAAATCGTTTAATTATGCAAAATTATTACAAATAGAAGTTTCTTTTGAGAAATCAATATAATTTTGGATTGAAAGTGAGTATTAGAATCTACTAAAAGTATTTTAAAGGAATATGTATATCATGTTAGGTAGAATATTTATATATAAAATAAATAAGAGTTGAAGCATAAGTACTAGTTATTTTTATTTGATAATTTTATTAATTACTAGTAAATTGATATATAGGATTATTATAAAAAGTAAATAAGAAATATAGATTGGTAAAGAAGGAGAAAGAGTTGATGGAAGTAAAATTAGAATAAAAATGAATAAATAGTTATAAATAATTGAAACTTAAATAATATAAGCAAAAATTTAGAATAACTGTTCAATATTTCGAATTTGTGTTAGGCATTTTTGCAGGTTTGAAACTTTGTAAATGGCTAAAATCATAGATGGAATTATTATCTTTTTTTTATTATTCTTATAATTGACTTGATTGTAAATTATTATTCCTAGGTTATCTATTAGAAGGAATAGAGGGAACATATTCACCATATTCTAAATTTTTAGAAGACTAAGAAGATTATTTGGAAGGGATTGGTTTATTTTCAGTAGTAATAAAATCTAGAATATCATCTAGATCATTGCTGTCTTCTTCTTAGGGTTATTATTATAGAAATTATTTTGATTTGAATTAGTTTTATTAAGGTTCTTCTTTTTGACTAAAAGATTTAGGTTTTTTTTCCATATCTGGTAGTTTTAATTCATCTTTAGATTTAGGTTATTCCTCAAATATAATAGGAGGTGCAATTTTTTCAATATTATAGAAAAAAGGATGAGTTAACATTTAAGTAGCAGTAATTCTTTTATTAGGATCCCATCTAATCATTTAAGTTAATAAATTCAAAGCCTCAGTACTAGCATTAGGTATAAGTTATTATAATTGGAGTGGTTAAAATTGTGCTAAAGCTAATCCCATTTAAGAAACAAGTCTACATCCTTCTGGCCAATCATTTTAAGTAAAAGTACTAAAAAAATAAAAATAAATAAAATAATATAATATACCCAAGAGTAGAGAGAATCTTATTAAATTATTCTAATTCAGAATTACCTTAAAAGAGGGGCCTATTTAAGAATAATTCAGCCATAATGCAACCTAAAGCAAATATATCAACAGGACTATTATAATTAGCTTATTTTAATAAAATCTCAGGTGCCTATAAATAGATTGAATTGTAGAATAATACCCTATACCATCTTGTAGCAATATAATCTGTATAAGGTGGTCTAGATCTAATCTCTCTCGCACATCCAAGATCAATAATCTTAACAACTCCATTGTTAGATACTAAGAGATTCTCTGGTTTTAAGTCTCTATGAAAATAACCATGTTTATGCATGTAACTAAGTCCATTGGCTACTTGGTAAATAAGAGATTTTATTTAATCTTCGACTATAGTTTTACCCTAATTTCCATCTTATATTTGGTTACCATCTCTTTTTATTGTATGTACATTTAATAAATGCTTTTCTCTACAAACTCAAAAACTAAACATAGAGTCTCATTGTCCAAAAATACTAAATTTCAAACAATTCTTACATTCTTTAAGTTTTACAATATTTGGATGATTTTAAAGTTTCATCAATGCTTTTACTTCTCTTAAGTTTGTACATTCCTCAAAATTATGATATTTCTATTTCATCTTTTTTATAGCCACTAAATCATGACTTTACATGTCTTCAGCCTTTATTACTACTCCAAATGTTCCATCACCAGTCTTTTTTAATTCTCTGAACTTTTTCATATCGCCTGAAGTAATAATTTAATTTATATAAATATATATATATAATAATAATTATTATATTTCATCAAAAATAAATTAATTAGTAGTACTCATCTGTCAAATCAATTTAAATACTTAATACATCTATCTAGTTTTAGATCCAACTCTATTTTTCAATTTATTCTATCCTTAACTTAAAATACATTTATTATATCATTTCTTCATTAGAGAACTATTTTTTATTTTTGAGATCGTTTTTACTATATCCGTTTTAAATAGCTAACTAACTTAGAGTCTAAATTAGTTAAAAAATTAATTATTATGAGTGAAGAAAAGAGCCTTGCATCTGCATCTAAATCTATCACAAAGAAACCTTGCTCTTGGAAACAAATGTTCCGAAAAAAGAATTATGAACAGCAAAAGAAGAGAGAAGAATTAAGAAAGTTAGGAGAAGAAATAGCTAAAACTGAAGAGTTCCTCCAAAATGCTTGGGCACTAATTGCTAAAGTTATTAATACAAAATCTACTCTAAACTAATTCAAATGATCATTTAACATCATAATGTTATTTTGTTAAAATATCTTTACTCATAACTAATTTTAATAAAATATTTCCTTAACGTGTCTTTTATGGCGTTACATGTTCATTTTCCTCTAAAGGATGTTATGTAATTTTATAAATTTTTATTTCTTTTTTTTTAAGGCTCTTAAATCTGCCTACTCAATCTGAATATTTCAAAATATACGAAAATCATATTATTTCTAGTTATTCTTACGTAAATTCTTGAGGGAAATATTGATAATATATCTATATATTTATTTTATAATAATCGGTTGCTTAATTGGAATTTGAATAATTTTAATATATAGTTATGAAAGCTTACAGATCCACTTGTTAGTCTTTTCATACTGTACAAACATCATAATGCAATTTTGCAACACCTGAGAGATTGGTCAAAGTTTAAACTAATTCAGGAGTTAAATGTAGTCCCTTTTAAAAAAATGAAAACCAATTCAAAAATTATCAATCAAATACTATTTCAAAAAAAAAAGATAATTCTAACCTATATGATTACATTAATGAATTAGAACAAAGTAGATATGTTATTATAGCTATATAGAAATTAATAAATTAGAGTAAAGTTAATGTAAGAGTTTAAATAATAATTATCCTGAAATTTTATAATTAGAAAAGAGAATGCTAATTTTGTTAAATGAAAATTGCGAATTGAAAAGTGAAGCTCTTATGAGTTAAAAATTAGCTTATGAAAATGAATAACTCAAATAATTGGTATAAGAATAATAAATGAAAATACTTGAATTTGGAGAACAATATAATTTGCTCTTTGATTCTCATTAAAAAGTTTGTGAAGAATATAGAGTTCTAGAATCTAAAATCTAAACTTATGAACTCACAATGTCAATAAGAAAACATTCTAGTTTTAGTGAATATTTCAAAACTTCTGAATGAGATTTTAATTCATTTTTTAAAAACTTATTAGTGAATAATTCACACAGATATTTATTGAATATCAATTTATATTCTTTAAATAATTATTAGTCTTAAATTTTGACAATATAATTTTATTTAATGAATAAATATAGCAATAATAGTATAATATATTTTAACATTTGTTAGATCCAGCAGGGGAATGGAGTAGATTGATTTAATAATAAAATTCTTAATCAGATCAGCAACAATAATTACTAAAATATGAAGATTATCAACGTAAATTACAATACAGGTAACTTAATATAGAAATGTTATATAGACAAGATCTACAAACTGCAATGTAAGAGAGAAAAAAAAAGAATTCTGAAAGTTTTGATAATTATTAACAAGCTGGTTAAGCTTAATAAAGTTTGCAAAGATAGGATTAAGAACAACTTTAGAAATTGAATTAATTAAAATAAAAGGAAGCAGAATTTGCAAAATATAGTATTGAATAACAAGAAATTAAAAAAATACTTTAAAAACAATAGAATTTAAATGAAAAACAATAAATTAGCGAATAATTAAACAAGAACTAATAAATTTTTAAAGAAGAACTTATTGAAAAATAAAATAAAAAAAATTAAGTTATTTATGAATTAAATTAATCTTATAAAGATATGGAAGACAAAAAAAAAGTTGAATAACTTAAATTAAAATTAATTGAAAAGTAAAGCATGTAGGATGAATTAAATAAACTACAATAAGATGAAAATTAAAGAAGAAATGTATTTGTCATATATATACTAGTTCTTAAATAAATTAAAAAATAATTACCATTAAAATGAAGGATTATTAGAGAAATATAATTAAATTTATATACAAAAAGAAAGAGAAAAAAGTGAGATTGAGAATAAAATAATAAAGGAAGCTGCTGAATAGAAGAGATAATAAGATGAGTAAAGATAAATAATAGAAAAAGCAATCAGATAAAAAAGAAATAAAGAAACTTATAATTCTATAATGGATTAAATTGAATTTAAGAAATAATGGAAGGAAAGAGAACAATAGTAAAAATCATAAGAATTAGAGTATTATGGAATTGTTAATGAATAATATAAACGAAAGGATCAAGATGATTTTTAAAGAAAAATAGAAAAATAAAAATAGTATAGACAAGATCTAATATTGTAAATAGAAGAATAATAAACAAAAAAGAAAAGAGATTAATCAATGAGTACTGTTGAAATGAAAATTAATTAAAACTATTACAATAATGAAGGATTAAATGTTGGAATTGTTCCAGGAATATTTGTTGATCACAACAGACTTAAATAACAGTAAATCATTATTTTAAAATAGGAAATATCTTGATAGCAATCAAACCAAAAGATAAAATAGTTAATTCTAAAGATAGAGAAATTTAAGTGCTTATTTTGCTTCAAATTAGATAAATTGAAATTTAATGTGAAATTTTATAAAGATTAATAATAAAATCATTACTAAATTTTCAAATTAAACTTAAAATGCAATATAATATTAATTGTATTTTATGAATAATAAATTTAATATATAGTGTTTATTTCTTTAAGATATATTCAAAAATATTTCCAGAAAAATTATAATTTTAAATAAAAAAATATGGATGAATAATGAATTGAGTTTGTTAATTTATCAAGATCATCTTACTGGGATTATTCTGAAATTTGGTAGAAGTTTAATTTTTTTAAGATATATATACACGTATTAAGAATTTTAATATAATAACTCTAAGATTTGACTTAAAAAGGATTTGGCAGGTTAACAGAAAATTTGAACAATAAGCAAAATTTATTATAGAAGATGAATAAATGTTATTTATTTGTTTATGATATTTCTGATGGGAATCATTTAAAACAATTGCATTTTGGATTAATGAAGTTGAACAAGAATAATTTAAAAAATATTAGATAAGTTAATTTTTATGAAACAAGAAAATTGGCCAGAGGATAAGGATTTGAATTCTTTGAATCATCTACATTTGACGATTTAATAAATTATGTAGTTGAATATGACTTATAAAAGGGAATGGGAAGGACATTAGAAAATTTTTAAGTAATCTTGCTTAATAAGATTCAACTGTACAACAATTAATGGTTGTCCTTTTTAAAATAAAATTTTAACTTATTAAATTGAAATAAATAAAATTATTTAATTCAGTTTATCCTAAATTGTTTAATATTAATAAGCTAAGTTATAGATGTTAATCAAATACTTTAGGACTTTAAAATAATAGATTCCATCATAAACCTAAATTCTTTAAGCCAAAATAAATAGGTAGTTAGTCTTACTGTGTAAAAAAACTCTTTTTATGTATTAGAATTCAATTCTTTCTTTTCAAATTTCACAAACAATTAAAATAATTTTAAAATCATTAAATCCCAAAATCCATTAAAGTGGATTTAATAATTAGATTTAATGAGAAACATTCAAAAAAATTTTTATCAACAACTTTTAAGTTATATTTATATATATGTTATTTGCTTTTATAATATAATAAGAATGAAATATTTAAACAATTGGGAGTCTTTTTACTTGTTTTTAATATTAATCCAAGACTTTTTCTATTAATAAAAGCATTATAAGGTATAACATTTCATAAAATTATTTTGTTTAATTAATCCACTATAGATTTTATCCATAATTTTTTTAATAATTGTTTTAAAGCAAATGAGTTCTTTTAATCTCTTAAACAACAACTTTATGCAATCTGCTATGGAGAGAAAATCATTAAGATCAATTTAATTTATTCAGAAAAATCTTGATGGATCTACTAAATCAATTTCTTATGAAATTTGGGATTAAAATGATGGTTTAGATTCGCCAATGACCCCTAAAATTAAACTTCCAAGATCCTTTCAACCAAAATTAATTAAATCAGTAAGAAATCAAATCAAAAAAAAGACTTCCAGAAATAAATTGACATGACCTTTTTTTACATTGCAATATAATTTAGTAGTATCATTATAATTTTTGAATCTTTTACACACAAAAAGAATAATTAATTGTGAATACATAAAAAATGATAAGTCAAACATACCAAGTTTTATAAAATTAATAAAGAAAAATAATAATCAAAAAATTCATTTTAAAAAATCGTAAACAAATAATGTTCAATTAAGAATAAGAATAAAAGGTTTATTAATAAATTCTTAGCAAATCTTTAGTTTTTTGTGTAGAAAATTTTTTATAATTCCTACAATTTATTAATAAAAAATTTGTATAAAACTTAAAAAAAATATGGGAAATGATGCAAAGTCTAAATTTATTAGTTAAGAATATGATGAAGAATGGGAAATTATAGAGGTGCCTTTTCCAAAGAAAATCTTAACTTTACGATAATCAACATTGAATAAATCAATTTTTACAGTGATTGATTATCAACAAACAGAAACTCCATAGATAAAAGCATAACCTTTGTTTTAGGGAAATCATCCTGAGAAAAAAACCAAGAAATACTAAATTTCTAAAAGAATTCAAGAACTTTAGCATTAAATAGGAGGTGAGACTCTTTTTGGTGTAAGAAGAGGAAGAGGACCTATTTAATTTGGGGAGGAGAAATAATAATAAGTATTTAATTATATCAAAACACTAGTAATAACTTGTTGAAAGACCTCAATTTCCAAGAAAGCATAAAAGAACTCCTTTAGATGTAAAGAAATTGCGATTAGATTGATTTAAATGATTTTTATTACTAATGATAATGATATAAAATAATAGATTATAAAAAGAATGTAGAGTTTAATTAAATTAGAAAATAGAATAAAGAATAAAATATTGCAACAAAAAAATGAAAATAAATCAATACATAAAGTTGCTTCCTGAATATCTCATAATTTGACGTTACTAACTAAATGAAGCTAAATGTAAAATGTTTTAAATTACTTTTTTATTATCCTGAATTAACTAAGGAGATAGAATCAACTCTTCCTCTATCAATTTTGGAAGTATTTTTAACAATAAATCTAGTTGCTGATTGAGATGAAGATTTATATATATTTCTGGTAGGAGTTTGACTAAGATATTCTTCTTGTTTTTTTTATTTTCCAATTTAGATTAGCCATTATCTATACATCCAATCATCCGTTTATGAACTTTTATCAACCATTATTGGTTATGATTATTCTTTGATAGGTTCAATTTATCTTAATTTTACATGAGGTGGAATTCTGTATGTAACATTTTTAGGTTTTTAATTACTTAAGGGTATTTTATTATCTTGTTATTATTAATAATTCTTAGATGGAGATTCTTATAAAATACTATTTTTTTGAGTAATCAAGGTTTATTTGGTAGTGATTTATTTTTTTTTAGAATCTAATTATTTAATAAAGTTTTTTTATTTTAGTGAATATGTTTTAGGTTAGAATAATTATACAATTTCATCATCAGATAATTCAGCATCAGATTAACTAGTATCAGATCCTTAATCTTGATCATCAGTTTAAGGCATTTTTCCTAATTCTTCAAGAATTTATTATTGAATATCAGGAACATTTGTTTAATTTGTAAATTCTTTTGAAGTATCTTTAACAATTTAAGATAATGAATTGCATATACTGATACCACAATTAATATAATCTTAGATTGAGAAATGTTTTTTTTATTAACCATAAAAACTACATTCATAAGTATATACCCAATTAATTTTAAGTTCTCTCCATATTTAAATTCTAGCAGTTTTATCTTTTGAACTTTCAACTCGAAAAGTGCAAGATGAATAATCCATAAAAGGATTCATTTTAGCCATTAATAAAGCAAATACTCTCTCTATAGTTTTAACTTGTGATGAGTATGCACATCCATATACAAAAGATGATTATTTTCTTGAATGTCCATGCAAATCAATAACTAATATGATTTGTCTCTCTTTACTAAATCCTTTAATATATTTTTTAGCATAATAAACAGTTGGATGTAAATATTTATTTGGTTTTTTCCATCTTCTATTTAAATCACTCCCTTCTAAACCACATCTATAATTACCATTAACAACTCCATCACTATTCATCATAGGAAAAATCTTAAAAATACAATTCTATCTCAAATACTCTGCTTATGGGTTATTTGATGTTAAATATTCAATAATACCTTACATTACATATGATCCTTATGGTTCTCCAGGATGTTATCTAGCCATAAAAACAACACCTTTTCTATATGCTCTTCTTTACATAGAATTTGATGTAATTGTTAATACTTCACATGTATTACCACCTAATGTTGTACATAATGATTTTCTAGTTATATACTAATTCTTCTCAGAATTAATAAGAATAGAATTTAAAAATTCTAATAAATTAGTATAAGTATATGGATATGAATGAGCAAAATAAACCTTATCATTATTATGTTTAAATGTGTAACTGAATCGTAATTAATAATATTTCGCTCTCATTGTCTAATGATACTCTTTTATAAAGGGACTTTTAAAGTAATTTATATTAAACCCACCTCTTCTCCATTCTGTTCTATCTATTTCATTCTCTTTGACTGAATAAATAGCTGGTTGCAATCCTTCATTAAATAAACTGTTGCTTTTTAACTAGTACAAGTTATTTATCATACATGATTAAGCAAATTAAATTAAACTGTTTAACCGGCCTTTGCTCCAGTTACACTAAAAAAAAACCATTATGTATTGCCTCTAGTGTTAATATCATTTTAAAGGATTAGATCATACACATTCTCAGCTCTTTTGAAGGCACAGAATAAATTACCAGACTCAAAATTTGAATCAAACTTTAATTAATCAGGTTAACATGGCATCAGCTTTTAATCAAATAAGGGATCTCCTCGAAAATACACTCGTGGATATTATCTATTAAATCTTATGCTAAAATAACTTCTTAAAATTAGCAAAGAGTGTAGAAAAATAAGTTCTCTCGTTAGGACTTCGCTTCGATAGATCTAATTGATCAAATCGTTTGTAAATCAAGTTTTATTTATTCTCTTCGAAATATTCAAGTAATGTTCTCTCTTCCTATTATATTGTTTCTGCAGGATATTGTATATTCTATGTTTCTTCGATGAATGTCGAATAAAATTGATTGAATTAAGGCAAAGATCTTGACTTTTCGAAAAATAAAATTCTCACTTTAAGGGATATAAAGATTTCACATCAATATCGATTGTCAATTTCCTTGGCATTAGTTCATTTGCTGGAGGTAATTTCGTTAGGGTCTCATAAACCTTAGCATCATCTTCACTTGAACTATCAATGTTTTTATTTTTGGAATTCATTTTACTATTATATTAAATATAATACTCAAACTTACACATTATCATTTATTATTGCATCCCTTTTAAAAATTCATATTACAATCAATTAAACTTAAATATTATACTCATAGTATATATAATTCATAATAATGATAAAAACGTCATTCATTACTTAAGTTTAGAAATCGATTTTCTATAAGTTCTATTTTGAAGTATTGCATTTTCATATTCCATTGCTAAATCAGCATATTGTATACTCATTTTTGCTGTCAATTACTCAGCATATTCTTATTCTTATTAAGCATGATTAGCTTCTTATTTATATTATTCTATTTAAGTTTCTAATTCCCTCATTTTTATAGTCTGATTCAATTTCAGATTTCCTAATTCATTTTATAAATCTAAAATCTCCTTCCTCAATACTCTCTCCTTTTCATTCAAAGTATTTATTTCCTATTATAACTATAAAGTATCGTCTTATATTATTGTTTATTAGGGAGGATTCTTGATGATTTTTTTATCTTTCAATTCAATTATTTACTCTTCAAAAATTTTTATCTTACCTTATAATATATTAAAATATTATACCCTTTAATTGATGAATAATTCCTTCTTTTTCTTCTTCAATTTCATTTTACTTTTTGTTAAATTAATTTTCTTGTTACTCTAATTTTAATTCCAATTTATTAATCTTACTTTATAATTCATTCTTCTGCTATAATAATATCCTATTATTTTAATCATTAATTTAATCTAATTCACTTTAATGATCTAATTTAAGATTATTTATTTCTTAATTTAAATTTTCAATTTCTTATTCTAATTTTTTTTAATCAGCTGTAAAATGGAGTCTTTCATTACCTACTTCATTTTATAAATCTACCATTTCCTTTTTTAATCCTCTTTCTCTTTCATTTAATCTATTTATTTCAGCTTATAATTCTATATCTCCTTTAGATTACAACTATTCTATCTAAGCTTTTAAAACTTCAACTTCGAATGTCTTATTAATTTCTGAGCTTGAAATTGACATTCTCTAATCGAATATTGAATGTCGATGCTGATCCTATTTATTTACTTAATTTGCTATCTATATTTCTCTGATTTTGTTATCATATTATTCAATCATTTTATTACTTTTTTCTGTCAATATTTATAATTATTCTTCAGCAAATTTCTTAGCTTCTTTTTCTTCTGTAATTTCTCTTTCTTTCTTCTTTAGTACTATTTCCATCTTTCTAATCTTACTAAGTTCCCCTTCATATTATTTTGTAATCTCAGAAATTTTTTATTCAAATTATTTCTCTTTTTTATAATTTTCTTATTTAATTTCATTGATTTATTTATTACCTTCTTCTCGAATTTTATGTGATTCATCTTAAAGTTATTTTTATAATTAAGATATTTATATTTGTTTTTATTAAATCTGTAAATTATTATTTTCCTCTAATTATTTAATTTCATTTTTATACTTTTATTCTTACTTTTTCAAGAGTGCTTCTTGTTAACTTAATTTTTCTTCACTTTATTCAATTTAATGGATTAATTCCTATTCTCTTCTTTAGTATTATTCTTCCTGAATCATCATCATTTTTTGATACTTTTATTCCACATCTTAGACAGCATCATCAATATTTGTATTTTATTCACTCAATTCTTTTATTTTTTGTAAAAATTCAGATTATTAATGTTCTTTTTCTTATTTTAATTGTTCAATATATTGTCTTAAATCTTAAAAGGTTTGTCTATCATTAACTTATGATTCCTCTAAAGATTTAATTTATTTCAAACTATCTTAATACTACAAATATGTCAAATCAAATTACCTTCTTATCTTGCAACTAAAATTTTTCAATATATTAGTTTAGTTCTTCCTATAACTCGAATTAAAATGTATTCTTCAAATGCAACTCCTCTTCAATCGTTTTTATTTCTTATTAATAAGTAATCTCATTGGCTTAAAACTTTAAAATTTAATCAACCAATTCTTAATATGGAGGCTTATCTTATCTGTTTTCTTCAATCGACAATTTAGTTAAGCCTTCCTCATTCAATCGTTCTATTTCTTATTACTTTTGCTTAGTTTCTTCAATCAACAATAAATTCTTTTATTCAAGTTCAGAGAGCTTAAAATAATTAGAATAGCAACTTACCATATTTTCCAATTCTTTCACTTAAGTCTCTTGTCTAGAAATTTGCTATTGAAGCAAGTTTGTCTTTGCCTGTTCATTTTCAATCAATATCTTATGTTCATTTAGTTATTTATTTAATTTAAAAGTGTCAAACTTGGCTTTTTTAGTAGTTTCTTATAATTATTTATTTATTTCGTTTAATTAAGTTTGATATTATTTTTCTAATTCTTAAATCTTTTAATCACTATTATCACTTGTTTATTGTAAAGAATTCTTTAATTCATTCTCTCTCTAATCCAGACTCTATTTTAATTATCTAATACGTTCCTCTTATTGTTCTATTTACTTAATCTATTCTGATTACTAAAAATACATATAATTAAGATATATACTATCCTATCTAATTAATGTGTAAGATCTTTGATCTCTTCTTTTAGGGAATTGATTTATTCATCTTTATTTTAACAAGCTTCTGTATAGCATTCATATAATTTAGTAAGTTCAGGTTAGTAATTACCTTGATTTGTTTTTATTATTGTTAAAATTTATTAAAGAGAAGGAAACTCTCCTTGATCTTCCTTCTTTGGTTGAAAATCTTCATCTGTTGAACCTGAAGCTTTCCTTTTTTTCAAAGCACCTATATCTTCAATTAACTATAAATTTCTTTTTTCGGTTTCGCTCAACTTAAAATATAAATTTCTTTCTACTTTTTATTTAAGATCTTTTATTTGCGTTTCGAAGCGACTAATTTATTCTGCATTATTTTAAGCAATGGATTTCTCATTTTCGATTTTTGCATTTAATTCGGTCTATTGCTTTTTCCCCCTAAATTACTCTAATCTCAATTTTTTTTCAAGCTCGCTTATCTGTTGATCTTTCTCATTAATTGTTTTCTTTAGTAGTTAAATTTCCTCTCCAGAATTATTCATAATATGGACTAGTAATAAAAGATAAATAAATTATTTTATTTTAACAATTTATTATCTATTTTAGCAGAAAATCAAATTTTAACAACGACTAAAAAGGATAATTTGTCTTAATTCAAACTATATCGATTTATATATACATTTGTGTCTACTATACATAATGGTTTATAAAATGCCACTTAAATATCTATTACAAAAAAATTTTAATTAATATTACATATTTCATGTAATGGAAATATAGAAAAAAGTTGTGGAAATATCTAAAAGAGTTGTGGATAATATTAAAAAGAGTTGTATAAATATCATAAATTAATTAAAATAAATCTAGAATTGTTTTCGAATAATAAATTAATAACACATATTTTGCAGAAGTTTAATCTAATATGGTAATGAGAATCTAATAAAAATTCTGTTAGATGAATGTTATAAAATTATTATATAATATTATGAGGAATTAAAACAAAAACATATAATAAAAATAGAAATATATAAATTATAAAACAAATTATTAAAAAACGGGTTTTTTTTGTTAATGTCTCTTCTGTGTTGGATGTGATTAAATTTCATTATTAATTTTAAAATGGCAAGATTAATTCCTGTATTGACACTTATATTGGCAGTGGCTACTGCAAGAGTAACAAGAAGTGAGAGTCCAAAAGAAGTGTTAGCTTAAATCAACAAGGATTCATTTGGAAACTCAGTATTGTCAGTCCTTCAACTTTAATTGGCAACAGGAGGACCAGTAGGAGAAATCTAAATTCTTTTAAACAACATTGCTTCATAATTGAATGGAGATTAAAAGAAAGCTGATAAAGTTCATGAAAGCGACACAGTTGCCTTTGAGAAGGTATGAATAGTATAAAATATTGAATAGATAATTGCTGATTTAGAATAAGAAATAGCTTACCATTAAAGTTAAATTGTTGCTCTCTCAAATTTGAGAGATTCAACAACTGAAGCCTTAGGTGAAGCTGAATAAGAAGTAAGAGTTGTTACAAGTGATATTGCTAACAATGAGAAGAGTTTTGCCGATGAATAAGCAACAAGAAATTCATAACATGAAACATGGGTTAGAAAGGATGCTGAACATGTTGATTAAATGGATGCTATTGATGAAGCTTCAAAGATTGTTTAACATTTATAAGCTGGTGTGGCATTTGCTCAACTTAAGAGTAGATTTGAGAAAGTTTAAGCCAAATTGATGGAAAGTAAACATGCTTTATTCAAAGTATAAATGTATTCTTATTGAAAATAGCCACTCATTAATGCTTTGACATAATTGGCATCAAAAGTTGATAATAAGAGCATCATTAAAATCTTAGAACTCTTAGCTTAAATTAGATAATAATTAGTTGCTAGTAGAGCATCACTTCTTGCCACAGAAGAAAGATAAGCTGCCAATTGGGAAGTCTAAAGTAGTCACTTATAAGAAGAACATAAGAGATTAGTTGAGAGAAAGGCTTTCTTAGAAAATTCTATTGTTTAATTCAAAGTCACCATCTAAGAGGCTGTTGAAGATTTAGAAGATTAAACAGTATTTATACAATCTCTAATCTTAATAGTTATTCCTTGAAGATGCTGAAGATTCATTAGCTATCTAACAAAGATGGGCTGCAGAATAAGAAGCTTAATATGAAGCCTAAACTTTTGAAAGAGAATAATAATTAGAAGTTGTTGAAAGACTTTAAGAAGTTCTTACCTAAAAAGTTAGTGCTGCCTCAGAATTTCTTTAAGTTAGAGAAGAGGTCTTTTGATTAATGAATTATCAAAAAAATATTAATATTCAATATATAATTATTATTTAGATCATTGTAACAATTATCTGTTAATTATTTAATTTAAAATACATGGAGAACATTTAGGTGGTAGTAAGAATAAGACCATCCAATGGAATTGAAAGAGATAGCAATGATCTTGAAATTTGGTCTGTTCAAAACCAAGATACTATATCCATCTCTAATGATAGATTTAATGATTTAGTTAGGATGAGAAAATTTGTACCAGGACAAAGAGTAGAATTCACATTTAGTATATCCTTAATTACTAATTTAAAATAGACTAATGTTTTGATTCAAAACACTCTACCAAATTTATTTACTAATAATAAATCTAGAGGATTACATTATCATCCTTGTAAGGTATCAATGGTACTGTATTCATGTATGGATAAACAGGGAGTGGTAAAACATATACTATGATGGGTTATGATTAAGAGGAGGGGATTCTGAAATAAGGATTAAAAGACTTATTTACCGAAATTGCTAAACATTCTGATAGATAGTATTTTTTAAGATGTAGTTATGTTGAAATCTATACCGATTAAGTTTATGATTTATTAGCAACATAAGAAAGATTAAGTGAAACTCTATTAATCAATGAAGATTTTAATAAAGAGTTTGTTATCAAAGGAGCTGTTGAAGAAGTAGTTACAAATATTAAAGAAATTATGGATATACTATAATTTGGAGAAAGTAATCGTCATTATGCTTCAACTATTATGAATCATTGTAGTAGTAGATCCCATACAATTTTTAGACTTTATGTAAGATGTGTTCCCAATACTATTGGGCCTAATTCTGTAATTACAGAGTCAATTTTAAATTTTGTTGATTTGGCTGGATCAGAAAAAATCAATATCCATGATTCAATGCTTAAAAAGAGGGGAACATCTGCTGGTGGAAGTGGAGGAACTTAATTTAAAGATAGATAAAATGAATCTAAACATATTAATAAAAGCTTATTCTTTTTGACTTAAGTAATTTCATTAAGAGCATAAGAGAAAAAGTAATAATATCATTTTTAATATCATTTAGCGATTAACATATTCCATACAGAAATTCACCTTTAACTAAAATTTTAAGATCTTCTCTTGGTGGTAATTCTAGAACTGCCATCATTCTTTGTGTTAATCCATGTTATAGTTAATTTGAATAGACTTTATCAACTTTGAGATTTGGTACTAATGCTAAAAAGATAGAAAACAATGTATCAAAAAATATTGTTGGATTTGACAATGATGAGAGTCTCAATAGAGTAATTAGGGATTACGAAATTAAAATTAATGAATTATAAAAAGCAAGAGTTGATGATAAATAATAATAGGAGATGATGTTAAAGATAATTTAAAAATTAGAAGAATAAAGAAAAATATTTAGATAATAATTCACAACCTCTGATCATATTCAAGCTATGATTAATACGGATCTCTCTTATTAATGGAATCATTTACATTATCATGGAGTTGGTGTTTTATGGGTTCCTGAAAAGGGAACTAGAGATGTTTAAGTTAAATAAGATGTAATAGACTCTTTTGGAACAATTAAAAAATATTAATAATTATAAGAAGAATTTATTATTTTAAAATCAGAAAAATAGACTTTGGAAAATCAAGTCAAGGATTTAAAATAAAAATAATAAGACACAGTAATTTAAACAAAAAAGCGATATGCTGGTTAAAAGTCAAAAACAAGAAAGTATAAATAGTTAAGTAAGGATTTATAAGAAGAAAAAAATAAATTACAGAAGATAGCACTTTGTTATCATAATATGATTGAAATGGATGAGATGATATTGTTAAATAATGATACTTTAGATTAAATGTGTGAGAATGTATAAGTGTTGATGTAAAATATTTACAAAGTGAAATTAAAGAAAGAGATTAAATAAAAGGGTGAGAATAGTGAGAGTTTGAAATTAATAAGTTCAAAGCCAATAAAATATCCAAAATATTTATTTGATACATCAGCCATAAATGTTTAATTTTGGGATGTTGTTGATACTAAGAAAGTTGAAGAATAATAAAATAAAAGTGAGATAGAGTCTTTCTAAAGTTATTTTTAATCTCAATTGAATATGAGTAGTAGTCCAATTTATGTTGATTTTTAGGGAACAAGTTAATAATTAAAAGAACCATTAAAACATATCTGTTCTCATGAGAAGAGTAATTAAATAAAAGGAGGTAAAGAGAATTACGAACCAATTTTGAAACGAAATTCTAGTATGGAAGTATCTGATGAATTAAATTTTCGTAGTTATTTTAAATGAGTAATAATTAATATACTATTTAAATTAAAAAATGGGTGATGAATTTCCTGTACCTAAACCGAAAGTAAGAATGGAAGGTAATGTTTTAACAGAAGAGGAATACTTAAGAAGATTAGAAATAATAATAAAAAGAGATTATTATCCTGAATTATTCAAACTTGATAAAATGAAAAATGAAGATGGGTATGATTTTTAAATAAATAGAAATTAGAAATCTTGATGAAAATATGTCTTTAAGTTAATTTTTAAGTAGATATACTTCCGATGAAAATGTTACACTAAACTAAATAATAAAAAAGAATGATGATTAATGGTATTAGAAGCATGCATGGATGTTTTAAGTTGAAGAATAACATAAAATTAAATAAGCTGCACTTCAATCTGATAAATTATAACATATGATAGAGGGGAATAGAGAAAATAATATCCAATTAAATGAATATAAAGCATTGAATCCATTATATTTTAGAATGGATCCTAGAAATGAGAAGTATGTTATAAAATTAGATATATATAGATTACAACCAGCAATCTAAGAACTAAAAGAGACAGATAATTCATTGAATCTATAGAAAGTAGAAATAAAGAATACAAGATTCTCTGATCATCATAAACCTTTAGAATTTGCAATTAATTAAATAGACTAGAAGTTGCAAAAGAGAAAACTTTAAGAATGTTTGAATGCATAAGGTGTTAATGTATTTTATGGAAGTACTCCAAATTTAGTTGGAGCCTAAAGGTTTGAAGATGATGACATGTTAGGTCTCTTTTCTCCTGCTCCATAAAATATGAAAACTCCATTAATGACTTGGGGAGAAATTGGAGAAACTCCAGTCTAATTAGATAAATCTTATATGATTCCCCCAAGTTCATAAAGAGATAAAGTTGGTTCAAATCTTACTTAACAACTTAATGTTAAAAAGAGAAATGAATAAAAATAATAAGAAGAGTATATAATTTTATTCTATTTTAAAGATGGTTAAAAAGAAGGTTGAGTTCAATTACACCTCATAGAATCAGTAGTTCCATCTCTTCTAGAGTTAATTCTGAAATTAAGAATTTCTTAGATAGAAGAGGTTCCACTAATCATTTTACTCCCTTAGGACCTAAGAGTAAGAATATTAAAAAATAATGATATATATATTATATATATGATTAATCTTTTGTTACCTATTATCACAATATTATAATTTATATATGTTATATGATAATTGATATTTTTACAAAAACATATCAAAAAAAATAAATATAATCAAATCACATAACCTAAAATTCTATAATACTCTTGAATTATATTAACTTTATCAGCATATTTTTAAATTAATTAATTAGCAACCTTTGTCATGAATTCATTAAAGTCTTCAATATCAATCATAGGCTTGAAGTACAACTTCTTTAATAAATTGATATCTGGATCATTTAAGAAATATCCAATGATATCGACCAATAAATCAATTGCTGTTGGAGATTCAGCCAATGTATAGACTTTATCTTCGTATAAAGCCTAAAATTATTATAATTATTCACTTACCTACTAAGTAGTCTTCTTTACAATTTCCTCTTTAGCCTCTTCTCTACTCAATAACTCAAAAACCATCTATGCTCTTTCAATATTTCGTTTTAATAATTTATCTAAAGTTATTAATCAAATTTCATACATGAAAGAAGGTATTCAAAGAATATTTCAAAGAATTTGTATATTGCCTCATCTGAAGATCCAATTCTTTTTAATTCTTCCAATAATTTTGCTTCCTATTATTATGGTTCCATATTAAAAGTTCCTTATACAAATATTGCCAATTCATTTAAGTCAAATAATTATTATTTTTATTAAATTTATGATTATTAACTTGAATTTTTTTCAACATAAAGTATTTACTAAGGTTAATGCTTCTTGTTCTTATTCTTATTTTGATTATAAATTTGTTCAGTAATTTCCTTCTCTTATTCTTGATGAATTGTTTTTACACTCTAAGCTTAATCTTATTTACTATAATGATCCTTCCAACCTTAATTTTTCCTCTCTTAAACATTTTCTATTAACATTGAAATTCTTTATGAAAGTTTATACTTTGCTATTAATAAATTAAGTCTTATATATTTAACATAATTTATACATTTCCATAATAATTTCGATAGATAGACTTTTATCAAATTTCTTTAAGAAGAAATTTTTTGCATCTTCTAAATTCTTGTTTGTTCCATCAAAGTATTATTCTAGATCCTTTTTCCAAACATCAAAATCTGTTGTATTTAATACTTTGTAATATCCACCGACTAAATAGATTTTTACATAAAATTACTTTAATCTAATAATTCAATCAAACCCTCAATAGATTCTTCACTATTTTCTTGATTTGGTTAAAATTAAGATACATAATCTGAAATCAATTCTTTAATAGCAGAATCAACAGCTAAAATGGGAAGTAATTTAGATAAAAATAAATCTCCAATAAAACGTACATCTAAATATATTTATAAAATTACTTACTTCCCATAATCTTTTATTTTCTTATTAAATGATATTATTCCCTTTCTTCAGGTTTCATATGAGAAAGATCTTCTTTCTTATTTTTTCTTTCATCAAATACTTATTAAACCTAGTTTAAAAGTCCATTTTTAAATAGTGAAACACTTTTCACCTTTCCATCTGATTTTTCTTTTTATTATATAAGTTGAGGTTCCTTTATTAATATTTAACATAGTTTTGTATATAATTTTCTATATTTAGGTTCAGTTTAAGATTTATCGATAATCTTTTATGCCAAATATTCTAAATAAGTCGAGTCGTTTTCATGATTACTAAGAATTAATTAATGATATACTTACTTTTCTATTATGATCTTTAAAATGTTCTAAGCAGTTATTTCAAAATTATCTGGTGCCAATTAATTTAATCGATATCTAAGTTCCTTAAAGATTAACTCTTTCTATTCAGGAGTTTAATTTAAATTAGAAAAAAAGTCATCTGCTTATTTTTTCATTTTATCTTTTAATTATTTAGTTTGAATGTCTTCAACAACTCTTACAATAATAATCTTTGGTTGTGGGGCATCAGCTGCTGGCTATTTTCTTTCTTTTTCAAATGGTTATACAGAAGTTGTAGTTGGTTTTGCTGGTTATTTATTGTAAGAATTTGACTTTCCTTCTTTTTTATATTAGGTTTTGCTTTGTAATTCTTTAATAGTAAAGTGTTTTCTTTCCTTTAGAATTTGCCATTCCTGTTAATCAAAATATCCACTGAAATCCTAAATGATTATTTTAAAAAATTACATTTATTAAATCAACTAACTTTTTCAAATCTTCTTTAGAATAAGGCTTTGGTTTTTTTAACTCTTGTAATCTTTGTTATTCTTATTCTTTTTATTTCTTCTCTTCCTCTAGCTTTTTTTGTTCCTCTAATTTTCTTAATTCTTCATCCACCTATAATATTAATTAAATCTAATACTTTTTTTTCAAAAGTTTGATCTAATACAAATGCTTATTGGCTTGTACTAGATAGGTTTAATTTTTTTTTTTGTCTATTTTGAGTAGTTGTTGGTGGCTATTATCTGATTTGTGAATTTATTTCTGGTTGGCTAGAGTTATTGCTATTTTCTATAAGAGATAAAGAGCCTAAAGCATTTGTTTAAACAGCAATTGGTTATTAACTTTATTAATTTTGAGGAGGGTAGTAAGCTTAAGCATAGGGAATTTGATTAGAATATGATTGTGGATATGATGTAAGGGTAGGCTAAAAAGGCATGCTTAGCTTTAATTCTTTTTTTATTGAAGGATTTTGAGACATTTTTAAATTTTTTTATGATTTTTTTCACAAATTATCAAATTTAATTCTATAAAATTTATCACCACTAATTAATTGAGTTATTCATTTAAAAGCATATCTTTAAATTTAGTTAGAAATCTAAATTATTCATAAAAATCTGCTGAGATTTAGATAAATTACATAAACTCATAAAATCATCTGTTTATTAATTATTTATTGTATGAAACTTTATAATAAAGAGATCTTAAATAATATTTTTATTGTTTATTATCCTAAATTTTATAATATTGAATATTGTTTAATTGATAACTAATGAAGAATTACACACTTTTATTTTATTAACTAAAAATTTTCTCATTAAGTTTGACTAGAATAAAATATTTATGAAATTTTCAAATTAATCATTTCTATTAATTTATATTTTAAAAGCTTAAAAATCTGGAAATTCATATGAAAAAGAAGAAATATTTGAATAGTAAAAGCTCAAAAATTTGGATGAGTTGTCAAATAAACTATTTATTTAATCATAAAGATTGATTTATAAAGGAATTTATTGAGAAGCAAATAGTTAAAGTAATTAAATGAGATTAAGAAATGATTGACAATTGTTCTTTAATTTTATATTCATTGAAAAAAATATTATGATAAAATTGGTAGACATAAACAATGTTAAATATTTTTGATATTATTATGAACCAATTAGTATAATTACATAATCTTATGATTGATTTTCTAGCTTTTTATGGATATTAAATAATTCCAAGCCCAGCAAATTAAGCTATATAGGATTTATTTTCTTTTTAGAACTCCTAAGTTTTGTGATTTGAAAAGGTTGTTGTATATCCCTATAATAGTTGTTAGATTTATCAATCAAATTAATTTAAAAATATCCATTAAAAATGGTTTCAACTTTCAAACTGTGCTCAACTTCAGCAGCTAGATAACTTTAAAAAAAGATTGAAATAACTCCATTTAGATATAAAGATGGANTTTGATTAGAATATGATTGTGGATATGATGTAAGGGTAGGCTAAAAAGGCATGCTTAGCTTTAATTCTTTTTTTATTGAAGGATTTTGAGACATTTTTAAATTTTTTTATGATTTTTTTCACAAATTATCAAATTTAATTCTATAAAATTTATCACCACTAATTAATTGAGTTATTCATTTAAAAGCATATCTTTAAATTTAGTTAGAAATCTAAATTATTCATAAAAATCTGCTGAGATTTAGATAAATTACATAAACTCATAAAATCATCTGTTTATTAATTATTTATTGTATGAAACTTTATAATAAAGAGATCTTAAATAATATTTTTATTGTTTATTATCCTAAATTTTATAATATTGAATATTGTTTAATTGATAACTAATGAAGAATTACACACTTTTATTTTATTAACTAAAAATTTTCTCATTAAGTTTGACTAGAATAAAATATTTATGAAATTTTCAAATTAATCATTTCTATTAATTTATATTTTAAAAGCTTAAAAATCTGGAAATTCATATGAAAAAGAAGAAATATTTGAATAGTAAAAGCTCAAAAATTTGGATGAGTTGTCAAATAAACTATTTATTTAATCATAAAGATTGATTTATAAAGGAATTTATTGAGAAGCAAATAGTTAAAGTAATTAAATGAGATTAAGAAATGATTGACAATTGTTCTTTAATTTTATATTCATTGAAAAAAATATTATGATAAAATTGGTAGACATAAACAATGTTAAATATTTTTGATATTATTATGAACCAATTAGTATAATTACATAATCTTATGATTGATTTTCTAGCTTTTTATGGATATTAAATAATTCCAAGCCCAGCAAATTAAGCTATATAGGATTTATTTTCTTTTTAGAACTCCTAAGTTTTGTGATTTGAAAAGGTTGTTGTATATCCCTATAATAGTTGTTAGATTTATCAATCAAATTAATTTAAAAATATCCATTAAAAATGGTTTCAACTTTCAAACTGTGCTCAACTTCAGCAGCTAGATAACTTTAAAAAAAGATTGAAATAACTCCATTTAGATATAAAGATGGATATAGTGATTTAATTATATATGAGCATAATGAAAAAGTTTATTTATACTTCAAGAACTTTAAATTAAACTGTGGGCACTTGACAATTAAACATTTATTAATTATTACATATAACATTAAAAGAATGTAATTAATCTTTGATAACACTTAGATACATAAGAGCCCTGAATAAGTATTTATGATTAATTGATTAGTTAAGAAGGGAAAAATTAGATATTAAAATAAAGACAATTAAAGCAGATTTAGCACCAGGAGTTGTGAAATATATGATGAAGACTAAAAATAATGAGAAATTATAAACTCCTCTTCACAATGTTGAATATCATCATCCATAGACTTCTAAACCTTAATTTAATTATTTAAGAACTTTCTAAAAGATGGATTTGGAGCCTCCAGTTTAATTGGATGAAATAAGAGAAGAAAAGTGGAGTATTTTATCAAAAAATTGTAAGAACATTTTAGAGAAATCCAGAATTAGTTTGGGAAAACCAAATGAATCTCATTTTTTTAGACGGAATTCAAATGATAGAGTTCCTAGTCCTCAAAAATAAACAAAAAATAATAATAAATTTTTAACACGAAGATAATCAATAGATTTAAGAATAGAAGATATTAAATCTCCTTAATAATCCCCTATAGAGTAAAAGGATGTTTCTCCAAATCCTTTAGGAATGAAAATGGATCCCTTCTATGTTAGATTTAAGAAATACTATAAAAAAATTGGAATTAATTAAGATGAACAACCTAAACATCAAAAGAACAAATTTTAAAAACTTCAAAAAAATTCTTATTCTCAAGATAAGATTTACAAAATCAATTCTCCTTAAAGATAAAATTAAAGTTATATATTTTTTCCCTCTATTTAATGTTCTCCATAAACAACTCAAAAATGTGGTTTTTAGAAAAAGAAAACCCAATAACAGTATTTGTAGGATATCCTCGCTTTGTGTAACATGGCTTAGAATTTTTAAGCAGAGATGAAAAAAGATGAATCTTAAAATTATTGTGAATTAAATTAAAAGGTAGAATATATAAGATCAGAATTCAATAAATATCATAGTATGATAAACAATGATTAGGATTCCACAGATAATATTGAAATTAAATGATATACATAATATTAATCAAAATAATAATTAAATCATTCCAATTCCTACATCATATCTTAACGAATCTACACTTCCATGCTTTACTTATTTTTGTCCTACAATTTGAAGATTTTTTCAATCACTGTAATTTCTGTAGATGTTGTATCCAATCCTAAAGATATAAATTTAAATAGTACCACAAAAAGCAGCAACATCATTAACAACAAGACCTGATGCTATGATATCACTACCTCTATTTACAGTTCCTGCACATAAAGGTATTTATAATAAATTAGCTAATTCATCTAATTCTTCAACTGTTGTTAATGGATGGACCAATCCTCCTTAATTATTAAAACAGCAATAAGTTCCAACTAACACCTATTAAGCTACAGTAGTTCTGAACACTTCAACTCCTAAAGTATCTGCAATGATTTCCTCTGTCTCTTTATCCAAATCAGAATGTATCAAAGCAACATAATCATTGCAAGCAATACAATTTCCTAAAGCAGATAATTTTTCTTCAACTCTTTTCACCTAATGATTTTATTTTTATTTTTACTTTAACTTCATCTGGTAATGAATTTCTAATTTACTTGAGTTCTTAGTCGGTACATGTGTTTGGTACCAATAATCCATTTTTATTTCCTGTTCAATTAAATTATTTTATATACCTGCTGTTAATCTTCCTATAATTCTTGTTCCTCCTATTGAACAATGAATTACAGGCATACTTAATCCAAGTTCAGATTCAAATACTGAATAGAAATTCTCACTTCCTCCAAGTGCAACAAGACAATAAGCATTTGTAAGTTTAGAAAAAACACCAATATCATTGGAGTTTTCAAATTAACATCTATTTGCCATGAATGAGTTTTATAAAAATTCTTTATTAAATTAATGGCCTTAAATTGCAAATAATTTTTTCTATTTAAAATTACTTTCTATTGAATAAATTGACTTGAAAGAAGAAAACAAGTTTCAATTCTTCTATTCTAAAGGTATATTTATTATTTATGCAGCACTCAAACAATTTATTAGAAATAAAATCCATAATATTTTCAATTCATTGTTAACTTTTCTTTATTGTTTGTTAACTTACGTGGAAATAATTTCAAATGAATGTAGGAGTTTCAAAAAAATTACTGAGAACTTTAAATTTACAAAACATTATACAAAAATAAACAGATTTAATTTTTTGAAACTTCCATTTTTAATTACTATAAAATGAAGTTTCAAAGCTATTTAGACTAAATAAAGATAGCCATAAGTAGGTATATTACAGAATTGAATCAGTGTTATTTTTAATACTTTTTGTATTTGGAGTTGGTATTATAACATTGGGTTTAAGAGCAAATATCAATTTTCTAAGAATAATAATTTTTTTAAATAATATTAATATGAAGAACTAAAATCATATAGAAACAAAATAAAAACGAAAACCTTGGATAATTGAAGTACTTAAATAAAAATATTATAAGGAAGACATATTACTTTAAAAATTAGTGGAAAACATTTAAAAGGAAAAACTTGAATGGAAGAATATTTCTTAAACTTTCAAAGAACAAGGGTATGATCGGGATACGAAGGCTTGCAGAGAAAGATTTTAGAATCATCTTGATAAAAGTTATAATAAGAGCTATTTAACAGAGAAGGAAATAGATAGGCTTTTCGATTATCTTGAACTCTATGGAAATAAGTGGGTAGATGATTTAACTTAAATTTAGACATATATTGCCGAATAATTAAACAATAGAACAGATTAGGATATAAAAAATAATTTTTATGCACATGTAAAGAGAATAATTCGTCGACTAATTAAAGCTACTTACAAAACAACTGAAAGTATTTTATCTATTTTTAATTAGGCTCCTTTATAATTGCTAAAATTCAACCTTATCTAATATCTAGCATATATTGTCATGATAATGAAGATAATGAGAAAATGTTAAAATTAGATAGTGAGATGAAGGTTCTTTTTAAATACTTAATCCGAAACAATAAAAAGATTGAAGTTGGAGTCAAACTTAATGAATAAACAAAGGAAAAGGTTAAAAAAATAATTAATTACCTTGGTGAGTAAAAGTAAATAAATATCATAAATCTAGTGATATTTATATCAAAAAGAAAATAAATAAGAAGATTTAGAAAGTAAAGGCTAAAAAATCTAAATAGAAGAGAAGGTTTAAATTACAATTAGGATTAAATAACTAAAAAAGAATAATAGAGAAAATTTAAAAAATGAAGCCTATTTTTACAACACAGAATATCAAAATTGAAAAATTTAAGTTCTTTAAGAATATAGTACAAAAGGAGGAGGAGATATAGATTCCTTATTTCGGATTAATATCATTAGATAAAATGTATTCTTTTTAACCTTACTTAAATCCTCTGATGGCAAGTACTTCATTTTGTTGGAGACAACCATCGAATATCCTTTCAATAGATTCAATGATCTCAAGTGTAAAAATAGAAAATTAATATATTTATAGAATTTTTTGTTCGGCTTTTAAGGAAATCATATTTCGTATAGCATAGGGTCTGATTCATTAAGAGTCTTTTCAAATTGATCTAATTTTATATTTTATAATTAATGTTTGTTTTAAATATGTTCTGAATTTTGGTTCTTTGAAACACAAATAAAAAAGTCAATTATAAAAAAAATTGAAAGAACGCTTATCATTAATAGCCATTTAAGGACTTTTGAAAGAGTGAAAGCTTTTTTCACTAGGTATGAAACTAGGATGGACAGTTAATTAATGAGGATTTTTTTTTTGTGATAATCCTCTACTTGATTCAAAACTATAGGAGGATTATCTTTCTTTTGACAAAGTAGGATGCCTTTCTTTTGAATGGGTAGTAGTGTGTCTATCATTTTTAGTTAATATTTTTTCAACTTTGAAAAACTAAGGTTCTCTAGATTTTGTTTAGGCATTAGTAGTAGTAAAATAAGAGGGTTTAGGAATGACAGCCTAATGAATAGATAAGAATTATACCTTATTAGAACTAGGTTTTGAACCATTTTTAAGATGTGAGAAATCAAAATAGAATTACTATTTGATTTAACTAGTAGGAGTAATATAGGACATATTTTTAGTAATAGTATTAAGATCTTCAATTAAATCTTCAGGTAATTTATGTTTTTTTTTGGGATCTTCATATTAATGTGGTAAATTTTATTATTTAAACCATGGATAATTGAGTAATTCAATTACAGTTGGTCTTTCATCAGGATCAGTAGTAAGCATTCCATAGAGTAATGCAATTGCTTCTTTGGATATATCATGAACGATGGTGAATTCTCCTGATTAGATTTTAGAATAGAGTTCAGCATCAGTTTCTCCTTTAAATGGAAATACTCCTTAAAGCATAGTAAATAGGACTACTCCTAAAGCCCAAACATCTGATTTATCTCCTCTATATTCTTACCTAGTGACAATTTCTGGAGCCATATAACTAGGAGTACCACAAAACATTTTGACTTTCTTATCAATAGGGAAAGATGTAGAAAATCCAAAATCAATAAGTTTAGGTGTTTGACCTTCAAGTAAAATGTTTTCTAATTTAAGATCTCTATGAGCAATATTTTTAGAGTGACAATATTACACTGCGTCAAGAATTTATTTAAATATAGTTTTTGCAATCTCTTCATCAAGTCTTCTATCCTAATTAAATTATGATAATCATATACAGTTTATTTTCGAATAAAATGATGTAGTGAACTTCCACTCACATATTCAATTATAATATTTACATGGTTATTGGATTCTACAGTATCAATAATCTTAACAATATTCGGATGATCTAACTTTTCAAGAATTTCTATTTCTCTTCGTACTCCTTTACGACGCTATAAATCACGTATTTTTTATTTTTCATAGATTTTTATAGCAACTTTAGTGTTGGTTTCTATTTAAATAGCAACTCTAACTGAAGCATATGCTCCTTAACCTATACGACTGCCTACTTTATATTGAGCTTTAAAATTTTCTGTTTTATTATTATCATCATCTGGTTAATTACAAAGAAACTTAACTCTATCACAAATATTTGATTATTTGAAGTCAAATTTGAAGTATTCGACATTATCTCTTTTTTCAACTTTACAAATTTTAGATTATAGAATCTAACTGATTGCATCCAGATTTCTAAGTTGTTAATTCTTTAAGCTCATTAGTAAATCTTATTGTAAAGGAGGTCTCGATTTGTATGAATATTGATTGCCTATACATTTTTCATTCTCTTTCTAATTGAGACTATTTGCTGCTGCTCTATGCTTCATTGGAATTTAAAATAATTAACAGTCTCATTATTATTATATAATGAATAGATATACCATACTTACAATAAGTATAATAAGTTGTGTCCTTATTCTGTTAACCTTTGTTAGTCTTGAGTAGACTCCAAGTTTCCTCACATATAGACCTAAAGAATACGATGTGACGTATTAATTTCAAACATTTTATTAGTCTTATAACTCAGGTTGACAATTGTGATTAAACTATGTTCCTTGAAGTATTAATTACAACTTATCTCAGGGTCTTTGTTAAGGTGGAAATTGGGCTCATATTTTCACTTAAACTCTCTATCTTACTAATTGTCTAAGATCGTCATCCAAGTAACCTCGTCTTTCAGCAGAAGAATTATTACAATGTACTAAATGGGATGAGGATAAATGTTCATCAACACCTAAATCAATCAATATTGTTAATAATATCAAGAAGTATTTTCAAAAATGAAATTAGTTTCTTAATTGACAATGGTCTTACAACTAATAAATGTCTTTCATATAAACAGACTGTAAATTTTAACTTAAAAAACAAATGTCCTATCAGATGTGATGATTTAAGTTTCAAAAAACCAGAATTAAGAGCAAAAGATCTATTAGAACTTTCATCCACTTAAGATATACAAGATCATATCATAAATAAAGGTCCTGTAGTATTGGCATTAAAATGTTTTAATCTTATAATTTTATATTAGATGGCTCAAGCTTGAATGAATACTCAAGTGGACTTTATACAATAAAAAATGATGATTAAAATTTTGGCATAAGATTTCTTATGATTGTAGGTTGGCATACTGAGATTGATGGTAAAATCACATGGAAATCTTTGAATTCTTTTGGTAATTAGTATGGAATTGATGGAAGAGTCAATATTGGAGAGAAGAATGATTATATATTGGGATACTTTGGCTTTGATGTCTGAATTAATAAATTATGAAATAATTAAATAATAAATACCAACAATAACTCTAACCCTTAAAATTGACAAACCATATCACTCCATAATTTAAATTAAATCCAAATTAGAATTCACCATCGCCATCCCCATTAGCTCTTAGAAAACCATTATTTAGTTTACATGAGAAAGCTTCTGCTAGATCTATGAAAAAGTAGCTTCATCATTCTCCTCCTATCACACAAAAAAATACACTACAAATAGAAAAATATGGATTAGATTAGAATTTTGAATACATCCTTAAATTTGCTGTCAGAACTAGATAAGGAATGCAAGTTGGGAATCCAAATAAATAGAATTAAGATTCTTTTATAGTTTTTCCAAACATAGCTAATAAATCATATATGCATTTCTTCTTCATATGTGATGGTCATGGAATTCATGGTCATCATATTTCAAATTTCTTGAAACAACAATTTCCAATATACATTACTAAATTTAAAAATCAATTGGAAAACAAGTACAAATAGAATAATTTAAAATAGTCCTTATGCTACAATTTATACTATATTTATTTAAGTTATTAAAGCCTTAGATCAATCATCTATAGATCAATAATATTCTGGCTCTACCGTGGTTGGTTTGTTTATGTTGCATAATAAAGTATTAAAACTATTTTTAATAGATTTATTGTCCAAACCTAGGAGATTCAAGAGCAATTATGCTAAGTCGAACAAATAAATGGTTTATCAAAAATCTATCAAGAGATCATAAACCAGATTGTTAAGATGAAGCTGAACGTATCCTTAATCATGGAGGAAGAATTGATCCTTATAAAGATTTAAAGGGATAATCTTGTGGACCATTAAGAGTTTGGACTACTGGTAATGTTCCTGGATTGGCAATGACAAGATCTATTGGTGATTAAATTGCTAAGACTGTTGGAGTCATTGACAAACCAGAAATATACAATTTCATTCTTGAAAAAATGGATAGAGTTATCTTACTAGGATCCGATGGATTGTTTGAGTTTCTTTCTTAATAAGACATTTTAGACTCTGTTACTCCTTATGTAGATAGAATGGATGTTGAGACTGCTTGCAATCATTTATTAGAAATGGCTCATGTTAGTTGGGTATAAAGAGGGAACAAAGTGATCGATGATATTACTTTTATATTGATTTTTATGTAATATTGAAATATTGTAGATACCCATTAATATAAATTTAATTATTTTGTATGGAATTGCTTATAATTTCTTTAATAATCATAGGTCTTCTTAGCCTCATATCTATTTGCTTTCTTTTCTATACCTATAAATTGAGGAGTTGGAATCCTATTTAGGAATTATCACCACTATTAACAATATTTCAAGGATTATCACTTTATATATTTGTTGTCATTACCTTACTTGTAATTGTGTATGATCGCCAAAATAGTTTTACTACAACTAAAATTCTAATGATTTTTTAGAACTTTTTTAGAGGACTCTTTATATATATAACAGTTTTCAAATCACTAAGAGTTACTTTAGCTTTTCATCTAAATATTAAATCCTCTTTCTACTTAAAATTTTTGTGTGATAAACTATTTAGATATTAATTACGTATTTTAATGGTAGCTCTCTTCATGACTTCAGCATTTTGGTCTGGAATTTATTATATTGTAAAACTTTATCATTCAGATATAAGTTATGAAGATTAGGATTCCATCAGTGATCTCATATAATATGAAGAGATTAACATTGTTGAGGCAATTAATAATACTTTAGAAATTTCATTATGTATATCAATAATATACTGGAATCAAAAAATATATATACCACAATTTGATACAATTTAAAGGTATATAAACAAACCCTTAGTTATTTATGCTATTTGGTTATACATCAATACATTTATTAGTTATTTTATAGAGGAAAAAGATTCATAATCAATGTTACCCATTTCATTAATAATTATGCTCTTGTCTTAGATTTTAAGATGCATTGTAGAATTTTATTTTATAGTTATTTTACCGGTATTTCAAAGTACATTAATTCGATTGCCATTAATACCATCAATAATTTTAGATAACTTCCAATTGTTTATGAGAATTCCTCTTTGTAGTAACATTTTTTATGATTTTTTACAATAATAATCCTAAAACACGATTGATAGTACTAAGGATAGAAGAATCAATAGTAGTGCTAGTTATGAATACTTAGATAGTTTATAGGTACTTAGGACGTGGATGATTTATCAGATGAAATAAGAAAATGGGATTGAAGATGAACATTTTACATTATTTATGAATTTGGAAAAATAATAGAATGAGACATAGTTTGATCTTAATCATTAGCCATAAATTTAAGTGAGATTAGAGAAGCATTTGGGATAACTCTTCGAAGAATATAAAAATACATATTCATATTATTCGATGGGAAAATTATTTCATCGTCTTGATAATGCAACTAGGAATTTTTATTAAATGAATATAATCTAAAATTTTTTAAACTGAATTTTTAATAAAACTAAATGAATAATTTGGATATATAAAATAATTGATTTGACTTATAAGTTATCTTAAATAAAATACATTTCTTATGGATTTAATGATTCTATAAAAAGATTATGTAATAGTTTGGAGGTACCATAAAAAATAAATTTGATTTGGATCCACCATCAGAAGTATGTTTAAAAGTAATAGATATATAAATTTAGTATGTGGAAGGATTGAAAACTGATTTTAGTTAAATTGATGAATGATTTAAGTGATTAGAGATAACTACAGTATTGAAGATTTGAAATTCATATAATAAATATATTATAACCATATCAATTAATTTCTAATTAAATTGATAATCATTAATATAATGTTGTTTAATTGAACTCTTCAATTAACCCAGTTATGATTACCATGATAAATATGATTTAATAGCTAATTAAAATAAATTATGAAAAAAACATAGGGAAATGGCTTTAGGGTGAGAAATAACCAATCTAAATTAAAGAAGGCAGGAGAGCAATTAGCATCTTTATAGTACAGTATTAAGTGTAAATCTTACACTCCGTAACACAGATCAATAAAATAATTAACACATTTTCCTTTGAGAACTTAAGGGATATAGGATGGAAATTCTTTAGTTTAACCTCGAAATGTATTTCAGCGACAGACTAGTATAAATTGTCAGTAAAGGCCTTCGTTGTTATCAGTGATAACTTCTGAGAGTAACGCAAGTGCTGAGGAGGAATATGAAATTTGGGATAATAATTAAGATTTGCGAGTGAAGAAAATGACAATGGAAGAATCAAAACCTTCTGTTGGACAATTTTTATAATTGTACAAAGCGAGATTTGGGTATTATTTATTGAAATTAAAGAGGTTTTCCTGGTGACAAACAAAGTATAAAGAATGAAGAGGTTATCAAGGCTGCTGTTGGATATGCTTCTACTAATAAATAACTTTTCAAAAAATATTTTCCTTCAAAACAAATTGTATTTGAAGATGATAATGATTATTCTTAACCATATAATATTGAAGATGATCATCATTTTTAGAGTTTTAATAACTTTTTTAAAAATAAGAAGTCCTAGACCACTCTTAAAATTAATTCCTCGCGTATTTGAATGATATTATACTTATTATATATATATATTTCAAACTTTGTCAATTAGACTTTATATTTGTTCTGATGTTCTTTAGATAAATCTTTTTTCAGCAGTCGTAATAACAGCTAATTCAACATTTTAGTTATTAATCTAAGAAATGGTCAAATAATTACTTTTTCTTCCATTACATTTTTAAGACATAAAATAGCCAATCTTTCTGCTTGTTCTAAGGTCAAATCCTAATTTAATTTATTTAATTACTTATTTGTATTATTCCTTTAAAATACTTTAAATACCTTCATCTGCAGCACCAATTCCTTTAGCTTAATATTCAATCATAGTACCAGTAGGATCTATAAATGACATGATAATATATAAATATTACCTGTTTAATAAATTTATGGACCATGATCTGAAACCCCAGCAATTAATAATGCTACTCCATATGGTCTTGACATCTTAGTTTTACTTTTAGAATCGCTCTCTCCAAAATCAAGAGCTAAATCACAAACAATTTAAGTAAGTGCTCTAACATTAATTGGTTCACCATAATTGAATTTATGATTTTAAGATTCTACTCTAGCATGTTCGACTAATGTTCTAGCATCAGGAATGAATCCAGAAGCAGTACAAGCAATATGAGTATCAATTTCATAAATCTTTTCAATACTCTTAGGCTCTAAAAGAGTTGAATTTAATTTTCTTTCTCCTGCCAATACTACTCCATCATTCACCTTTATAGCCAAAGCACTTGCTCCTAATTTTATTGCTTATAATGCATATTCCACTTAGAAAAGACGACCTTCTGGAGAAAATGTATTCACTCCTCTATCATAATCTGTTCTATATATCAAATTTAACACTTATGTACTTATTTTGAAACATTAATCCCAATCTCAATTATTATATATATATATATATTATACTACTTATTATTTTATTTATATCAACTATTTTTTTAGTTTATTCATATTCTTCTACTCTATGTTTTAGTTGATATTTTTTAATTATTATCTCTTTAAAATTTCCTATTTACTTAATCAATTTAATTTCTTATGGCTGACACTCAAAAAATTGTTGGCATTGTATTCTCTAAATTAGAATCAAAACGATCTCATCCAACTTATATGGTAGAAACCAAAACTGGCAATCTTATTTATAGATAAGCTTCCAATATGCCCTCTGAATAAATTCAAAAATTTGACCTTATTTTTAGTAAGCAAATTGCCGATAAATTGTATCCATCATAAACCAAAAGATTATTCTATAAAGGAACTGAGTTAGAAGTCTCTGATTTAGAATTTGATGATGATGATGATGATATTGAAGATTCCAAATCCACTAAATAATAATGTAATTGTTCATCTAAATAAATTATTAATTCTACAGAATAATCTCTTAATGCTACATATAATAATTAATTGAAGCTTCCATCTAAATAATCTATTAAATTATCTTCAAATACTATCCTAATTTATGATAAAATTGATGGATAATTTAAATAAACTAGCAGAATTGAAAGTAATCTAATTAAAGATATTAAAAATTGGGAACAAGCTAAAATTAGTAAAAAAAATTAAGTTATGCTTTGCATCTCAGAGAATTGCTTTGTTAAATTAGCTGATCTGAGATTTAAGAATCCATCATTAGTCCTTGATTTTGTTTTGAATAATTGTATACTTGTTAAATGAATAACATTTTAATTATA